CGCGCTTTGGCTGTGCGGACAATGGGCTGCATTCGCGTTGATAAGATCACAGAATATCTGTGTGATCCTCTTCAAAAGTGCCTAAAGGTTGATTTTGTAATCCTACCCCTTCTTTGGAAATAGAGATCAAACATCTCTATTATTGCCTTTAAGCATCTGTTTCATTTTAACCAGTCATTATTTACACTATCATGTGCATATGTTTTTTCTTTAGGATGATGATCCATATGTCCGGAAGACGGCCGCGATTTGCGTCGCTAAGCTTTTTGACATAAATGCTGAATTGGTTGAGGATAGGGGTTTCCTTGAAGCCTTGAAGGATTTGATATCAGATAACAATCCGATGGTTGTTGCCAATGCTGTAGCAGCCCTTGCAGAGATTCAAGAGAATAGTACTAGCCCCATATTCGAGATCAACAGCACAACCCTTACAAAGCTCCTTACCGCTCTAAATGAATGCACTGAGTAAGTCCTCTCCTTATTTCCATTTCCGTAGTTCACTGCATTCTCTTTAGTATTAAATATCTATGGTCTTTCATCGAGAGCTTTCTTAGTTTAAGAACATGAAGAGCATTGACCGTAAGTTTAGGGATTAGTGGAATGGTGATGGGTTATAAAATTGCTAGCTAGATGTGGTATGACTTCAGCTTGTTTATGCTTTGTCTCCATATCCATTATCAGACATCAGATTGGGTTTTATTTTTTCGTTATTGAAGGTTTTATCTGTAGATAATGAATGACCCACTGTTTTAAATGTTGGGAAAATGAGTTCTGGATAAACTTTTGTCAGCTCCACTTTTGGTACTGACTATGATCATCGCAGGTGGGGTCAAGTTTTTATTTTAGATGCTTTATCGAGGTATAAAGCAGCTGATCCCCGTGAAGCTGAAAATATTGTTGAGAGAGTCACGCCACGGTTGCAACATGCCAATTGCGCTGTTGTGCTTTCAGCTGTTAAGGTGAGCAACTTTCATTTGATTGTTTTCTTCTGCTGCTAATTGTAGCATGTCAAACTTGCTTGTAAACCATCATCTACGCCTTTGCATATATTCTAATGCGCTCCCACTTCTGTTTTTATTTTTGGTACTTGCCATACAGATGATCCTTCAACAAATGGAACTTATTACCAGTACAGACGTCATTCGTAATCTTTGCAAGAAGATGGCTCCACCCCTTGTTACATTGCTTTCAGCAGAACCTGAGATACAATATGTTGCACTTCGTAACATTAATCTGATTGTCCAAAAACGACCCACGATTCTTGCCCACGAAATTAAGGTAGCTTGACCTGTGCTTCGTGATTCTTAGAAGACGTTACTGTTGGATCCTTGCATTTTACTTATGTTGCAAAGTTATGTTTTTTGCTTTTAGGTTTTCTTCTGTAAGTATAACGACCCAATTTATGTTAAGATGGAAAAGTTGGAGATTATGATAAAACTTGCGTCTGACAGAAACATAGACCAGGTATCTTCACTTAAGGTTACCATCTTCTGTATATATCTATTATTGTTGGTGCATATCATTATGATTTTTCGAAAATGCTACTATAGGTTCTTCTGGAGTTTAAAGAATATGCAACGGAAGTTGACGTTGATTTCGTTAGAAAGGCTGTTCGTGCAATAGGCCGATGTGCTATTAAACTAGAGAGAGCTGCTGAACGGTGCATCAGTGTTTTGCTTGAGTTGATCAAGATCAAAGTAAACTATGTTGTTCAGGAGGCCATTATTGTCATCAAAGATATCTTTAGAAGATATCCAAACACGTAAGTTGACATTTTTTAATTCTTAATCACTGTCGAAATATCGTCTTGAATTCTTTGTTAATTTTGATGTGCTATGTCAAATTTCATACAGGTATGAGTCCATAATTGCAACACTCTGTGAGAGTTTAGACACTTTAGATGAACCAGAAGCTAAGGTAATGAACTTTCCTGGTTTCTTGATTTATAAAATTGGAAAACTATCTTAATTGTGATCATAAACCACTGTACTTATAATTGTACATCTATTGGAAAATTTCAACTTGGAAGGCATCTATGATATGGATTATTGGTGAATATGCTGAAAGAATTGACAATGCCGATGAGCTTCTTGAAAGCTTCCTTGAGAATTTTCCTGAGGAACCAGCACTGGTCCAGCTGCAGCTTCTAACTGCTACTGTGAAGCTATTTCTGAAGAAGCCAACTGAAGGCCCTCAGCAAATGATTCAGGTTCGGCCTTTCCATTGCCCACACTGTTTTATGATCGATTCATGTGCATGTATGTGATGACAGGCATATTTTCCGTTTTATTTGATGTTTTCAGGTTGTCTTAAATAATGCCACTGTTGAGACGGATAATCCTGATCTCAGAGATCGTGCATACATATACTGGCGCCTTCTATCTACTGATCCTGAGGTGTGTGTCATCTTGATATTCTATAGCTATTTAGTACCCAGCTAGTCCAGAAGGAATTTATTCAGAATTGTTTGTTCAAGCAACAGTACCCCGTTGAGCTTTCTCTTGAGATACATATTGCTGAACTCATTATTTCTATTCATTAGGCGGCCAAGGATGTTGTATTAGCTGAAAAACCTGTGATTACTGACGACTCAAATCAACTAGACCCATCACTTCTTGATGAGCTGCTTACAAATATTTCGACCTTATCCTCTGTGTACCACAAACCCCCAGAAGCTTTTGTTACCCGCTTGAAAACCACAGTTCAGAAAACAGAAGATGAGGACTTTGCGGAAGGAAGCGAAGCAGGATACTCATCTAGTAATCCGGTTGATAGTGCAGCTTCCCCTCCAGCCACCACAGGTAATATCCCACAACATGCCGGAAGACAACCAGCACCTGCACCAGCCGTCCCAGCTCCTGTGCCCGATCTGCTAGGTGACCTAATGGGATTGGATAATGCCGCTATTGTCCCGGTTGATGAACCCATAACTTCATCTGGGTGAGTGATATCTTGAAAATGACAATTTCTAACTTTAGGGACTAGTTTATTACATTAGATCAATTTCGGTTGCCTAGTTCATAGTGAAGCTCATCGAATCTTATGAACTCGATTGCAGTCCTCCTTTGCCAGTTGTCGTGCCAGCTTCAAGTGGTCAAGGTCTGCAGATAAGCGCTCAATTATCTCGAAGAGATGGACAAGTATTCTACAGTATGCTCTTTGAGAACAACTCACAGACGGTACTTGATGGTTTCATGATTCAGTTCAACAAGAACACATTCGGCCTAGCAGCTGCTGGACCTCTTCAGGTAACTCTATCTGAATCTACTTTAATGTCTGAAACTTAGTTCCGAATCTTTTGAAACCGATATCTTTGTTTGTACTGTTTCAGATTCCGCCTTTGCAACCCGGAACATCTGCAAGGACAATGCTACCTATGGTCTTGTTCCAGAACATGTCTCCTGGGCCTCCAAGCTCTCTATTACAAGTTGCTGTCAAAAACAATCAGCAGCCTGTTTGGTACTTCACCGATAAGATTATACTTCATGCTCTTTTCAGTGAAGACGGTAGAATGGAACGTGGAACCTTCCTTGAGGTAACATAACATTGTACCAAACTTGTGCTTTTCGTATCTGTTGGGGTTTTGGGAAAATAGTAACACATCTGTAAAACCAAATTTATTAGAGATAGATTTGAACGGTTTGGGTTCTTTATTTGGGGATATCTTTAATTTTCAAAAGGACTTACGTTTTGGTTCGTCTTTTCACAGACGTGGAGGTCATTACCGGACTCGAATGAAGTCCAGAAAGAATTCCCCGGGATCACCATCACAAGCATCGAATCAACCATTGATTTGCTCACAGCATTCAACATGTTCTTCATAGCAAAGCGCAAGAATGGGAACCAAGACGTGATCTACTTATCAGCAAAGGATCCACGAGATGTACCGTTTTTGATAGAGCTCACTGCAATGGTGGGTCAACCAGGTCTCAAATGCGCAGTGAAAACCCCCACTCCCGAGATCGCACCACTTTTCTTCGAAGCTGTCGAGCTTCTCTTCAGATCTTGAAAATTCATTGTTGTCAAACCCAAACCTAAAAGGTTTCAGATTCTTTGTTGTTTCGTTATTTCCCTCCCCTTTTGTTTTGTTTTTACTGAGTTTAGTGTATGTAATAAACCCTATGTTTGTGTTATTTATGTTGGATCCTTTTAGTTTGATATTTGTAATGCTTCACTCTTCTCTTCTAATTCTTGTATTGAAACCACTTTATCCTCTTTTGATATTTGATCCTGGAATTGCTGGTTTCTGTACCAATGAGAAAAGATCAAACACCATCAAAGTACCATATCACAATGGAAACGCAGTGGTCTTCATACATTGGAGCCTTTGTGATGTTGGACAACACCAAAACTTTCAAACATTTCTTCCACTTGAGGCCGCTAGACCAAAGACAGCTCTCACAACGGATGCTACAACCATGATTCATTGTATGTTAAAAGGAAATGTAAATTCCGACACTTCTTGCAAACTGGTGCGGTCATGATCTGCTCGAGTTATGAATTTTCCGATGTACAAATTCACATGACGCAATGGGTTTCTGTTTTTTCATGTTCGTATTATCCAAATAGGCAAATACGTAACACTAGCTCAAAACCTAATTGTTCAAGTTTTTTCACCTTGTTAGTTTCTTCCTAGTTACTCCCATTTGCGGAAAGTATTATAAAAAGAAATACCTAGAAATATAAAGAGTATACTTCTTGTTGTACAAGAAACATAAAACAAAACTTCAAAAAAAAATTATAGCGAAAGATTTTACTATATTTTGAGTTACTGGACCACTTTTTTTTTAAATACTGGCTTTGCTGTAAAATATTTTCCTTATTTCATTTAATTTATTTAACATATATTTTTTAATGGATAGCTTTCTTTTTACTTTTATCGTAAAAAGATAAAGAGTTTTGAGTGAAGGAGAAAAAAAGAGAGGGGTATAATTTTTCCAGATCTCAGCTTCAACTATCTCTTCTTCTTTCTTCTTCTTCAATCTTGTTAGTATACGAACATGGAATCAGAGGGAGTATCACGACCGTTGATCCACGAGCATGTTATGGTGCCTTGGAATGATCTGAGGAAAGGTGATTGTTGTGGACGCTTCCAAGGTATCAGTGATGGCTACTACTGCAAAACCTGTGACTTCTTTGTTCACAAGAACTGTGGCGACTCCTCTGAATGTATCGAGCACCCATCTCACCCTGCTCACACTCTTAAGCTTCTACTTAAAGTAGTTCGTTCATGTGATTTATGTGGAAGGAACATCAAAAATGTAATATATCATTGTGAGATATGTGACTTCGATGTAGATCTATACTGTGCCAAGTACCCACCACCAGAAGTTCTTGAAATTTCCGAGACGCACCACCACAAACTCACCCTTATCAAGAAGTCCCCAAATGAGAGCACGGAGCTGGACATGTTCGACTGCGCAAAATGTGGAGAGGTTGCTGGGAAGGTGTGGTGTGGGTTTCCTTACAAATGTCATGAATGTGATTTATCTTTCCATGTGGACTGTGTATGGAATCCGCCTGAGGTAAACCCCCTGTCAGAGGTAAACCACTCTTACCATACTTTACACCCTCTTAAGCTCCACATAGGTCAACCTCCGGACTATTCCGATGGTAAATGTCGTCTTTGTGCAAGAAAGATCGATGATAGAATCTTTTATCATTGTTCTGCTTGTAACTTCAGCTTGGATATGCGTTGTGTTTTAAACACACCACAACAATCTGTTATGGATTTGAAAGTTCACGCTCACCAACTCACCCTTCTCCCAAGACTAGATTCTTTTACATGTAATGCTTGCGGGCTAAAGGGAGATCGAAGCCCTTATGTATGTTTTCAGTGTGGTTTCATGATACATCAAGAGTGTCTTTCCCTTCCACGCGTCATAAACATCAATCGGCATGATCACCGTGTTTCTCGCACTTCTGTTCTTGGTGCTGTCAATTCTGTATGTGGAGTTTGTCATCACAAGGTAGATTGAATTTGGGGCGGGTATTCTTGTCAGAGGTGTCCTCAATATGTGGTTCATGCGAAATGTGCTACTAGAAAAGATGTGTGGAACGGGAAAGAACTCGAAGCCTGAAGAGACAGAAGATATAGAGCCATATGTGGTAATAGATGATAACACAATACAACATTTCAGCCACAAAGAGCATCACCTCAAGTTTCACGTTAGTGGTCTTCTCTGCGAGGAAAGCAAGCGGTGCAGCGCTTGCACCCAGTCCATTTGTTTCCAGTCCTACTATGACTGCAGTAACAATTGTGATATTTTTCTCCACCAAAACTGCGCTAAATCTCCAAGAAAAAAATGGCATGTGCTACACAATGACCGGCTTACATTAGTCACAAAAGAGGGTCATAAATTTCTTTGCCACGCTTGTCATAGACTGTCCAATGGTTTCATCTACCAATGTGGAAATAAGAATTTAGATGTTCTGTGCGGTTCATTTTCAGAGCCGTTTGTCCATCCAAGCCATCCGCAACATCCTTTATATTACATCCCATCAGAGGAACCACACAAATGCCATGGTTGCAACAGCAGTAAGTTACCATCTCCTCCTGTGCTTACGTGCATTGAAAGTGGTTGTGGATATGTCTTATGCTTCCATTGCGCCACTTTACCACAAAAGGTAAAGCATAGAGTAGACGATTATCTTCTCTCACTATGCTACGGCGAAGAGGCCATTGGCAAATACTGGTGTGACATTTGTGAAAAAGAAACGGATCCAAAGACATGGTTCTACACGTCTATAGATGACAGAGCTAGTTTGCATACAAAGTGCGTGATGGGAGACTTATCAGGGCTCATGCCAGGAAGCACGGTAAAGTTTTTCAGCAAGTCATATAAGGTGCTTCTCAACGATAGTATCTATCGTCCATTTTGCATTGGGTGTAAGTTACATTGCATTTTTCCTATCATCTGGAAAATTGGAACCTCAGATGAATACATTTGCTCTTTGGACTGCGCACGCATAATATTTATGAATAGATGAGAGTCATATTTATTGTTCAATTTAAGTCTTTTTTTGGGTAATGTAATTTTGGTGTGCCATTCAGTTTGCATGCAAACCATTTTAACGTCGAACTTTTTTCTGAGTACAAGGTGTCTGGTAATGAGTTCAAGTTTTCATTTTATGACGTCAAGTTTTATTTATTTTGTGATATGTATGAACTGAAATAAAGGTAGAATTATAAGTTGTAGTAAAGATAATTATATATGACCACAACACCGAGAATTTTGGTATTTTTTAGATCAACAAAAAAGAGTTACTAAATCTGCAAAACATCAAGAGAACTAGAGTCAAGTGTGATAGTGATTCTCACCTCTGTTTGCATTCTCACCAGATCCGGGTTTGAACCCGATCTTTCTCAAAAAGATATTTATAATTTGTAATGATGTTAAAAAAAAAAAAACTATAGTCAAGCTCAGATTATTTTTATTTGTTTTCTTTTACTCATACATATGCTTAATTATTTATACGTTATATTAAATTATTAATGCTTACCATTTATACGTTAGAAAAAAAATTCTGATACCAGTGCTGATAATTTTATGTTTAAAAAGACTAAGAAGAAAAAAAATTTATGTTTAATTTTGTTTTTTACATATGTTATATTAATGCTACAATTCTTTTTTTTTTTTTTATAATAATCAACATTGAAGGGATTGTAGTAGAACACTACTACTAATTTTAGACTTCTATGTAAAAACATGAACTCATCGAATAAGTTAACAACAATAATCCCTTAAACTGTTTGTAAATGAATCTTATCAAACATGTTATATTTTTCCTTTTTTTTTCTGTGTACATTTCTTTTCTGATATATGCTAATATGCACATCAAGATTAATTAGTTTTATGATATTTTTTATTACTGAGTTTAGTGTATGTAATTGTAACAACCCGTCTAGTCGGATCATCCGCCATGTGGCACACCCCGCCACATGGCATCCTTACAACGCTGCAGCGCATCGACCCTAACCTCTTTTCTATGGGCTCAAACTGCGCAGTCCACTTACTCGCAGTCTCCTGGCCCACCAGGTAGGTTATTGATGCGCCTGGCGTTCCTCGAACTCAGGTCCTCACCCTTTAACAACCTTCCCACTTGACAAGTTGTTACCAACTGACCATCAGATCAATTGGTAACAACTTGTCAAGTGGGAAGGTTTGAACTGCAGATCAATTGGTAACAACTTGTCAAGTGGTAAGGTTGTTAAAGGGTGAGGACCTGGGTTCGAGGAACGCGAGGCGCACCAATAACCTACCTAGTGGGCCAGAGGGCTGCGAGCAAGTGGGCTGCGCAGTTTGGGCCCATAGGAGAGAGGTTAGGGTCGATGCGCTGCAGCGCTTGTAGCTGCCATGTGGCGGGGTGTGCCATGTGGTAGGGGTTCCCACCGGGATGGGTTGTTACAATTAAAAGTCGACTTTTTATGTAACAACCCGTCCAGTGGGATCATCCGCCATGTGGCACACCCCGCCACATGGCATCCTTACAGCGCTGCAGCGCATCGACCCTAACCTCTCTCGTATGGGCCCAAACTGCGCATCCCACTTGCTCGCAGCCTCCTGGCCCACCAGGTAGGTTATTGGTGCGTCTGGCGTTTCTCGAACCCAGGTCCTCACCCTTTAACAACCTTCCCACTTGACAAGTTGTTACCAACTGACCTGCATAATTGTAACAACCCATCCCGGTGGGAATCCCTACCACATGGCACACCCCGCCACATGGCAGCTACAAGCGATGCAGCACATCGACCCTAACCTCTCTCCTATGGGCCCAAACTGCGCAGCCCACTTGCTCGCAGCCCTCTGGCCCACTATGTAGGTTATTGGTGCGTCTCGCGTTCCTCGAACCCAGGTACTCACCCTTTAACAATCTTCCCACTTGACAGCGTTACAGCCATTGGTAACACATCCAGGGCAAGGTGTTACAGTAATAAATCCTATATGTATTTGTGTTACTTCCGGTTGGACCCTTTTAGTTTGGTATTTGTAATGCTCACTCTTTCTTCTAATACTGTACCAATAAGGCAATAAGAAAGATCAAATCACCATGGAGAAGTAGTGGTCTTCCTACATTGGAAGCCTTGATGATGCTAATGGCGGACAACACCAAAACTTTCAAACATCTCTTCTTGCTAAATACACTTGGGGCCGCTAGGCCAAAGACAGCTTTCGCAACCATGATTTATTGTATTATAATAGGAAATGCAAATTCCAACATTTCTTGTTTAGTTTTTTGGATTATGGATAAAAACCGAACTACTATTGTAAGCATCGTGTTTTGTCATGCTCATGCACAAACACAAAGTTCGCATTACGTAATAGTTTGCATTTTGTATAATAACTTTGTACACCTGATTTGAAATCAATGAAGTAAATATACGTACCGTAAAGCGCTAGTAAAAAAAATACATATAGCCACTTGGCAGTCGCGAAAATTCGTGGTTATAAGGTGATTTTTTAAAAAACAGCAACGAATTTTTTAAGTTACGACCCTATAGGCACGAATTTTAACGCACAGCCACGAATAGGTAAGTGGCTATAGAGATTTTTTTTACTAGTAAGGGAAATGCTTCTCTTGTGTTTGTGGGTAATAATTGTTGTAAGCTACTTGACTTTTCCGGGTGGGTGGATTAATTTGTTTTTTGAGTGTTATAAATTTAAGTTTTCACATGTACAGTTGGATATATTTCAACATAATAATCATGCATCTTCCATTTATAGGTTGAGGAGATGCAACAACGGCTCAGAGTCTTTGCCTTGATTTTAATTATGACAAGCTTGGCGTTACTAATGCTTTGCCAATCAGAATATTTTTTTTCCGGCTCTAGCAAAGGCTTTAATGCTTTTATCAAAGAGATCTAGAGAACAAGAAGTAGATTACAACTATCCTTTAGCGTCGAATACATTTTGCTAGTTTTTATAAATTTGTTTTAAAGCTCAAATCAATGATATGACAAAAATTAGGTCAACACAATGGGTTAGTTTTCTGACAAAACACTTTTAATTGGAAACACTTATTAGTTTTAATTATATTTGGTATTACTGCACCTCCTTTTTCAATAATTGCCGGCTGTGAATTGACAATTTTTTGAAACTTCTAAAATATTTACCTTTAATATATACTGTATATATTCTAAATTGATAGCTTTTAAAGATAAAGAGTTTTGATTGGAGGAGAAAGAAAGAGACTTAAAAGGACTATAACTTGTATCATAACGATAAGAGTTTCGAGTGGAGGAGAAGGATACTTGAAAGAAGTATAGCTTCAACTTTTTCTTTCTTCTACTCTTTTCTTCTTTCTTCTTCAATCTTGTTAGTATACGAACATGGAATCTGAAGGAGTGTCACTACCATTGATCCACGAGCATGTTATGATGCCTTGGAATGATCTGAGGAAAGGTGATTGTTGTGGACGCTTTGAAGGTATCAGTGATGGCTACTACTGCAAAAGCTGTGACTTCTTTGTTCACAAAGGTTGTGGCGACTCCTCCGAATATATTGAGCACCCATCTCACTCTGTTCACACTCTTAAGCTTCTAATTAAAGGAAGTCGGGGATGTGATTTATGTGGACGGGCTACCAATGATGTAATGTATCATTGTGAGATCTGTCACTTCGATGTAGATCTATACTGTGCAAGGTACCCACCACCAGATGTTCTTGACATTTACGAAACACATCACCACAAGCTCACCATTGTCAAGGACAAGGAGCTGAACGAGTTCGATTGCGCAAAATGTGGGAAGGTTTGGTGTGAGTTTCCTTACAAATGCCATGAATGTGATTTAGCCTTCCATGTGGATTGTGTATGGAATCCGTCGAAGGAGAAATACCCATCAGAGGTAAACCACTCTTACCATACTTTACACCCTCTTAAGCTCTACACAGGTCAACCTCCAGACTATTCTGATGGTAAATGTCGTCTTTGCGGAAGAGCGGTTGAGGATTCCTTTTATCATTGTTCTGTTTGTAACTTCAGCTTGGATATGGGTTGTGTTTTCAATACACCACAACAATTTGTTATGGATTTGAAAGCTCACGATCACCAACTCATTTTTCGTCCAAGGCTTGATTCTTTTACATGTAATGCGTGCGGGTTGAGTGGAGATCGAAGCCCTTACATATGTGTTCAATGTGATTTCATTATACATCAAGAGTGTCTTGCCCTTCCGCGCCTCATAAACATCAATCGGCATGATCACCGTGTTTCTCGCACTTCTGTTCTCGGTATTGTGAATTCTGTATGTGGAGTTTGTCGCCAGAAAGTGGACTGGACTTGGGGCGGATATTCTTGTCAGAGGTGTCCTAAATATGTCGTTCATTCGAAATGTGCTACTAGATATGATGTGTGGAACGGGAAAGAACTCGAAGATATACCTGAAGAGAGGGAAGATATAGAGCCATATGTGGTAATAGATGACAACACAATACAACATTTCAGCCACAAAGAGCATTACCTAAGATTCCACGATAATGGTCTAGTTTTGGAGGAAGACAAGCGGTGCAACGCTTGCACCCATCCCATTTGTCTCCAAGCCTTCTATAGTTGTATCGATTGTGATTTCACTCTTCACCAAAACTTTGCTAAATCTCCCAGAAAGAAATGGCATGTGTTACACAATGACCGTCTTACTTTGGTAACAAGCGTGGCTGATGATTACTTTCATTGTCACGCTTGTTATAGACTGTCCAATGGTTTCATGTACCAGTGCGGGTATAGGGAGTTAGATATTCTGTGCGGTTCAGTTTCAGAACCTTTTGTCCATCCAAGCCATCCCCAACATCCTCTATACTACATTCCATCAAAGGAAATACGCACATGCAATGGTTGCAACAATAGGTTATCATATCCTGTGCTTACGTGCATTGAAAGTGGTTGTGACATTGTCTTATGCTTCCATTGCGCCACTTTACCACAAAAGGTAAAGCATAGAGTAGACGATCATCCTCTCTCACTATGTTATGGGGAAGAGGCCATTGGGAAATATTGGTGTGACATTTGCGAGAAAGAAACGGATCCAAAGACATGGTTCTACACTTCTAAAGATGACAGAGCTAGTTTGCATATAAAGTGCGTGCTGGGAGACTTTTCAGGGCTCATGCCAGGAAGCACGATAAAGTTTTATGACAAATCATATGAGGTGGTTCTCAACAATAGTATATCTCGTCCATTTTGCAGCCGGTGTGAGTTACGTTGCATTGTTCCTATCATCTTGAAGAAACCAATTGAAGTAGAATACATTTGCTCTTACTACTGCTTATATTATATAAGTAGATGAGTCATTTATTGTTCAACTTTTGAAGTCTTTTTTTTTTCCAGTTAATAGTATCTTCTTCACTATGAGCTGCTTTCCTTTATGTATTTGTAGAAATTAACTTTAATGATACTATTTCGACATTCATATGATCAGAAACATAATTTATTCATACTTAAGTAGATCATTTGACAACATTTAAGTAAAAATTTAAAGGAATTTTCATGAACTGAGAAACATTTTTCATTACTAGTATAACTATTTCAATATGCATTTACCATGAGAAAGGAACTACCAAACATAATATTGACAAAATCATACTGTTTTTATTTACGACATAACTTTTGTCTTTTTTGGGTTATGTGTAACTTTTTTGTGTGATTCAGTTCTCATGCAAACCATTTTAACGTCTAATTAATTCAATGTACTGTTTTATTACAAGAAGGGGTCTTGTGATGAATTCATGTTTTCATGTGTATGACCTGAACTAACGGTAGAATTAAGTTGTAGTAATTAGAGCTATTATATCTATATATATATGACCATAACATTGAGAATTTTGGTATTTTTTTTTTTTTTTTGGAACAAAAATTTTGGTATTTTCTAGATCAACGAAAGAGTGACTAAATCTGCAAAAACATCAAGAAAACTAGAGTCGAGACCATTTTTGTACTCAGTTTATTTTATTTGTTTTTTTCTCTCATAGAAATGCCTATAATTTTTATCTATACGTTATATTAAATTATTAGCGCTTACAATTTATACGTTAACAAAAAAAATATTCTGATACCAATGCTGATAATATATGTTAATTTTGTTTTCTATATACGTTATATTAATGCATATAATTTTCTATTTGTTTTTCTAATAATCCCTTAAATTGTTTTTTAATGAATCTTATCAAACAGCTTATTTCTGAGAAAATGTCATGTAGAGTACTAGTCTACTAAACATATTTTCTTAAAAGCCACAAAAATAATTTAATTTTTGAATATGGTATAGAGACAAAAGTCGTTAATTTCAGAAACTTTTTTTGTGCAAAAAATTCAGAAACTTAAAACATAAATTTTTTTGGTTGATTTGAATATCACCTTCTGCTATTGCAACCATACCACGTAAAAGTTTCCTAAAAAACGTAAAACCATAAATTAAAAATAAGAAACAGAGAGATAAAGCACAGTTAGCTAAATTCTACCGGTGTAAAATCTTATGGTGAGAGTTGTTGATCACTTAATTAAGTTAAATTCTATAATAGAACTCATGAATCCGAAGGACCATTAGAGATATATAATTAATTACCAAAGGATTAATGATGCATCGACCAAGAAGATCATGTAACACGGTCCAGTAACTCCAACCATAATACTAATGCAAAAATGTAACACAAGTACCTACTATACCAGAGTCTAGGTGACCATGTTTCCTTTCTCGTAGGAGACTTTCGAAAGAAAGAGAATGCATAGTCGGATCTGATTGATATTGCGATTATTGCTGTTTTATTGTGTTACAAATTATAATTCCAAATCAAATATTTGGTGTTACTGATTTTTTTTTTTATGTAACAATTTTTTATGTTACAGATTTTCAATTTCAGCTTTCAATTTCTTAAACTTATTCAACGTCGCATCTTTAGTATCAATCAAATAGATAATGAGAATTTGTACGGTACAAGTTCATGGAAGTGATTGCTTGAGGGGTTCTTAATTTATTATCTTCATAAAAACTTTGCTAATTAAGACAACAAAACTGAGACATTGGTCTTTGATTATTGGAATTTATATAATAGCAATTGTCAATAATGAAACTTTATGTCCTTTAAATTATGGGAATTACGTGTCCTTTCTCTTTGATTTTTACTAATGACCAACGGCTAGTGACTTTTGAAAGTGCGTTTCTTCTCAGAGTCTTTAATTAGTAATTTAACTAATAAACCATATAATTAATTAATTTCATTTGATATATCGAATGACTACAAAGTTTTGAGCATCTTTGAGATTAAACAAAGACTTTTGAGTGGAGAGAGAACGATACTTGAAAGGAGCCATAGCTTTGAGATCTCAGCTTTTTCAGATCTCAGTTTCAACATTTTCTTCTTCTTCTTCTTCAACTTTTTCTTACTCAGTCTCGTAGTATACGAACATGGAGTCTGAGGGAGTATCACGACCGTTGATCCACGAGCATGTTATGGTGCCTTGGAATGATCTGGGGAAAGGTGATTGTTGTGGACGCTTCCAAGGTATCAGTGATGGCTATTACTGCAAAATATGTGACTTCTTTGTTCACAAGAACTGTGGCGACTCCTCTGAATGTATCCAGCACCCATCTCACCCTGCTCACACTCTTAAGCTTGTAACTAAAAGAGATCGGTTCTGTGATTTATGTGGAAGGTTTAGTGATATATTTTATCATTGTGAGATCTGTGACTTCGACGTGGATATATACTGTGCAAGGTACCCACCACCAGAGGTTCTTGACATTTCCGAGACTCACCACCACAAGCTCACCCTTCTCAAGAAGTCCCCAAGTTCCGAGAACACGGACCTGAACCGGTTCGATTGCGCAAAATGTGGGTTCGAGTTCGAAGCTGAAGGTGGGTTTCCTTACATATGCCATGAATGTGATTTAGCTCTCCATGTGGATTGCATATGGATTCCGCCTGAGGCAAAACTCCTGTCAAAGGTAAACCACTCATACCATCCTTTACACCCTCTTAAGCTCCACATAGGTAAGCCACCGGACTACTCTGATGGAAAATGTCGTCTTTGCGCAAGAGAGATTGATGATAGACTCTTTTATCATTGTTCTGCTTGTAACTTCAGTTTGGATATGCGTTGTGTGTTCAACACACCACAACAATCTGTTATGGATTTGAAAGTTCACGCTCACCAACTCACCCTTCTCCCAAGACTCGACTCTTTTACATGTAATGCTTGCGGGCTGAAGGGAGATCGAAGCCCTTATGTATGTTTTCAGTGTGGTTTCATGATACATCAAGAGTGTTTTTCCCTTCCGCGCGTTATAAACATCAATCGGCATGATCACCGTGTTTCTCGCACTTCTGTTCTTGGTATTGTGAATTCTGTATGTGGAGTTTGTCGTCAGAAGGTGGATTGGATTTGGGGCGGATACTCTTGTCAGAGGTGTCCTCAATATGTCGTTCATTCGAAATGTGCTACGAGAAAGGAAGTTTGGAATGGGAAAGAACTGGAAGGAGTGCCTGAAGAGACAGAAGATATAGAACCATATGTGAAAATAGATGACAACACAATACAACATTTCAGCCACAAAGAGCATTATCTAAGATTCCACGATAATGGTCTTCTTTTGGAGGAAGACAAACGGTGCAGCGCTTGCACCCATCCCATTTGTCTCCAAGCCTTCTATGGTTGTATCGATTGTGATTTCACTCTTCACCAAAACTGTGCTAAATCTCCCAGAAAGAAATGGCATGTGTTACACAATGACCGTCTTACTTTGGTGACAAGCGTGGCTGATGATTACTTTCATTGTCACGCTTGTTGTAGAATGTCCAATGGTTTCATGTACCAGTGTGGGTATATGAAGTTAGATGTTCTGTGTGGTTCAGTTTCAGAGCCTTTTGTCCATCCAAGCCATCCGCAACATCCTTTATATTACATTCCATCAGAGGAACGACACAAATGCCATGGTTGCAACAACAATAGGTTATCATCTCCTATGCTTACGTGCATTGAAAGTGGTTGTGGATATGTCTTATGCTTCCATTGCGCTACTTTACCACAAGTGGTAAAGCATAGAGTAGACGATCATCCTCTTTTACTATTCTATGGCGAAGAGGCAAAAGGCAAATACTGGTGTGACATTTGTGAGAAAGAAATGTATCCAAAGATATGGTTCTACACGTCTAAAGATGACAGAGCTAGTTTGCATACACAGTGCGTGATGGGAGATTTTTCAGGGATCATGCCAGGAACCACAATAAAGTTTTTTAGCGAATCATATGAGGTGCTTCTCAACAATAGTATATCTCGTCCAGTTTGCAGCGTGTGTGAGTTACGTTGCATTGTTCCTATCATCTTGAAGAGACTAAGTGGAACCTCAGATCTATACATTTGCTCTTTCCACTGCTTATATAAGGAAAAAAGATACCTACCTAAATGAAATATGCTACAATACATGATCACACATCCGAAGTTTAAACATGTATATCTAACTACACAAATTATATGTATTGCATGCCCACATATATGAACTATATGTACTCATGTCGCCAACATCACGAACATTTTTTCCGGTACACTTTTGGCCAGAATCCGGCATTGACCCGTTTGACCGGCATTGACCAATATAAATATTCAAGAAAGAAGATTTTTTTAAGTTTTTATTATTTAAAAAATATGTTTTGAATCATTTATAATATTATATAATTACGAAAATATTAAAAAGAAACATTGTGATTTTTTATTTATTTTTAAAAGTTATTTTTATTATTATTTTACCTAATTGGTTTTTTATTTTAGTTTAGTTTTGAAATTATCGAAATTAACTAATTATAAAAATCAATGCATTGAATATATATACAAAATATTTTTATATTGAATATTGTATATATATTTTTTTAATTTACAATATTATAAATGATTCAATAACATAATTTCTAAATATTAAAAAACTAATTTTTTTTTTTAATATTTGTGTTGGTCAAAACTGCTCAACGCCGGATTCCGGCGAAAAGTATACCGGAAAAATGTTCGTGATGTTGGCGACATAACTACATATAGTTCGTATATGTGGGCATGCAATACATATAGTTTGTGTAGTTAGAGATACATTTTTAAAATTCGGATGTGTGGGCATGTATTATAGCATACTTCATGTAGTTACGTATCTTTTTTCCCTTATATAATATGGGAAATAGATGAGTCATTTATTGTTCAACTTTTAAAGTCTTTTTTTTTTTCTGTTAAAAGTATCTTCTTCACTATGAGCTGCTTTCCTTTATTTATTTATTTATTATTTTATTTTTTTTGTTCAACACCTTTATTTATTTCTAAAAATTAATTTTAATGATATTATTTCAACATTATTATTTATTCCGTTATTATGTATTTCTATATTAATTCTTTAATGATATTATGTATTTCGTTACTTTTTTAATTGTTGTCAGTAATCTACTAAAATATAAAAAAATGGTTCTTATGTTGAAATTTGTTTTTTCAACATTCATATGATAAGATTTATATTTTTCATATTTAAGTAGATTATTGACAACATTTAAGTTAAAAAATAACGGAATTTTATGTATTGAGAAACAATTTTCTTTACTAGTATAACTATTTCAAAATGCATTTACCATGGAAAAGGAACTACCAAACATAATATTGACAAAATCATAACTTTTTATTTACTACATAACTAGGTTTTGACCCGCGCTACAGCGCGGGGGAAATAATTACTTATATATAAATTTTAACGGATTTTTAAAAATAATTTATTTAACCTTTTACTAAAAAAATATATTTTAACGGATTAAAATATATTAAATTTTAATTTTATTACAGTGAAATTGATTACAATGAATCATATATTTGTATAATAAGTTTAATTAGATTACCAAAAAAATATGTTTAAATAAAATAATAAAAGGAAAAAGCGAGTAAATAATAATATATTGAGTTTTGCTACAATTAAAAAAGGGTGAAAATTTTATAGCACGAAATAATATTTATCGATAAATTATTCAATTTAACCATTTTTGTAGTAGAAGTAATAGACGTAAAAATTACATACTACAATATATTTTTTGAAGGACCAACCCGTAACATAATTCATATAGTAAAAAACATTATTCACAACTCGATTTACCATTATAATTGTGATTTTAACATACTACCCGTGAACTATCTAAAATTTACGTAGTTTGATATATAATATTTTATCAATAAAACTTATGTCTCCAAATTTACATCTACGTATTGAAAACAATAGTTTTACTATTTTAAATCTAAATTTTTTATATATTTGAACCTTGTAATTATAATATTTTGAAACTTTTTAAAATTTTAAATATGCTCATCTAACAATGATTTTAATATTGGTCATATTATAAATCATTGTCAAAATATTTAACCGAGTGTAATTGAGTATTATATGTCCGTTTTGAAAAATTCAAATTGCAACATATGCAAAAAAAAAAGTTAAGAAAATTTTAAATATTTTTCAAATTTAGTATAATATTATAAATTAAAAATAAGATCAAATAAAAGTGAAAGAAGAATGATAATTGTTTTTAATATATTCTATTAAATTAGTTAGAGAAATATTAGGAAATCCTAAAATTAGTTATGGAAATAATATAATCCTAAAATGAGATATGGAAAGTATCCGATTTATGTATCCGAATCCATTTTAATATCCTATTTTGAAGTATCCAATTGTTAAAATTGGGTTAACTTTTTGATTTTGACCCGACATGCATTCTATTTTGTAATTCTCTTTTACTAATATAGAGATTATAACTTTTTTCCTTTTTTAGGTTATGTAACTTTTTTTGTGAGATTCAGTTCTCATGCAAACCATTTCAACGTGTAATAAATTCAATGTACTGTATTATTACAAGAAGGGGTCTGGTGATGAATTCATGTTTTCATGTCTATGAACTGAACTAACGGTAGAATTAAATTGTAGTAATTAGAGCTATTATATATATATGACCAGAACATTGAGAATTTTGGTATTTTTTTTTTTTTGGAACAAATTTTTTGGTATTTTCTAGATCAACAAAAGAGTGACTAAATTTGCAGAAACATAGAGAAAACTAGAGTCCAGACCATTTATATACTCAGTTTATTTCTATTTGTTTTTGTTTTCTCATACAAACGCCTATAAGATCATCTCCAATGGTTTTTGCTATTTTTGCCTCTATAATAGAGGTGACTTTTGCTCCAATGGTTTCCTCTATTTTTTCCTCTATAATAGAATATTCTAAATAGATTCTTTTAAAATTTTAATATTAACACCATCTATTTATAAAATTTGCAAATTAACTCATTTACTTTAACTTTTATAAAATTTTAATAAAATAGTTACCTTTATTTTAATTAAACATTTATTATAAAAACATCATATTATATTTATTTAAAAATACATCGCATTATATAAAAAAGTAATACGATATTAGATTCTATTCTATTATTATATATAATAAGGTAAAATAAAATCTCTTTTTTCCTTCAATAAAAATAAAATCTATTATTATATATATTTATAAGATTTTATATAATTTACTTTTGCAAATGGTAGTCTCAAATTTTAGAATATATATTTATATTAAAACCTCTAAAATATTTTATATTATTAGTTATTAAATATATTTATTTTATTTATTTTGTTCATAAATAAAAGAAGTTTAAGATTAAAAGGACTGATTTGCAATAAAATAGTTCACCTCTATTTATATATAGATATAAAAATAGCAATCTCTATAATAGAGGTGGATATAGAGATGGGTTGAAGCAAAATTTGCTATAAAATAGAGTTTAGAGGAAGAAATAGAGGTGGGTTGGAGATGCTATAAGTTTTGTGTAAACGTTATTTCTATTTGTTAGTGCTTACAACTTATTCCTTAACAAAAAAAAAAATCTGATACCAATGCTGATAATTTATGCTAATTTTGTTTTCTGTATACGTTATATTAATGCATATAATTTTTTTTTTCTAATAATCCCTTAAATTGTTTTTTAATGAATCTTATCAAACAGCTTATAAAAAAATATGTCTGGTTTAATTTTTTAATATTATGGTCATCTCCTGTGCTTACATGCATTGAAAGTGGTTGTGGATATGTTTAATGCTTCCATTGCGCCACTTTACCTCAAGTGGTAAAGCATAGAGACCAGAGTAGACGATCATCCTCTCTCGATATGCTATGGAGAAGAGGCCATTGGCAAATACTGGTGTGACATTTGTGAGAAAGAAACGGATCCAAATATATGGTTCTATACGTGTAACCAAGCTAGTTTGCATACAAAGTGCGTGCTGGGAGACTTTAAAAGGTTCATGCCAGGAAGAATAGTAGAGTTATATAAGAGGACATATGAGGCGGTGCTTAACAATAGCGTGTCTCGTCCATTTTGCAGATGGTGTAAGTTGCATTGCATTTTTCCTATCATCTTGAAGAGACTTGAAACCTTTGATGAATACTGTTGCTCTTTTGATTGCGCATTCTGTTTAGTTTTTGGGAAACCTTATCCATCAGCTTGAAGAGGCTTGAAACCTCAGATGAGTCATGTAGTTTTCAGTTAAAAGCTTATCTTCATAATTATGATGCTTGCTTGCCTTTAAGAATTTAATATTAATGATAATTATTTCAACATATATACTTATGATAATAATATATATTTAGAAGAAACAGTTGGAATATGATTTATTCATATTAATTAAAGTACATCTTAGACAACGTTTTAAAACGGTATTTTAATGTTTTGATACATTTTTCATCACTAGTGTTACTATAATCTCGTCATCTATAGTGATACACACTTCTATAATCTCATCATCGTAATGGTATAATATACATATTCTTATGTCTATTGTCTCTAATGCATCATAAAGTAATATCTGTCGTTCATGTATATGAATTTAAATTGTCTCGTAAATGAAGTCTTAAATTATCTGTTTCCGTAAAAACGTACTTCAAAAATTCCTCATCTATTCGTACTTTAACATGCATGGTATTGGCAATGGCTACATACAGTATATAGAAGCAATTTGAAAAAAAAAAAGAAAAAAAAAAAAGTGGGTAACGTGATTGAAAAGAGTATATATATTGTAAACCAAACATTAACAATTATTCATCTATGCAAAAATTGTTTAGGAAATTTCCCATACTAGCATTAGTTATAGTCTATAACTTATAGACATAGTTCTCTTTGCACATGTTCTCTTCCAATTGTTGGGATATGGTTATTGTCTATCCATCTCGTATATGTAGTCTAAACATGTTTACATGTATATATAATAGTAATATACATGTAAACATGTTATCATAAACATGTGAAACATGTTTGTCTACTGATAATGTTAAATATATTTGTGTCCATCAATTAATACCTAATTTGGTCTTCGATCTTGTCTCCCACGAATCCAACACTTTTGTACTCTTCAAATCCAACAATTGTGTGCATCAGCTGGTTAGATGATCATTATGATAGACAATGAAGTTAGATTGATAACAAATGAATCTCATACCAAACCTACGTAGAAGCATCTTCGACCTCGACGGGAGCATCATCGACAACAAATATGATCCGTTAATTAATACCTAAACTTGGCTTTCAATTAATCTTCTATAGATATATGGTTAAAAGAAACTTTGTATAGTAGATTGTTTCTCCATTAGGTGCCACCGGATGTAGACATAAATGGAGGAATAGATTGTGGACTACAAAAGGACGAGGGTTTTATAGAGAGATGGAGGTTTATTGGAAAAGTTTACCTTTGAGAAGTGTGTAACGATGGTAGTTTTTAGGGATTATTGTTAGTTATGCAACTTTCATAATTCAAAATTATGTTTCTAAATTATATTTCTTTCATTCTACCTAAAACATTTTCTAAAATATCAGTTTATCCATTTGTGACAGTGTTGTATATGACAAAATTACCTTCGCAAAAAAAAAAAGCAAAAAAAATACGATGGACGAGAACTGGTGCACCAGATCTACTCCGCCAGAACTGGTTTGAATCTAGTCTACCAAAACTGGTTGGTCTAATCTTATCCAGACAAATATATATATACACTAAATATATACAATATAATCAACATCAATTCCATATTTCGAAGTTTAAAACAATTCAAATTCAATATATTAATATGAATTAACTTAATTAAAAAATAATCATCATAACGCTCAAAGTCATGTTCTCATTTCCGTCGGTTTCATCTAGTTCACGTTTATAGTGCTAAAGAAAAAAAAACAAAACAAAACGTAAATGACATATAAATAAACATTTTAGGTTATATAATAGTAAAATACCCAACATACAGATATATTTTTTGTTCTCGACTTATTTATTTATTATGTAATTCAAATAAAATGTAAGATTTTGTCGTCCTTCCAAAATGAAATCAAACATTTCTATAGCTCTTCCAAATTGAGTTTATAGGAAACACTTTTGCATTATCCCTAGTTAGAAGCAATCGATGATGGACTTAGAGGGGTACTATTTTTCTTAAGTAACTCCAATATGGACTCAGAGGCTTTTTCATTGGGCTTAGTATCTAATTATCCCCAAAGCCCCATCTCATCTAGCTTGCTTCTTTGGTAAAACAAAGCTAATATTATCCATGATTTTTGAGTTCTCAAGAGTACTAACTTTGGAAGGAAGGATAGGTTCACAGTAATGGATGTCTACTGTATGGTAAATGAAGGTTTAAACAATCTATTTTGTAAACTAAATCTTCAAAATTGTTCATCTATTAGTATCTTTCTTACTCTACTTTGCATAGTATCCGAAACGAATACATATACGCGATTTGAAAATAACAAAAGAAAGCGGGTAATGTATTCGAAACGTTTGCATATATATAACATATAGATTGTAAGATCTTACAATCAACATCAAAACTATATTTAGAAAAAGATTGTTTAAAACAAAACAACACAAATATGATAAAAAAAAAAAGACTAAGTAATTTAATTAACACAACAATGCATTTAAATTGAGTTTAGTAGGAGCATTTTATATACTGTTTCCGTGTTTTCATAATTCTTTGTATCTTATAACGTTTTCGAAACGGGAAATTGATCTAAAATCTGGTAATCTCAAAACGTTTTCTCAAAAAAAAAAAAAAAGGTTTATTTATTTACCTAAATAAAAAATATTACTTTCTACTTTTCTCTCTTTTTGCATTTATGATTATTAGAATTGAGCTGTATAAAGGGTGATTTCGTATTTATGTTTTGTTGAATATTAGTGATTTCTATTCAATGTTTCATTTAAAGAAAATATCCAATATATTTAGCATAAAAGTTCCAAGGTGACTAATTCTTATCCATCTTACAACCAAATCCCATATATATGATATGACTATGAAGTATTTTGTGAACAAAATTAAATAATTTTCAAACCCACACAAAGTAAAAATCAAATCCAATTTTTGCAATTCTTTGATTACCTTTTGTAAAACCTAAATTAAAAAATCACAATCACCTACCACTCATCCCCTCTCTCTATATAAACATAAACCTAGAAATATATTTTATCATATCTCAGATTTAGTTTTCTCTTTTGTTTCTTGTTTTTTTTTTTTTTCTTATAAACTCAATCTTAAATATTAACCTCAGATTTGTTTACAAAAACAAAATACAAAAGATAAAACAGACAAAGGGTTCTTTGCTTAAGTGCTTGCATGTCTTTTCCATTTGATCTCTAAATTTTTTGCCTTTTTTTCAGTATTTTTTTTTTGTCACTTCTGTAACAACAATGGCGGAGTTAAACCCATAAAGGAGGGTTCTTTACAAAACATTTCCTCTTGCCTTCTACAGCAAATTCCAGGTAAAAACCTCAAAATCCAAAATTCAATTGAAACATTTCGGATAAAAATAAAAAATATAAATTTCAGAAATCAAGAAAGACAAAACGTCTGAATTTTTTTTAAAAATCAAACCTTTAGGCTAATCCCATGTTTGTTTGTTTGACCCATTTCTTGAAATTAGCTGCTTAATTGATTGATCTTTTGTGTTTGTTTTGGCTTAGGTTTTATGAACTGGAGTGACCTTTCTTGATTAGAGGATGAATGAGTAGGGAATTGAGTCTTAAGGGTTTAATGGGGGGATGGTCAAGTTTCAATCATAGTTCAGGTTCATATGTTGATGTTAAGATTGAGTATATTGATGAATGTGAGAACAGGTTAAGGAGATTGTTTGATCAAGCTCTGTTGTTTTTTCTTGAGGAAGAGGGCAATGTAAGTTCCCTGCCTGCTGTTCTTGGTGATGGCGAAAATGTCGATTTGTTTAAGCTCTTTGTGTTGGTTTGTGAGAGGGAAGGGTTTGATTCTGTGTCTAGGAATGGGTTGTGGGATTCAGTAGCTGAGAAATTAGGCTCGGACTGTTATGTCTCCCCATCTTTGAGGTTGGTTTACTCAAAGTATTTGGACCGGATGGAGAAATGGGCGGTCGAGGAAACGAGGATCTTGAACCGGGATGGTAAAAAGAAAGGGTGTTACGGGGGTATGTTACAAGAGCTAGGTAATGGATTCAAGGGTTTGCTAGAAAATGGTAATTGTCAAAAACGTAACAGAGCTGTGGCATTAGGTTGTAACCTTATAGAAGAGTCGTTCTCAGAGTTCCATAGGAAGAGATTTAGAGAGAGTAGATATGATGAAGAAGGAGTAGGATCTTCTTTTGTTGATGTTCTTAATGAGTCTGTTGTATGTGCTGAGGAGAAAGGTTTGGATTTGTCCTCAAAGAAGAAAGGAGGAGATTTGCAAGAAATGTTGCAATGGCTGACTTCAGTTGCAAGATCTCCTCATGATCCTTCCATTGGTGTTATACCTCACTGTTCTAAATGGAGGTACTATACTGGTAAAGAGTGTTCCATCAAAGCGATTAAAGCCAAAAACGCTCTACTTGTTCCAAGAGGCAATGCTCTACTCAAATATCGATGTTGTCCAAATCTGGTACTGTCTTTAACTCTACTGAACAGCTTTATTTACTTTATATTGCCTTCAGTTTTAGATTGATATAACATTTGCTGCTGATATATATATATATATAAGTATGCTTTATTTTTTTTCATACTTGTGACTCTTTGAGATAGCTTAACTTATGATAAACTCTTGCAGTGTCACCAATTTGTGCATCCGTCTATGTATGACGAAGACAATAATGATGAAAAGTTGTTAGCGAGGTCAAGATACAACATGAGGAGTCCAAAATTATCGAAACGCCGGTATAGCTCGTGTAGCAGTTATGGAAGATTTGTCAGTCGTCTAATGAAATCAAGATTGTGCAGAGAAGAAGAAGACCTTATTGAAGAAGAAACATCTGAAGCCATAGACTTACAAGAGGAAAACGCAGAAGATATCCCGAAAAGGAAGGTTTGCATAGGGCCTCGTTACCAAGCCCAACTGGATGAATGGACAGAAGGGGGTGTAGATAGCGATAGCAAATGGTTAGGAACTCGTGTATGGTCGCCACCAGAAAACAACGAAGCCTTGGATCAATTACAGCGGGGAGATGATTTGGCTGGCAAAGGAAGGCCAGGTTCTTGCAGCTGCGACGCCCGCCTCCCATATTCTGTGGAATGCGTTAGACTTCACATCGCGGAGAACAGAAAAGAGCTAAAAGGCGAGCTAGGCGACGTGTTTTTCCTTTGGAAGTTAGATAAGTTGGGAGAAGAAGTGTGTCTTGGATGGACAGAGAGAGAAGAGAAAAGGTTTAAGGACATGATCATCGCGGATCCGTTTTTCTGGAAAAATACGGTAAAGTATCTCCCAGGTAGGAAGAGGAAGCAGCTGGTGCATTACTACTTCAATGTGTTCTTGATCAACCGCAGAAGATACCAGAACCGTGTGACTCCAACAGATGTAGACAGTGATGATGATACTAAAACTTTTGGTTCTGTTGGTGGAAGATTTGGTCGTGGTGCTGTTTCTTCATGTGATACAGATATGATGATCTGTTGTCTGAATCGTCAGTGTGAAGACTATTGAAGTGAAGCAGAAGAGTAGGGGGAAGAACAAGAGAAGAAGAAAAAGAAAAAAAAAATTGTTTTTATGTTTTTGTATAAGCTTTTAACTCATAACCTTCTTTTGAAAATAGAAGTATAGGAGTTGGTAGCTTTTTTTTTTTTTAATCTTTTAAAATTTCAGTAACTACAGTCCACAGTTTAGGTGTAACTTTTGGAATCAGATTGGTTTTTAGTTTTTCAATGAAGTTTAATTTTTTAGGTACATTTATTTTATTTTTTTATTAAGCTTTTTTTTTTAAGAATAATACATCCAATGACCAGAAAAAGAGAGTCAAATATATCTAAGTTTAATTTCATTTTCCAATATATTCTTCTTCATGATAATATATTATTTGTTGCACGAAACTTTGTCTTTTTTTTTTTTCCGTAAAATGTCCTTTTCTATGAAAAAGAGGAACTGAAAATGTCTTTTTCTTCTTTTCCAAATGTTATCTTCATATGTATAATTAAGGACGATTCTTTTTGAAATCATTATTTGAACTTCTTTTTCCTTTTTACATGAATGTTAAGATTAGGTCCAAATAAAACAAAAGTTTACATTCTAGAAAATGAAATTCCCAAAAACACACCTAGCTTTTATTAGGAGAGCAATGTGTGCCTTAGGGAATGTCTACATGTAACAAGATTCAGAAGATGGTATACTCACTCATCATTTCATCAAGTATGAGAAGTAGCTATAACCAATAAAGATGTCGTATCTTGTTGATGGAGATGTTTTGTTGCAACCATTGATCGTTTCAAAGTTTATTGGAGTTTCGTCAAAAGAACAATAGCCAAACAAGATGGTCATGTCTGATTAAGGAAACAGACGAGTAAGGAAGATAATAGATTAGGTAATATGAGCTTTGTAGCACTTAGGGTGAACTAATGATACAACCAAAGTAAAAAACCAAGGAGAGAAATTCTGATTGTTGGATACTCCGACGAGTCGGTTGTGCATTTGTATGATCTACAAGAGACTTTGTAGAGGACATTGTACTTGCTTCAGCTGAGAAATTTCAAAGGTACTGCTCTTTCCATATCATATAGATTGAGGTTTGTAGAAGCAGTTTTTAGAATTTTTACTTGCATAATGTGGCGGAGTGGGTTCTGCAAAATCTTTCCCCAAACTGATCTTGAAAAACTCACACTCTAAGAATAAGTGATCATGAGAGTCCAAACCAGATTGACAAAGAACACAAGCTGCAACAAACATTCATTCCCCACTGTCTCAATCTATCTCTTGTGGTTAGACTTTCCTAAGCTGCTATGGATAAGAGAAAACTTTGGAACAACTTCCTTAAACCAAACAGCTTTATACCAAGGCACATGGAGAGAGTTAGAGAGATCTGTCTAATTTGCAGCCATGTTCCTTTGGAAGAGAACTTTTCAATAATAGAACCTGAAGGCTGCTTCCACTAATACCAGTCTCAGAACCTCTTGTGGAAGACTGCAGATACATGTTACTGCTATGGCTTCGAAAGATCGCGCCTTAGGGAAATGCAATAACTTAGAAAAAAAATATTCATCACCATTTGAATAAACTTTCACATAGGAAATATTCACAAATTTATGTATCTATAGATACATGCTTTAAATTACTCTAAGGCTAAGAGCCAAACTCAGTTTACTTAATGAAACTGCATTGAAACGTCACAGTGTATATAAAATATATATAAAAAAAAAACTAAATCGTTTTATTCTAAAAGTGTGTACTCAGTCAATTGAATTGACCCAAAACATTAAATATGCATTTAACCAACATCGAAAACATGAATACATAACCCTATACATATGCATGTATAATGGTCAAAACCTAATACTATTGTTAACATAGAAGGTGATTATGATATGGGGATGAAGAAGCTTTTCAAAGTTTTGGTCTTCTTCTTGTTCGGTTACTTGACATGTTCAATGGCCATGGTACCATATCGTGGCTGTGACGTCATCGGATTAGGAAAGAGCCAGAAGAGAGTAGTGAACAAGGAGGGTTTGTGGTCGGGTCGTAGGTTAGTTTCTGGTCCGAGTCGTAGTGCTTGCGGTCACTAAATAGTCGGGAAAGTTAGATTTGCTAATGTCTAATTTGTGTTAATTTATCTGTCCTTTTTAGAATTGTGAATATTGTCATGATTTGTAGTGAATTACTTATTGGAATATAATGAAATGGCTTGCAAGTTTGCAATATGAGTATTTTTGTATCATATTTCGTTTGAATTGTCTGAGAAACTCAAAATGTTGACACAGCATCAGCATGCATATATAATCTGAGTTTATATGTTTTGTAAAAACTTGATGTAACTTATTGATCAATAAGAGAAGTTTTTTGTTTCTTGAAATTATTCATGTGACAGAATATATTACTCTAGTTTTTTCATTTATGTATCTAATTTTTTTTACTCATCTGCAAATTTAGGATCTTAGTTCACTTTGGTGTTAGATTCGTAATGAAACTAAGGAAAGTATCATATTTGGTTAGTTTTGCAATTCTCCGGATAGATATAATAGTTTAAATATTTATGACTTTGAATTGTAAACAATTAGCCCGTATAGCTCAGTGGTAGAGCGTCAGTCTTGTAAACTGAAGGTCCGTAGTTCGATCCTGCGTGTGGGCACTTTTTTATATTTGTAATTTTCTCGTCGAATTTTTTTTTGTTTTAACTCTTTCACAGAGCATTGGACTCAGATAAATAGAGAAAGCTAGAGAGCTGTTTCCTAGATGTTCAGTGTGTCCAATAGACTCCAAAACTCGTTAAATCTCGTGATGTCTTTACGATATTTCATGAAATTGATCATCTCAATCCACTACAATTGGAATATAAGCCAACAATTCAAAAGAAACTTGCACAAAATCTCATTTTGTTTTGTAAGATTAACTATATTATATACAAGACTGAGATATGTAATGACAAACCAACTTTTTATTCATAAGATTTTTGATTTTTCCTTAGAAACTGAACCGGCATTGTATATAAACGAGACTCTCTTTATCTGTAATACTGTAATTTTGTAAGGTATTTATGATTCTTCTTCACCAGTTAAGCTCAAGCTAAATTCCCATAACTTCTTGGCCAAATCTTTGTCTTTACCCTGAGAATTAGGATTAGATATGTTGTTATCCATCAAGTATTCTCCACTCACTCCCTTTGCTTGCGGATGTAGCGCTGCATAGCATGTAGTTGCCGCTCCCTGCAACGGCCATATAAGAAAAAACTCATATACAAACATGTATGTATGTGGGTGTGTTGAGGACAGAATGATCAAATGCTTGAGCATGATCATGACTTTGGAGGTAAATTAGATGGATAAACCAAAACCTGACCTGTGGAATACTCTTCAGAACATACTTTCCCACCACATTACCGATTGCTGCATCAAACAATAGAAAACAGAAAATTTATGAAATTACTGGTTGATTTATTGATGCATCCATTATTAGATCATAAAAATCCATTGACAAGTTTAACATGGTACAACATTCCAAATGCGTAGATTAAGAAAGAGTTAACCTTATACTAGTTATACAGAATCAAACATCACCTAGAATATAAGTTACAGAGCAGGTTCAAACTATATTCTTACAAGACAGACGCACTTTTTAGGATTGTTGTCTATGATCCAGTGTCAATCCAGTATGTAGTAATAGAAAAACAAAGGAAATTAAAAACCGAAGTATAATGAGCAAAAGAATTTACTATTTATGAAGCTGTGGTAGCGCAAAAGATTGGTCATAATGGATCCGGGATGAAGTGAATTGGCAGTGATATTCACACCTTGTTCCTGTTTTACGCATAACCAAACGATAAAACAAAACTTCTTTCCATTAGCTTTCTCTTTGGCCTTTTGAACTGATTAAATGTTTTACAAAATGACCTGAAAGATACTACTTTACCTTGAACTGCCTAGCAAGCTCAGTAGCGTGTAATATGTTACAGAGCTTTGACTGACCATATGCTTGCAACGTATTGTAACTATAGAGTAACAGTGAGAGAAAAAAACAGTATGTTATAAGTTTACAACAAATTGAATATCAAAAGCAGTAAACAATAAGTATCTCATAACAATCACCTTGCTTCTTCATTTATTTTTTCAAATCGAATCCCTTCCCCATAAGCAAATCGATGACCTTCTGATGAAACAATTACAATTCTTCCTTCTCTATTGCTTTCATTAGCTGTTTTCTTCATTGTCTCCAAAAGAAGCTTTGTCAACAGAAAATGACCTGAAACAAATTATATAAAACATAAAGCATCCAAACATAGAAAATGTTCCTCATCATACTTTAAACATTGTATGAAAACAAGTGAAACAAAACCAACGAACAAAAGTTCTACAAAGAAGCAAAAATGGAGGAGTACCCAAATGATTTGTTGCAAACTGTAATTCAATGTTGTCGCTTGAAAGCAAGAACGGGCATGCCATAATCCCCGCATTATTGCTACAAAAACAAGAACAAAGATTAAGTCGACTAACACGTATTAACATTAAGTAATCCATCAATTACTTAAATAAACAATGAAGTTATGGATTGTACATGAGAAGATTCAAGGGTAAGTCCAAAGACTTGAACTCTGATGCAAAGCTCCTGACAGAATCCATTGAGCTAAGATCTAACTTCATTACATCAATCTTAGCCTCAGGTGTTTCCTTAAGTATCTTTTCTCTGACTTGGTTACCAGAATCTGTGTTCCTTACAGCCATTACAACATGAACACCACGAAGAGCAAGAACACGTGTTGCCTCTTCCCCAATACCACTTGATGCTCCTGCAATCAAATTACATCAAGAATCAACAAAAATCTTCTCTTTAGCTTCAATATATGTTCTTACAAAGCCTGATTGAAATATTCCGATAAAGTTGAAACCTTTCATCCACTAACAGATACTACAACAACTTTTAGTTCAGGGGACAGAATCAAAACCCTGAAAGTAGAAAATGAAACAAACCCAGATCAAATAAAGTTGATGGAGAAGAAGACCTGTGACGATAGCTGTGAGACCAGTACCATCAATTCCATGAGTGACTTCTTCAGCTGTTGAACGAGCTGAGAACCCAGATGCTCCTTTCCACCAAAAAGGCCACATTTTTTTTCTAGTTTCTTCTCTCTTCCCTAATCTTAATTTGCAAACTTGAAAAATCCTAAACAAACCCCTAGCAGATGATCACACAGACACTCGTGTGAATTTGTTAATTATACGCACAGTGGATTCAACTTTTCCTAGAGAAGAGAGCTTTTGTCTTTTGGCCATAGTATTAAAGTAAAGTACTTTATCTAAATAGCTCCTTAATACAAGATAAGATAAAGATGCTGTATTAGTATTATCTAGATTTCTTAATCTTGATACAAAAGTTGGTAAATGTAAATTTGGTTAATGTCCTAAACATCAAATTTAAGTAATAGACAATGACAATAATTGCATGAAAAGAAGCTGACTGATGTCAAAGGTTTTTACAGCAGAAACTGCAAATGAAGAGTGCTACAAACAAAGAAGACAGAACAACTCTCTCTCTTGGGTGTGTAGAGCAAAAACAAGTCTAACATGTTTTAAAATCTTTCATAAAACATATAAAAGATGAGCAATCTTCAAAAGAAGGAAGACAGGTTTGGGCTAAAGAAGAGTGCTGTGGTGTTTGAAATCCAGAGATAAACCTTTCATTCATTCCATGAGACCAAAAAAATATTATTACTCAACGCTGTGTTGGCCTAGGCCTGGAGCTTCCAAATGTTGACCGGCGTTCATCACTGCTGCGCCAAGCATCACCACCACCACTTGGGCGGTCACTGCCTCTAGGACCAGAACCCCAACGGTCTCCTCCTTCAGCTGGAGGTCCAGCTCTATCCCTGCCACTAGTCCACCGATCAGGATTCTGTGGCGGTCCACCTCTACTGCTTCCCCAGTGGTCATCTCCCGCAGGTGGTCCACGGTTGGACAAGCGGTCAGTTTCTGATGGTGTTGCTGCTGCTGGGCCTGAGACTTCAGTAGTCTGGCGCTTCCACTTAGGAACATATTTGGATGGACCTGACCCTGATGCTGGCGCTGTAGCAGCAGGAGCGGCAGTTCCAGCAGGAGCGGCAGTTCCAGCAGGGGCAGCAGTAGGCTCTTGAAGGCGAGCAGGAGGTGCATTCAACAGGGATTCTCGCCCCAGCCTAGCTTTTTCCTCCACCTCTCTCTCTCTTTGCTTTTGCTTCTCGGCAATTTCATCCAACTTCGCTTTGCGTTCAGCTGCTTCCTTTTTGAGCCTCTCCGCTTCTACATTAGAGGAAAACCCATATTATAAACAGACACAAGAAGTTATATTAGAAAAGCTTCAACATCAATGTCAAAATGATGTGGATTTATGGAAGCAAGTCCACACCTTCCTGCTTGCGAGCTTCCTCTTCTTCCTGCAGCTTTGTAATTCTTTCTTCTTCAATTTTCAAATAATATATCTGCTTCCTCTTAATATCCCTTTCTTGCTTCCTGGCTCGAATTATTTGACTGATGCGCTCCTCTCTCTCAGTCCTTATTCTGTCAAACTCTGCTTGTCGATGACTTATCACTTGTGCTTGGAATATTTCCTGGACACATAAAGAATCGATTGTAAGTAGATTGAAAAGAAAGTTACAGAAAAAAAAAATGAAGAAACTAGAGAACATTAAATTAACTCAATGTAGGACAGAGATACAAATGACAAGGCAAAAACTGACCTTATTATCCAACATTCTGGATAACCTGTTTTTCTCCTTTAAGTCACTCTCATGACGCTCTTTACTGAGTTCAACTTCACGCTGCAAAAGAGAAGGGTTTTAAAGGACCTCAACCATGTTATAAGAAGAGAAAAACTACTGGAAAATTAAGGTTTTTACCTGTTGCTCGCGCTCGTAAAATTCTCTTTCCTCTACCAGTCTTCGCTGATATGAAGCTTCAATCAATGGAGCAGCCTCTTCTCTCTTTGCTCTTTCCAAATAATCCATTGTTTTGGCAAGTTTTTGGAGTTTCTTCTCCATCTCTTGCCTTTCCTTGAGCTGCTCAGTTAAGGCCCTCTCCATCACAGTTTGCTTTGTCACCTTCTCCTACATTTAGAGTAACCCAACCAATATTAGTAATTCGCAAACCAGTGAACTATAATAGCTAACAAATTGTATTAATAAACGTACTCCATCTAAAAGTGGCTTCTTCTTTCCCTTTTTCATGCGCTTCTCTGTGTCCTCAAGCAAAGCCTGAGCTTCTTCAAGCTCCTTCTCCTCTATCTCCCTAAGGATTCTTTGTTTCCTTCTCTCTGCAAGCTCTGCTGCAAGTCTCTTTTGTTCTGCCTCCTCAGTTAGCTTCTGAAGCTTAAGCCGTTTCTGCTCCTCTTCACGTTCCTTCAAAAGTTAACATCAAATCAAAGAACTGTTATAAATCGGCATAGCATAAGAGGAGAAGTGTCAAAACCACCATGGAGAAGCTCACTACCATTTCTAGTTGCTGACGTTCTTGATCCTCCTTCCTCTTTTCAATGATTGATTTCCGAGCAAGTAATCTTTTGTGTTCTTTCTCAACAGTGTCTGCTAAATTTGGAAGTATGCCACCTAATTTTGATGCTTTACTTGGGACAGGATACAGCATGGCTCTTACTTTGCTCAAAGACTCAGCAAAGACAGCCAGATGATCCCTCAGTCCATCAGACTCAATACCCTTATACACAAACAGTTGATTAAATAGATTAGTATCTACCAAACAGGCGTCAATAAGTTTAGTCATATTACCCAACGATAGACATGATAAACAGTGTCAAGCTCAAGCATCAACAGAGGCTTACCAAATTTCCAAAAATTACAACACCCTTCATGTGATCAACTTTCATGGCAACAAAATTGTTCTTCACAGCATCAACAGATATCTTCTCTACCACTGAGAATTCAAAGAAGGGTACCAACTGAGATAAACTCTCAATTCTTATTGTCTGATAGATCTTAGAAACCTGAAAATAAAATTGCAACATTAGAAAACAAAAAGGGGCTAAACACCCAGACCAGTAAATGTTGAATAGGTATTGCCCACGTAGAGAACAAGAAGCACTTTTTACCTGTTGAAGTAGCCTCAGAGTAGAAAGCTTCTCCAGAGAAGGAACATATTGGAAAAGTTGCACTTCGGGTAAAGAAGGAGCTGAGGACAGTTTCCCACCAGATTTGGAAATCTTTTCCAGCAAAGGCTGAATCTTGGAGCCAAGATCAAGTGGATGAAATTCATGCTCCAAAACATGAAAAAGATCTTTCACCTCCTGAGATGCACAGCTCAGAACACCTCTTGAAACCTAATTGCATAGAAATTAGCCTCCAAATCAGATTCCTGTAAGGAGAAAAATATTCTAAACCACAGATAAGGTAGCTGCTAGAGACTCACCAGCTCTGACAGAAGAGCTGACCTGGATAGCTGAAAAAAGAAAAAAGGGTATTAGAAAGAGCAAACTAGGAAATAAACAGCTCAAACAAAAATGAAGCAACATGAGAACCTATTTTACCATATCTCTGCCCTCAAATTTAGGTTCAAGGTTAAATCCAATGAGGTTGGCCATCCTCAAATTACGTTCTTTCTCATTTTCGAGTTCCATATGGGATGCACTCTGAGCCCGATCAAATGGTGGAACAGACAAAGCCGCCAAGACAACAGATGATGCTATTAGCTGCAAATCCTTTTGGCTTAAATTCTTATTGAAATTTTTCTGCAGACTAAACAGCTTAAACCATGCATAAGCATGATAAAGATGGCTAGAAGAAATCCAGAAGATTTCAGTCAATTTGGAATAATAAACCATCAATAAAGATGATTTGGGCGTTTTTTTGACCATGCACATCAATCCGTAGATATCTTCAACAGAGCGAAAAGCTTCCTGCAAACCAAAAGATACATCAAGAACCACACTAACTTATTCCCAGAAGTGAAAGAGAGTAGAAGGTTTATGTTGCCAAACTAATATGATATAAGATAAGGTCGCATCAGAAAAAAATATACACAGAAAAAAAACGCACCTGCCAAAGTCCAAGCTCAGTAGCAACTTTCAACTGATCAAATCTCGTGTCCAGATACAGTTGCAAGCTCTCAGGGGCTGACAAGTCAGGTCGGTCCCTTTGGTCTCTGTACTTGTTCAGGTTTGCCAAATGATTTCTTATAATTTCACAAAGCCTACGGAACTCTGTTGTTCGCTTGTACTGCTTGCAGAACTGGAATGCTTTATGTGCTGTCATCTACAATATAATAAAGAACAAGTCTTCAATCTCAATCAACTTAAAATCAGAGGTATCACCAATAAGCTTAACATCAACGAAAACTAACCGCATAAAGTGCTTCCAACTTTGAGTTGTTTCGCAATATCTCAAGGACTGTCCTGTATGTCTCCCACAAGAACTTGAACCATGGGGTGACCAACTCGCGGTCAGATCTATCTTTTCCCTTCTCCCCACTGACAATACTCAGCTGTAAATCCTCAGGCTTTCTATCAGCTTCAAGGTCATCGACATCAAGGGCCTCCTCAAGAGCATCCGCCTGAGAACGAGCTTGCTCAGCTTTCTCGGTAGCAAGATGTAGGAAATGCTTGATAACTTCCTCCAAGGAACTGACATTCACTTGCTGGCAAACAATCCGATACTGGATCAATCCATCCTTGGCGAATCGACCCCTCTTCAAGTCAACACAAAGATCAAGATACTTAAACATGATCTTTTCAAGCGGTTTCTGCCATGCTCTGTATCTCTTGGAAGTAATGAGATCATGAAGCGCCTGAAGGGCATCTTGTTTCTGTCCAACATTGATCAATTCTACACAAATAAAAAATGTAACACAAAAGTCAATTCACACACACTCTAAAACCAAATCCACCACCATTAAATCCAAACCATTTCGTAACTAACCATCAGCACGCTTCAATGCATTCTCCGGTTTCGCAAAATGCGACATGTTTCAGCCAAACAAAGGCCAAAGACAAGCTCTCACGAAAGGTACACTCCAAATTCGCCTGAAAAACACACACAAAAGTATCGATTTTGTTACAAGATTCACGTGAATCCGAAAAAAACCCATCAGATATCTCAGAAAAAAAACGTATCCTTCGGCGTATCTTAACTACAAAACCCAGAAACAACTCGCCCAAACCCTAAATTCGTCTCAAAGAATCAAAAATGACACATACGAGGCACAAAAGATTCGATAACCTTGGGCAAATCTCAAAACAGATCAATTCAATCAGATTCGATAAAAATAACAGTAGAGATCCAATCACTGGCGGAAGAACAGAGCCGAAACTTAGGTCTAACCTTTGTAGCCGTGATAAGAGTGGTAAGCGAGATGAGGAAGCGAAACGGAAGCAGCTCTAGGGTTTCTGGTTCCTTAATATTATCGTTCTAAATATATATTACCTAGATTTGCAGATAGCACCGTCATTTCTTATGTTTTCGAAATTGACCCCGTTTTTATCTTTTTAGTGTGTATAAATCCCATTTATGTTATAGAATTGAGATCAACACATTTATGGGATTTGATTCTCAAATAATCATGTGACATATACACTTTCTTTCTATATAATATTTAATTTTTTTTTTTTTTTGCTTCAATAATAGTTAATTCATACTATTCCTAAGATACAAGCTTCCAAATAACTTAAATAACTCATATATTCACTTCTTGTTACTAAACGGTGTGACGAAAATGAATAAATTAACAAGAATATGGATCCATAGTCCATATTTTTATATTAGATTAGGTATAATCTTTCATTTTCAATACCGCGAATTCAAATAATCAAAGTTTTTTCTATGGTCAACTCGTTAAATATTTATCTTACATGTACAGGTGAAAGGTCAAAGTAAAATGGTTAATCATTGATGTATGATTTCGATTTATTAAGCTATATGATTCTTGTGTTTCAAATACCATTAGACAAGATCATATCCATGAAAACACACATAAAAAATATTTTATGAGATTTTTGATATAAAGGTTAGTCTTGCTCAATGTTTTATCAGTTCATCTAGTACACATTCACTTTAGACTTTCAATACCTATAAATCTAATTGAATTTACTACTTCCTTGATGAAAATGTAATATAATCTTGTCTTGGTCCTTGGAGATTCATATTTCATAGTAACCTAAATTTTAAAAATTCCAATATTGTAAGAAAATTATTGTAAAGATTCATATTTCATAGTACTTACTTGATGTAAAAAAAACAAACAAAGTGTCAAAAGGGTTTATATATAATTTTTAATTTTCACTATTGTAAAAACTAAAAAGTAAGAAAATAAAAACAAAACAAAAAAAAAGAAGGTAAAAAAGTAAAACCCTTTGAGGAGGAGAACAAGCAGCGCATAAACTTAAACCCAGAAACTTTCCCGAGAAAAATGAGCAATTTGGGCAAATCTCAATCTTCTTCGGAAGAAGAGTGTCTTAGTTTCTCAAGGTATAATTTTAATTTTGAGCTACAGCTTACTGGATTTTGCAGTGACCCTCGCTAAAGAAATAATTTTGGTCTATTGGTTTTGAAACATTGTGATTTTTTAGAAATTTTCGATTTTTTTCTCACATGAGACATGTTTTGGAACAGATCCTTGGTGCAGCTAGGGCATTGGATTACTCGGGTTGCTTCTGAATCTTGGTACAATTGAATCTGTGGATCGAAAAATCAGAACTTGGTTATTTAGCAATCAGGTGTTGCACAAATGCTTACTGGGTTCTGATTTGAAGCTCTGACTAGTTGACCCGGAGGTGTTTGAAGTTGGTTTTTTTGGTATATTGCGTCTCCTTTTGATTGATTTCTATAGACTTGTATGATAAGAAAATGGCCTCATCTGCAAAAGGCCCTGTGAAGAAGGGTCACCCTTCGATTAAGCATAGTTGGAACTTAGCTGAGGCTAAGAGGAAGTTGTCAAAGATTAATGATCATCATGCACATGTGGAGTATGAACATGCTTTCCAGAGGGACAATAGCAAAAGAGGAGAGACCAAGTTGAGTCAAATCCTGAGCAGAGATTCGCTGATATCTGCTGTTGATTTGATGTGGGATCGCTCGGTTTTTGTTTCTGGTGATTTGATTAGCTCACTGAAGGAAAGAAATTTAGATGATGTAAATATCAGCGAGTTCAAAGTTTTGGCGGATAGTGCTCAGTTGCCTGCTGATCAGAAGGTTATGTCTCAATCGTCAACGACTACTCAGCCGAGGGTTAAACTTTTGAGAGTAGCTGAGAAGATGTGCATTTCTGATCCATCTAGTTTCTTTAGTCGGTTTAATCAGAAAAGTGGAGCCATGTCTACCAGTGGTTCTTGCAAAGAGTATAGTTCTCCTCTCAATGCTAGATGGGAGAGAGAGAAATTGTATAGCTGTAGGCAAGTAGTTCCGACTTTTACTAGATATCATAGAGGAGCGGCTGAGATTGAGAAAAGAAAAGATGAAGACTGTATACCCAGCAGTGAAGCAGAATGCGCATCAAGAAATGCCAAAAGTTGTGATTCTATCTTTGTTACTACTGGTGCAGAGGGACTCACAACTCTAGTTGAACCGAGGAGTTCTCTCATAGCAAGCGTCGCAGAATCATTAGTAGACACCAGAACATGCAGATCTAATGATGTGAACTATTTTCTCTTGCTTTACAAAGATAGGTGTGCCAACAAAAAAATAGTGAACAGAACAAGTTCAAAATGTAGCACGGACGGCGATACTGAGATTTCTTCATCAGGGAATAACTCAGACATCCACAGCTTATCTATAGTTGAAAACCAACAGTTACTTGAGAGAGATAGAAAAGATCAAGAGACTGAAGTTTGTTCGTCCTCTCCAGAAACACCTACTTACGCCTTTGCTAAACAACGGCATGCTTTTGCTGGTGCGTTGGCAGGCATAAGCGTTAGTCTTTGTCTTCATCCACTTGATACAGTTAAAACAATGATTCAGTCATGCCGCTTGGAGGAGAAATCACTATGTTATACTGGGAGATCAATCATTTCAGAAAGAGGTAAAAAACATATACTGGAGACAATCAGAAAAGGATTCTTACGTTTTTCATTAGTTTGTCACAGTGCCTTGTTGCTTAACACGTGTTTCCCAATATGTATACAGGTGTTTCTGGACTTTATCGGGGGATTGCTAGCAACATTGCCTCATCAGCTCCTGTCTCTGCCCTTTATACATTCACTTATGAGTCAGTTAAAGGAACTCTTCTTCCTCTTTTTCCTAAGGTCTTAGTTACTTTAATAGAACTATCTCTAGAACCTCCTACATCTTATCCTACATGTTTCCCTGACATATTTCACCATTCTTCTGCTGGCTTGTTGAGTAGAATGAGCAAGTTCATATAATTAAATTCTTGAAATTTCAGGAATATTGTTCCCTTACCCACTGCGTAGCTGGTGGTTCTGCAAGCATTGCAACTTCTTTTATCTTCACGCCAAGTGAGCGTATAAAACAGCAGATGCAAGTCAGTTCACATTATCGCAATTGCTGGTAAACATCTGCAAGCTGAACCTAACTTTTGATAACTGCATAATACACTTCCTTGTTCTCTTGTATCTTAAAGGTTTCCTGGCTTAACAAAATTAGTTCTCATTTAAAGTCGTTCTCTATTTCCTTTTGTGCGTTTACATGTTTTAATGATATTTTTGGCTCTTATGAACACAGGACTGCATTGGTCGGAATCATCCAAAAGGGTGGTCTGCTTTCTTTATATGCTGGCTGGACTGCAGTGCTATGTAGAAATATCCCACACTCAATCATTAAGGTACATTTTGCGCACACTATAATATGTTCATATGCTCTAGCTAGGAGTAGCCTATGATCTTTATGTTCAGTTTTCTTCTATTTTCCTTTTCTGTTTGCACACAGTTGTGATACCAAATTTATTGGAAATACAGTTCTATGTTTATGAAAACATGAAGCAGATGGTATTACCATCCCTAGGTCCTCTTGGTCAATCAGCTCAACCCACGACATTACAAACGGTTTGTCTCTTCTCTGCTTCATCTTACAATATCCTGCACTATATATGGTTCCCTTAGCTATCTGTAATTTATTTTCTTATGGAGAACCTGAGATTACTTAATATTCCCAATATTTTCTCCTAAAAGCTCATATGTGGAGGATTAGCGGGATCTGCTGCTGCTTTCTTTACAACCCCGTTTGATGTAGTAAAAACAAGATTACAAACTCAGGTTTGTTTGTCTTTCCAACCTTTTCAGGAACTACTGTAAGAGTTGTCTTCTACATCTGACTTATCTCATTGCTACAGATTCCCGGATCTAGGAACCAACATCCTAGTGTCTATCAAACTCTTCAATCAATACGCAAACAAGAAGGTCTGAGAGGGCTATACAGGTCTCTGCTCTCTTTCACTGATCTTACCTCCCTTGTCCTGGTTATTGAGTTGTATTATCCATGCTTCATCAATTCACGGGCACAGTCTTTTCTTTTTTATATGTTGCAGAGGATTGATCCCCAGACTAGTGATGTACATGTCCCAAGGAGCTATATTCTTTGCTTCATATGAATTTTACAAGAGTGTACTCTCTCTAGAAGCGGCACAGCCCAATTCGTCAGCTCTCTCTGGTACAAAACCAAAGATGGCCCTAAACCGTTAAAGAACAAGGACAATTCACCCCTCAACGAAACCATCATGACTGCAACATATGTAAAACAAAGAATGGAAAAATGTACAATTCTTTTTGTGTTACTTTTCTTTTTTGTAACTATTGATTTGATTAAATTCATTTGTGCAAAGTCCTTTTTGACTGGAGAGGAAGATCCATTATTCACTACAAGTTACAAAACTTTTTTGAAGGATCAACCAACTCTACACTTATCAGACCTCTAACCAAATTGGGCACCTCCCATTTGCTACCTTACAATATGAACAGTGTGGCTTTTTCTTTTGCCTAGAATCCTAGATCCTATTCGAAGAATAAATAAATGATACAGCAAAGAATCTGACGCCTTTCTCAGTCATAAGATCACAGACCATCCCATCTTTAAGCTCTAGTTTGTCCTGCGAATCTGCTCTTTCATGGCTGCGCTTTGCAGGGAAGTTGGAGACCAGCCTTCTCTTCTCTTCTTATCGCCAACTCACGATACAACGAAGAATACAAATGTACCTGCAATAATGACAGCATCACAGACTACACTCGGGAGATTGGCGAGAAAGGAGGGTTTGGCATGTAGGATTGAAGAGCGGTTGCAGCTTCTTTCACAAGCGTAGGGACGTTCTTTTCTCCTTCCTCTGTTACTGCTTCGACTAAGAACTGAACATCATCATCAATCAACATTTTCAACGAGTTGCAATGCGAGAACTGTTGTACATTCTCGCCATTTCTATAACTATCCGAGACTTCCGTGTTGTGTAGTATGGCAACGCAGATGGAGAATGCTTGCAACGTTGATAACTGCGCGTGGAAATGAACATCGTATTGCCCTTCCTCAACAAACGACATGTACAATCCAGGTATTTGCTCTTTAGCACCCTGTTATATGTAGACAGGTCATTTTAGATAATGAAAAGAAGAAGAGTTCCTTAACATAATTGCTCATGAAAGTCCAAATGAGCAGCTCCAAGGCAACACAACTTCTGTTTAATTGAGGAAAGAACCTTTTTTTACCTGGACAAATAGTTGCAAAGGATGCTGATTGTCTACAAGAGGCTGATCATGAGAACATGAGATACGAGGATTTCCAAGAACCATAAGTGGACAAGCCATATCCCAACCACCACAGTCACAACCACCTCCTGACCTCCATCTCTGAATCAAAGGAGAAGGACCAGCGTTCTCGGTACTTGGTAACCCGTGGTTTCCCCTTGGGATAACAATCTTTAATTTTTCTGAACTTCTGCTACCAACGAACTCCTTCTTCTCCTCCTCAATTGGAGAAAGACCAAGAAGATTAGTTTTCTCCATCAACCTTTTGTCACCTCTTCTGTATTTTAAGCTTTCTCTCTTCTCAATAGTGTCCTGAATAATTATGGCCGCGATCTCAAGGTCAGGATGCAAATCTGCAGCTGACCACGGGTTTGTTCCATTTGAAGCCTCGAGATCATAGCTTTGAGATGTTCTTTTCGGCTGAGATCTCTGCTTCATTGGATCCGAAGCATCCCCGGACATTGAGTTATTTCTTACCTCTGAGTCTGGTTTAACAGAATTCTTGGAGGCATTATTAATCATATCAAGTGGTAGTGATTGATCTTCCTTTGTTGACACACTTCGTCTTGCTTGTGCAATATCATACAAAACAAACTCATTTACCATCAAAGTTTCTGGATCTTGTCCCTTTTTTCTTACTTCTGAGCACATGCTACAGGTAACTTGCATCTGAGCCAACAGCAAAGATTCTTTACTATTTTCGTTCAAACCCCGCACACTAGCACTGCTCCTCTTTCTGCTTCCAGCAGATGAAAATGTATATATCCATGTCGAACCATTGTCAGATTTCCACGTCTTTGCGGCGTAAACCTCCTCAGGAGAATCTGACACAAACTTAAAAACCGGCAATCCATGTTTGCTTTCCATCTTGAGACGGCAATGTAGATGAACCGGGGAAGATTTCAGCACTGAAGTATAATCTTTACTGACAACTGGAGGAGGACAAAGATTTGATCTTTTATGAATGTTTGAGTAATCACTCAACATAGATTTGCAACGCTCATTGTTCTTCCCCGGCTTCTCTGTACATCCAAATTTAAACTGATCACCTGATTCTCCTATATAACCAAGAGGACTTCTCAGAGATTTTGACTTAACAAATGGATCAAACATTTTCCTAACTCTTGAGCTCTCCTTATTGCAACTTGTTTCTAATGAGTCTACCTTAGCAGAATGTGGCTTAGGCAATCTAATCTTATGGTCATTATAACATTCGTTCGGGGAACCAGCTACATCATCAGCTGAATCCAACACCGCTGCTCTATCTTTAATACCTGATTTCAAACAAATGTCAATGAAGTTGCTAGAGGTGCAAGGTTCAACTGATGACTTCTGCCCATCTAAAACCATCTTACTCGGTCTTTTCTCTGTACTTGCCTTTCTCGAAGAATCAACAACTCTAAATGAGAATGAAGCATCACTACTACGAGACAACTCAAGCTTAGCCTTTGAATCTCTACGCCCCTGCGGTTCTCTATGTTCTTTAAAAAACTCATTGGAACTTTGGTACACAGAACCTCTCCTCAGCTCCGTTGTATCCCCCATTGCTAGAGGTTTTGAAGGAAAATTCTTACAAGATGTGCTACGATAGCGCCTGAAGCTTATCTCGGTGAACCCTTCTTTAACTCTCAATACCTCATCTCTACGAGGCGGCTTCAGTCTAGTACTCCTCTTTTCTAACTCAGTGAAAGGACGAGGAGCAGGAAGAACACTATTGGGGCTTTGTTCCATATCAATTCCTTTACCAAATTCCATTTCCATTCCAATCACCACATCAAAACATCTGTAAGAACATTACAAATTCAAAGCAAATTAGTCCTCCTAAATCAAAAAACATATACACCTCAAAACATAAAAGATACCAAATTTGTCTACACAAAATCTCCAACACAAACAATGAATGACAAAAACCAATCTCAGACACTTACCAAACAACTAATTCTTCATGATAGTAACAGAGTAGAATCTTTCTTAATCAGTGGTAATAGATCCAATGAACTCAATGTCATAAGCTTCAAAAGGACTCAACTTTAACCTCCCAAAAACACAAACTACACATGCAGATTTAATGATCTTAGATACGTAACCAATGTAGATCTCATTTCAGGTCAATACATGAACTAAACAAAAAAAACAGAAAACAAAACCCAACAGATTGAATTGAACTAATCAATAAAAACCTACCAATTAACTTAAAGAGAGAGTATCAAACTGAACCTAAAGAATGAGAAAGAACACAAAATAGCAGTCAAATAAGAATTTTCACCAAACAAAAGAATCAGATAGCTACAAAAACTAGCATTAAGCAAAAGAAGCAAAAAGAGGCAATTTTTTTTTTTTTTTTACACAGATAGTGAAAAAGAGATCTAAGAGATACAGATAGAGACATAAAAGAAAAAAAACAAAACATACCCGAGTTAGAGTAAGAAAGACACTGTGTAAATCTCAAACATTTCTTCATCGACATCGACTTGAAGAACAAGAACAAGAACAAGAAGAAGCAGGAGAGATTACAAAACAATGACGGTGGTATTGGTAATAATACAAACCGATCATGTTCTTTTAGTAAGTGTAAACAAAAAGATAGAAAAGCAATCAATTTGTTTTATCCCTCAAGGCATCATTTTGTTTCTTTTTTTTCTTTCTTCGAGTGTGGAAATATCTCTATCACTCAATCACTCTCTCTCTCACACTGTACTTTAACACTTTAGCTTTTTTGTTGTCTGTTTCTTTTTTCCTCACTTGTTTGGTTCTATCAGAAAACAAAAACAAAGGTTTTTTTCACTTCAATGAAGTGTTTGTGACCTAAGACAATCTTACCCCTTTCGTCAGAAACTGTCGCTGAGCTATTTCAAAAGGGTATTTTAGTCATTTAAAAAGTTTTTGGATCGGTTCGTGAACCAAATTAATAATAAAGTAATTTTTGTTTACTTGTTTCTCGGGAAGTTCATGTGAGATTCCTATCCCCAATTACAAAATATTTTTGTTTTATAATTTCGAATATATATTGGTAGTGAGTGATTTATTAAAGTCAGATTTGAGATTTAAGGAAAATAAATAGTAATTATGTATTTGTTTAATGCTAGCTTCCTATCCATAATGGGCCGCATTGTAATTGGGGAGAAGACCCACTTTTTTTGACCAAACTTTCAAAACTTTAAAATCATTTTTGGTCCAAAGAGGTAAAAGACAAAATTAATTTTATAGGGATTTGGAATTAAATGACTCATATGAAACTGTATCATCGGTGGTTTTATTTGGGAGTGTAAATGAGAGTATACGGAAACGTAGTAACTCAAATTTTTAACAAAAAGGATCAATAGACAACGTGTAGACAAAATATAAATCCATCACTCATTTGTACCACAGTTGCAGTACATATAGTATCCTCGACCTAACCTAAATTCTTAGTTAATGCTGACGGTTCTATAGATCTTACTAGGGGTGTTAAAACGGGCTTGCCAGGCCCATTTATGTTAGTATTATGTACGTCCGTGTCCAGTTATATGTGTTTAGAGGTGTTAAACGGGCTTGCCAGGCCCATTTATGTTAGTATTATGTACGTCCGTGTTCATTTATATGCGTTTAAGTTTATAGTCTATTTAGGTCCGTCTATTTAAAATCCGTTGGTCGATAAATCCCATTTATATTATTTTTTACCATTATTGTGTATTTCATATTTCAGATGTAGTTTTTTATAGAAAAAAAGATAGCTGGCTACGCCAACTATAGAACAACTATAGAAGAATGCATGGTCACACATGTCAAATATCCTATTGTACATTCAGTTACACGAAATAGATGTATTGCATGACCACATGCATCAACTATACAACGTTATGTAGTCAACACCATAAACATAAAATTTTGGTACACCGGTCAACTGATTCTGGCGTTGACCGGTGTTGACTCCGGCGTTGACCGTTTTTGACCCAAAAAATATTCCAAAATTATTTTTATATATAATTTTATTTCTACTGTTAAAAAATCTAAAAACTATTATTATTTTTAAATTTTTAATTATACAAAGCTATAAACAATTTCAAGATATTATATTATTAAAAAATATAATCTTAGGAAGAAAATGACGACGATGATTTTGTATTTAATTCAAGATATTAAAATCTAAATTAAAACTAGAAAATTTATGTGATTAGTAAGAGAATTACTTATTTTTATATTGTTGCTAAAAAACATTAACTTATTATTTGATTTATTTAAATACAAAATCATCATAGGAATTTTCTTCCTAAGATTATATCTTTTTCATTATACAAAACCATAAACAATTTAATAAAAAAACTATTGATTTTTTTATATATATTCAATATCTAAACACTAGTTTTGTTTATATCTTTAATGTATTCATTCTTATTATAATTAGTTATTTTTAAAATTTAGAGCTAAACTAATAGTAAAATAATTCAAGATATTAGAATCTAAATTAAAACTAGACAATCTTATGAATTAGTAAGGGAATTGCTTATTTTCACATTGTCAATCAAAACCATTAACTTATTATGTGATTTACTTAAATACAAAAATCATTGTTGTTATCTATGTAATTATTAATACATAAAACACATCAAATAAGCTACTATATTTTGTTATTATCTATGTAATCAGAGAAGACAATATATGTGATAAGAATTATTTCTTTCACTCAACTGAAAACAAGCAAACAAGCGTATAACCAAATATTTAATATAAGCCAAAACTGAGCCAGAAACTATATTCGAAAAAGTGAAAAGAAAAAAATCTTCATTATCATAGATGCATGATGCATCAATGAGACGTGTGAGCCCTGAAGATACAAATACGAAGATGGAAGGTATTTGCTTACATTAGTTATCAACTCCTCTCCTTGTCCCTTAGTCAATCTTCTTCACCACTGAGCTACTGCAATCTGAAAACAGAACCTTCACAATAGGGCTTAGCTCTAATGTGCAACCAGGTTCCTATCGGCTCGAGCAAAGACCAGTCGATGAAAATGTGTTTGGATTCAAGATAACTCTTCTTTTTGGCGCATTCCACTAGCTGATTGATAAACATTCTTTCCAACCTATATTTCCTGAAATCACGCAGAGGATTCAGTAGACGTCGATGATGTAGAAATATAACATTTGAAGAGTCTAACTCCACCATCTATGAGTTTGTTTGATGCTCCCAACGCTTGAAGGATAGGCTCTAAGTGGAGATGAACACTCATGGCAAACGAACTCAATCCAGTCAACACTCTTTGAAACATTCAATGCTTTCGCCATAATATCATCCTCGGGAAAACCATCAAGAAGCAATGTCTTATCAAGTGTAAAACTCTCATTAGAATCATGTGAGTCATGTACTCACTACTCAACACCCAAATATTGATGCATTACCTAAACAAGGCTGCTTCAAGTCATCCACTTTACCACATACACTCTCACCTTCATCCTCATGGCTCACATCATAAATGTCTTCACTACTTCCAGAACCCGGTTCACTTCCACCAAGATAACAACTCAGAGCTAAACTCGATTCAATTTAGTTTTCAATTTCATCAGACAAAGATACAACATTCTACAAGATCATCCTTTCTAAGCAAAAACAGTAGTAGCACTAAGTAAACACAACCCACTTAAGCAAGTATACGAACGAACAACAACAAGTACCAAACCAATGATCAGCAAATTCTCGCCAACTAATAGACGGCAACCATTTCAGAGAAATCAAAAAGTTCCTTCTTTGAAAACCAAGTTGAGAAATTTCTACAAGTAAATATGAACTCCTCCCATTGAAAGACAGAGTCTTGAGATCAAAACCCATCACCAAAGGCGCCGCCTTTTCACTAGAATCAATCGCCAAATTGAAGTCTGAGACTAGATGATGATCAACAGGAAGTAACAGAACAAGTCTAACCTCTATATGATCGTTTAAAGCTTCGAAATTTACAGGGATTCAACATCGAGCATAACCCTAGGAACAAGAACACGAAGAGAAACAATCTCTGTTTTGCATGTGACTTCTTCTTCGTCTTCGTCGTCATTGTGTTACCAATATCAAACCCGACCCGACATGACCTGACCCGATCCGTAATTTTGTTTCCGTTCAAATCATTATGGTACGTAAACTCTTAACGGTTGGGTATAATTTATAACATATAAAAGTTAAAAACATGATACATATATGAATAGCATGTTTCAGTATTGAAATTTGAAATTTTAGAAACTATTTAGTATTTGATCCAAAAAAAAAGAAACTATTTAGTAATAATATTTTGTGACCGTTAGGATGAAGAAAGAAAAGGAAATAACAAAAACGAAATCTCTTAATTTCCTTAAAAGTTATAATTAAAAATCTAACCGTTGTGAGATTAAACATCACTTTCCTTTTTCTTTTGAACTTCTTAATTCTTAATTTCTCTCTCTCTCTCACATATCACACAACTCAACGCTTCTTTCTTCTTCATTCATCCCAGAGAGATAATTCAAAACTCTCTTCTTCCTCAGTTCCTCTTGTAAACCTTAAAACGATGATGATCCGTAAAAGTAAGATTGGGAAAAGTACTTTTATATCATCGTCTCGTTTCAATGATTGAATGATATAGATCGATCGATCTCTGAATCTGTATCGGCTTCACCAGAGACTACGGCGAAGTTGAGAAGTGAAGAGAAGAATCGAGCGAGAGGTATGCGTAATAGGTCTCTGTCAATTCCGCCGATGATGATCCATCCAAGTAGAACCCTATCGAGGCCATGATGATGATGATCCGTAAGGGTAAGATTGTAAAAATTACTTTTATATCATCGTTTCGTTTCGTTTCATTGATTGAATTTGAATGATAAGATCAGATCGATCTCCTCTGTTCTTCTTCTTCTTCAGCCTAACTCAATATCGATTTTCCACCGGATTCTGAGTCTAGCGACGGAGAAGCCAAGCCAGTGAAGAGAGGTATTTGTAAAAACCCCTCGTCTTCTTGATTTCTATTTGAGATTAGGAATGATTTAATTAGAGATCATGATGATGATTTAGTATCTTAGAGAATGAATTGCTTATTCTGAAATCTGTTTATCTGTACAAATCCTATACTTTGTTATACATTGGTTGCAGCCATGTATGTGTCTCAGCCATGAAGTTGGTTACGTACATCGTTCGTTTTGAGGAAACCAGAGCCGTGCTTAAGTAAGCTCTCTCTCTAGCTTCTCTTCTTTATAAGCTTATGTACTTTTGTGGCTAATTATTTGTTACTTGGGAGCACTGGATGATGAAAGTAACTTGACAAAGACAGGTGAGATAATGATCAGTGAGTTCCTCTTGGATCCAAAGATCCTGTATTCAACTTCTCAAATGAGGTTCTCTCGGGTTTCAGTCATGCTCTCAGGTACCACCCCTTTACTTTCGTTTTCTTATAAAGATTCTTGCTAGCTTTGGTTAGGTATGTAGTGATTATCAATTAGACTCAAGTATTAGAGTTAGCTTATCCTCAGCAGTCTTTAGTCTCGGTTCTGCATATACTAAGTAAGTGATGTTGCAGTTTCTTAGTCTCATCGCCTTTTTATGCATCTGCTGACCTCTTCCATGGACCTCTTCTTTTATTTCTCTGCTTTATTCAGTCTATGAAGATGAAAGCAGCAGATGAAGAAGTGCTTTATTCAGTCTATGAAGATGAAAGCAGCAGATGAAGAAGCTAAAGCTAGATGAAGAAGGATCAAAAAGCAGCAGATGAAGAAGCAGATGAAGAAGCTAAAGCTAGATTTGGACACATTGATGGAGATCATCTAACGTTGTTGTTGAATCGTCTACCACGCTTTTAAGCAAAAACAGTAAGTGATCATCTCTTTCTCTTCCTCTTTTGTCAATTACAATTTACGGTAACTAACTTGGTTAATGTAAAAATTCTCACAGATGAAGATCCCAATTGGTGCCTCTGAAAAATATGCAGACAATGTTAGACAGCAGCTCTTCCAGATAGATAACAACAACAATGTGGTTCTCTGTTTTAAAAGTCTTCACTTTGCAAGTTGCTGAAAGCAGAGGTGTACACTGACTACATTCAAGCACACTTCCTCTCTTCTTCTCTGATCAAGATTCAGAAACTTTAAGCATTACTAAATACCCATCATTAACAACAACTCTAATGACTCTGCAGGATCATATTGCTCCAAGTGGTTATATCAAGATCCCTACCGTAAACTCAAGCCCTTATCTTTCTAATCCTCAAATCATTTCCAATTACATAAAATACTTCAATCTTTTTGATCTGTTTTCTCAGGAAATGTCAAAGTATTTGGAACACTCCAAGTATCTGCCAAAGCTCAACAACGAGAGACCTAACAAGAGGAACCCCATTTTTAAAGACCGGTTCACTAGCTTGCACAACTTGGTCCTCGCTCATGGTGCTTCTCTTTCTTAAACAACCTGAAGATGTGCAGCACTCATTTTAACTACTATTATTCAACCATGCTTGCCGGATATTTCATGCAAGTGGCTCACTTAGAACGCACTTGACAGCCAAACACAAGTATGTCAAGAAAAATTCAGTTCATATTGTTGTTTCCATTTAAACATTATTCTCTTGTGTTTCATCGCATGGTTGAAAATTCTTGGTTCATTTGCATCCATCAAATTGCTTGGATCACAAACCTGAGTGGGTGTAATCTACAACGAATATGTTGCTAGGATCACAAGCTAGTAGATGTTGCTCCTCATGAAACGTGTCCTCGAGAAGCTGGGAGGAGGAAGAGAGCAAGAACCGGAAAAGAACAACATTCATATCCTCATAAGCAGGTTGGTGATACTCGTCGTCATCTTTTAATTTGGTTTTGAGAATTGAATTTGAGTGGTATTATGCATAAAGATGATATCTCTGATTCTCTCTCATGGGTTTGTTTTGTATTATGTATAACAAACAGGTAGCTACTCCCTCAGGATGCTCCTTCGCAGGTATATACTTTCTTATCTTTTTTTTTTTTTTTTAAATTAAGGATAATGATTTTGATTTTGATTTTAAAATATACAAAAAGTTTTGACCAAAAAAAAATATATATATATATAAATACATATACAAAAAGTAAAAAAGTTTTTTATGTTTTTTATCACTTCTGATTTTTATGATTTACTAAATATCAAATTTTCTCTTTTTACCAAATAATTTTCAAATAAAAAATGTTTTTTTTTTTATTATTTTGTTGTATCTAAGTGTAAATATACGTTGAAAATAAACCAGACCTAGCATCCAGTCCCTTTGTGGTTCGTAAGTTTGGTGTAAAAGTTCAACATGTTTTCGCGTATTATAAATTTAACGCTTGGACGCTTCAAAGTTTTTTTTTTATAAATATTATTTTAAGTAAATTTTACGGAGATTTTGAGTGGTTTAAGATTTTAGTTTTTAGTTTTTGAATTTTACAAAAAAAAATGAAAATAAAAATCACGTAGAAGAAATCTTTAAAACTATTTAAATTAGATTTTTGATTTTGTTAACAAAATGGTAAAATCTTGGATGGCCATAAATTGATTTCCTTAGAATCTAAAACCAAAACCATTTAAAAAACTACATTCAATCAAGGCCTAAAAGTTATCATTATATATATAAAAAATTTTTATAAATAGCTTGAACAATACTAATATACACCAAAGATGGTATATTAAAAATCTGTCGTTTTCTAAAACAAGCAGCAAAACAAATCCGTCTTGAACAAAATATTTTGTCAATCCTCTGTTTAATTATAGCCGTTAGCTTCCATCTCTTTATCAAACTACCAAAACCAGATTGATTCATTCAATTAAGAAGACTATACGCTCTGTTTTGCTTGCTACTCCAACCGCTCATTTTTGGACACCAATAGATCAAAATAGAGATCTATAGTGGAAATTTCACTGGAAAAAAATTGGAGTTATAACAGTAACAGCTTCCTCTTACATTTTCCTCAGCGATTTACGAGGGTCGCGACCTAGTTTTTGTGAACTAATAATGGTCTAAGATTTGTGAAGAAGATGTTCCCATGACAATACTTAGACCATGGCTAAGAGATGATAGTCCCATGACAACTAATAATGTCAAAAAATGGCTCTAAGATTTGTTATTACCATCCTTAATGGCAACCTCTTAGCCTTAGTTGCGGTTCTTGCAATTAAACGCGTTTAAGACTAAGAGGTTGCCATTAAAGATGCCCTAAGAGACCATCAACCATCTGATGGAAATAAGATGTTGCCATTAAAGATGGCCTAAGAGACTAAGAGGTTACCATTTTAGCCTTAGTTGATTCGTTGATCAAGAACCGCATTAGTTGCAAGATGGAAATATCTGATTGGTTGTGGAAGAATTAACGAACTAAGTCTCGTTGTTCAACTCCAAAAACTTCAAAATGTAAAACATAGCCATTGTTCAACTCCAAAAACTTCGTTGTTACAAGCCAGCCATGGAGTGCATAAGATATATAGTCTCTGTTTCTTTTTCTTCAAAGAGATACATTCCAGCCTAGCTACTTCACACAGGTGCGATATCACAAGTAAATAGTAGAGTTCTTCTGTCTCGATGTGAAAACAGAAAATTCTACTTAAAACGAAAAAAAAACAAGCAGTACCAAAGTCATCATAAGGCATGGGAGTGGGAGGTTCCACATCAATAGAATCCATCTCTGTATTACACGACGGAAACGTATCAACGGTGGTTTTATTTGGGAGTGTAAATGAGAGTATACATAAACGTAGTAACTCTATGGTTTTAACTAAAAGGATAAAAAATGTGTAGACGGATATAAATATAAATCCATCACTCATATTACCACAGCTGCAGTATAGTATCCTCGACCTAACCTTAATTTTTCGCTAATGCCGATGGTTATTAAGATCTATAGATCTGACTAGGGGTGTTAAAATGGGCTTTCCCGGCCTATTTATGTCTGTGTCCGTTTATCTCCGTCCGTGTCTATTTATGTGTGTTTAAGTTTGTAGTTTATTTATGTCCGTCTATTTAAAATCCATCGGACGATAAATCCCAGATATGTTGATTTTCAACTATTTTGTGTACTTCATATTTTAGATTTTATATTAGATGATGGGTTGTATAATGATACTACTAAAAATTTAAAATATTATTAATTTGATACCTTTAACAAGAGTTAAATTTTTCTTTTTACTATTTTAAACAACACCAATATGTATTGAATCAAAACTATTTAATTAAAATAGATATTATGAAATATTAATAATTTATTATTTAAGAAACTTTAAAAATAAATAAATGAAAAAACTTTACCCGCGGTGTACTGTGGGTTAAAAACCTAGTCAATATTATACTTTAACGGTTAGGTATAAATTTTTTTTTTTTTTTTTTTAAATTAAAAACCTCTTAATGGGCTGAGACAAAGCGGGCTACAAGGCCCAACAGGGCTACAGGAAAAGTAAAAGAAAAAATGGATATGCTTGCCGGAAGCGAGGCTCGGATCCGGGTTTAGCTATCGGAGACAACGGCTCCCGTCAAGTAACTCCGGCGTTAACAAAGGGGACTACTTTGCTTTCCTTCGGCGATTCCAGTTCTCGACCGGAGCTAACGAATCCGGACCGAATCCCAAGATTCACCGACAGATCAAACCCGCAACACCCTTTCCGGACAAGACCAAGCCGAAAACAACCGGACTCACCACCTCCTTCTTGTCCCGAACCTAGCAACAAAAAGGATTTCGTCTCTAACCCCTCGCCTCCTGCACCAGCGATCCGAGACACTAAAACCTAACCTGCACCTGCTTCAATTTATAACGTATAGAAAACATGATACATAATTACATATATTAATTGCATATTTCAGTATTAAAATTTGAAATTTTAGAATAGTACTGCATGCTTCGAAACTATCTAGAAGTTGAGAAAATTTTCCAAATCTAACAAAATATTTGTCTTGAAATTAAACTCTTAAGTTGACTTTAAGATTTTGTTACCGTTGTGAGGATGGAGAAAGAAAAGGAAATAACAGAAACGAAAACTCTTAATTTCCCTTAAAAACTATAATTAAATATGACCGTTGTGCAATCAAATATATTAATTTCCTTTTTCCCTTTTTAACTTCTTAATCCTTAATTTGTTTATCCATAATACTCAACGCGTCTTCTTCTTCTTCTTCTTCTTCTTCTTCTTCAAGATAATTCAAAAGCTCTCTCTTCTTCTTCCTCTTCTAAACCCTAGAACGATAATGATCCGTAACGGTAAAATTGGAAAAGTATTTTGAATAATCGTTTCGTTTCATTGATTGCATGATAAGATCGATCCATCTCTGTCTCCTTCATTCTAAATAAACATCGGTTTCACCAGAGACTACGACGGAACTGAAAAGTGAAGAGAGGAATTCGTAATAGTCTCGCCGATGATGATCCACCCAAGGCGATGATGATGATGATCCTTAAGGGTAAGATTGGAATTAAAGTATTTTATAGCATCGTTTCGTTTCATTGACTCTGTTCTTCTTCTTCTTCTTCAGACTAAATCAATATCGATTTCTTGGGATACTAAGTCTAGCCACGGAGAAGCTTTCACCGGAGACTGAATTTAAAAGTGAAAGAGAGGAATCGAGCGAGGTATACGATAAAAGCCCTCGTCTTCTTGGATTTGAATTTGAGTTTTAGGACTGATTTAATTAGAGATGATGATGATTTAGTATCTTAGAGAATGAATACCTAATTCTAATTGTAAAAATTTGTTTATTTGTACAAATCCCATACTTTGTTATACACTTGTTGTGGATGCACACAGGAAAAGCCTCGTAGAGTTGTAGCCATGTCTGTGTCTCGTCGTGTTGATGAAGTTGGTTACAGCTTTTTTTTTTAGGACACCAGAACCGTGCTTAAGTAAGCATTGTCTCTCTCTCTCTCTCTCTTTAGCTTATTTTCTTTATAATCTTATGTACTTGTGTGGCTAATCTTGTGTTAAAGATAGGTACTTCACTAATGGAACGCTCCTCAAAGTGATTATTCTCGAAGAAAGATCACTAGCCATAGATTTGCTCTTTGGTCTTCTCGATTAACATTGCTGAGAGACTTCCCTAACTATAGATGGGATTGTCTAAGTCATTGACCCTGGATGATGAAGGTAACTTGACAAAGACGGGTGAGATAGTGATCAGTGAGTTCTCTTGGATACCTAGGTGGTGAAGATGCTCATAGTCAGTCCTGAATTCAACTGTTCAAACGAGATTCTCTCGGTTTTAGCCATGCTCTCAGGTACCATCCTTTTACTTTCGTTTTCTTGAAAATATTCTTGCTAGGTTTGGTTAGGTATTTAGTGATTATCAGTTAGAATTAAGTATTAGAGTTAGGTTCTGCATACCCATGGTTAGGGACTTAGGAGTATCCTAAGTAAGTGCTGATGCAGTTTCTCAGTTATTCTCTTTCTCATGAAGCAAAGTGGTATTAGTCTCATCGCCGTTATGCATCTCCGTACCTATTCCATGGACCTCTTCTTATATAAATACCAATTCTTTCTCTGCTTTATTCAGCCTATAGAGTCTCAAAAAGCAGCAGATGAAGCTAAAGCTAGATTTGGACACATTGATGGAGATCATCTAACATTGTTGAACCGTCTACTTTTAAACAGTAAGTGATTATCCCTTTCTCTTCCTCTTTTGTCAATTACAATTTATGGTAACTAACTTGGTCAATGTAAATTCTCACAGATGAAGATCCCAATTGTTGCCTATGAAAACTTCATCAACAATAGAGCGATGAAATCTACAGACAATGTTAGACAGCAGCTAGTTCGGATAGATAACGTCATGGTTCAACAACCTGAAAATGTGCAGCACTCATTTTAACTACTATTATCAGCACTCTTCGGTTATTTCATGAAAGTGGCTCTCTTAGAACGCACTGGCCATTTACTTGACAGCCAAAGACAACCAAGTAAGTCAAGACAAATTCAGTTTGTATTGTTGTTTCCATTTAAACATTATTCTCTTGGTTTGCAGGTGGTTCATTTGCATCCATCAAATTGCTTGGATCACATGCTAGTCGATGTTGCTCCTCATGAAACGTGTCCTTGGGAAGCTGGGAGAAGGAAGAGAGCAAGAACCGGAAAAGGAATACATTCATTATCCTCATATGTCAACTTGGACAAGAGAATCCATAAGAGGAGGATTATATAGTGAATATATCAAGGTATTAAGCAGGTTCGTAATAGTCATCATCTTTTTATTTTGGTTTGGAGAATTGAATTTGTGGTATTATGAATAGAGATGACATCTCTGATTCTCTCGTGGGTTTGTTTTGTATTATGTGTAACAAACAGGTACCAGGATGCTCAAGACATCGACATCACAACTTTGCAGGTATACTATATACTTTCTTACTTTTTTTTTTTTTAATTAAAAAAATGATTTTGATTTAAAAATAAGAATAATGATTTTGATTTAAAAAAATTGGAAAAAAGATTTTATGTTTTTTTCACTTCTGATTTTTATGATTTAAAACTAAATATCAAAGTTTTTACTTTTTACCAAATAATTCAAGTAAATAGTTTTTTTTTTCTTTTTTTTTGTATCTAAGTGTTAAATTTAAATACGTTGAAATCAAACCGGACCTAGCATCCAGTCTCTTTGTGGTCCGTAAGTTTGGTGTAAAAGTTCAACATAATTTCGCGTATGATAAATTTAACGCTTAGACGCTTCAAAGTTTTTTTATATAAATATTATTTTAAGTAAATTGTGTTATTTTTTTAAACTAAAACTTATCATTATATATATGTTTTTAAAAAATAGCTTGAACAATACACCAAAATTGGTATATTAAAAATACGTCGTTTTCTAAAACAATCAGCAAATCAACAAATCCGACTTGAACAAATATAATATACTACCAAAACCAAATTGATTCATTAGAGATGAGTCTCTCTCTTTTTGTTGTTACTCTAACCGCTTGTTTTTGGACACCGTTACTGGACAAAATTTGGAGTGCTTCCTCTTACATTTCCCTCGGAAACTACGCGATGTAACGACCTAGTTTTTGTGAAGAAGATGTTCCCATGACAATACTTAGACCATGACAGAGATGAAAATGATGGTCTAAGATTTTTTTGTTAAGAATTAATGGAGTGGAATAAGATGGCATATAGTCTTCTGTTTCTTTTTTTCAAAGAGATACATTCCAGCCTAACTAGTTCACACAGGTGCGATAATACAAGTAAATATCTTGAGCAAGAAACCCAAACAGGTTCAGGTTCTGTCTTGATGTGAAAAAAAGAAAATTCTACTTAAACGATAAAAAAACAAGAGTTTGTGTGAATCCCACTAACACAAAAATTCTAAACACGGAGTTTTGACCAAACAGCGGTCTTAAATAATATTTTCTTATTATAAATTCAGGTTCAAAGATTTCTAATGAAAAGTAAAATCTAAGGAAAAAAAAAGAACCAAAATGTGTCTGCACAATCTCTTTTCAATCCTCTGTTTTGTCCTGGCTGTTAGTTTCGGTTCTGTCTCTGCACAAAAATGTGGGAGTTCAATGTCTTTCACCCCAAGCAGTACTTACGATGCAAACCGTCGTCTCGTTCTCTCAACTCTTGCTTCCAACGTTAGTTCTCAAAACAACCGTTCTTACAACGTCTCGGTCGGTGAAGGAGCTGGAAGGATCTATGCCTTAGGTCTCTGCATCCCAAGGACTGATCCAAAGGTTTGTTCAGATTGTATTCGAGCCGCATCAGAAGGTTTAATAAAAAACTGTCCGAACCAAACCGACTCATTCGACTGGAGAGGCGACAAGACACTCTGTTTCGTTCGTTACTCCAACAACTCGTTTTTCAAAAAGATCGACCTAGAGCCGACAGTAACAATTTTTAGTACTGCAAGGTTTCTCGGGAACGCCCCGGTCGAAGGCAACAAAACATTTGCAATTTATAACAGAACATGGGACGCGCTCATGGACTTGATGATCACCCGAGTCGGTCAATATCGATACATGTCCGATATATCCTCTCAAATAGGTTCTTATCGTATATACACTCTGATGCAGTGTATCCCGGGGATATCCTCTGAAGATTGTGAAACCTGTATTCGAGTAAGTGTCCATGATTATCAAAGTTGCTGCAGTGAATTCATAGGTGGAGTCGTTGCCAAGCCAGTCTGCTTTTTCCGGTGGGATCGTGATGAGTATTTTGGTGCCTTTGGTAACACGCAATCGTTACCTCCTCAAGAATCTCAAGCCACACCGTTAACAGATGGAAAAAATAATTCTACAGGAGTTATTGTAGGGATTTGTGTCTCAGCGGCGATACTCATCGTGCTGCTAGCTTTAGGGTTAGGTATTTGGAAGAGAAGGCAATCGTACAAAAAAATGAAACCTCAAAGTGAGTTACATTTTTTTGGGGTTACCATTTCCATGCACTGTTTTATTTTGGAATGCATAAAAGTAAACATTCATATGTTATTGCAGCTGATGATGACATGATAAGTCCACAGTCTCTTCAATTTGATTTTGCAACAATTGAAGCGGCAACAGATAAATTTTCGATGAATAATAAGCTAGGTCAAGGCGGATTTGGTGAAGTTTACAAGGTATATTTTAGCTGAGATCTACATATATGTATGACTGCTTGATTTTCATAAAAGCTTAGAAGCTTTTCATATGTATCTTATGTAGGGAATATTACCAAATGAAACAGAAGTTGCGGTTAAGCAGCTATCGAGAAATTCAGGACAAGGCACACAAGAGTTCAAGAACGAAGTTGTGATTGTGGCTAAGCTTCAACACAAGAATCTTGTTAGGCTTCTTGGGTTCTGCGTAGAAAGAGATGAAAAGATACTAGTCTACGAGTTTGTTCCCAACAAGAGCCTTGATTATTTCCTCTTTGGTAATAAACTATCAACACTATGTTTAGTTATATGTTCCTTTAATCAAATTTTCATAAAATTTTATAATCTCATGTAGATCCAAAAAAGAAAAGTCAACTCAATTGGAAAGAACGATACAACATCATAGGAGGGATTACGCGAGGGCTTCTCTATCTTCATCAAGACTCACGCCTCACCATCATACACCGTGACATCAAAGCAAGTAACATTCTATTAGATGCTGATATGAATCCTAAAATAGCAGACTTCGGAATGGCAAGGAATTTTAGAGTGGACCAAACTGAAGACAATACAGGAAGAGTTGTTGGAACCTTGTTAGTATTCTCCCTACTTAAGTTTTTAAATTCATCTAAATTCAGTAGTGAATTACAACATTAACATTGTCATGTGCATATTTGCAGTGGTTACATGCCTCCAGAGTATGTATTGCGTGGCCAATTCTCTACTAAATCTGATGTTTATAGCTTTGGAGTATTGGTTCTTGAGATTGTTTGTGGCAAGAAGAATAGCAGCTTCTATCATATAGACGATTCAGGGGGAAATTTGGTGACACATGTGAGCAAAACCTAAATGACTAGACTATGTTACACTTTACACCATTTTAAGTTTGATTCTAGTTTTGAAATATAAATATGAGTTTCTTGGCAGGTTTGGAGACTTTGGAACAATGAATCACTCTTAGATCTCATCGACCCTGCGATAAAGGAAAGCTACGATAATAATGAAGTCATTAGATGTATCCATATAGGAATGTTGTGTGTTCAAGAAACTCCAGCAGATCGTCCAGCCATGTCGACAATCTTTCAAATGCTTACCAATAGCTCCATTACTCTACCTATGCCTCGACCACCCGGATTTTTCTTTAGGAACAAACCCAATTCAGACCCTTTAAACTATGGATCCAATTTGGGACAATCCAGCAGCATGTCTGTTCCTTTTTCTAGAGACAGTGAATCAATCACTAGACTAACTCCTCGTTGAAATTCTTACTTATGTAGCACAAACAATTCAATTCTTTTCAATTTTCCTTGTAGCACAAACAATTCAATTATTTTCAAATTTTAATAAGAGTTTAATTGCGACATTATAATGCTTGTCTGTAACATACGAATTGCGAAAACCCCATGTAGAATTCACAAGTTTCTTAGGGTTAGAAGTAGAAGACATGATGATCCAATTTTTTCTTAGGGTTAAAGTCAATGTATAAAGAAATTGAACGTCCTATCCCGAAAAAACCTAAGTTTCAACTGTACTAAGTTTGGTTGATGCTTGTGGTGGCATTATGTTGTGGCACAAACGATTTTATATTGTTACGTAGAACAATCTAGAACTTGTTTCAGTCTGATCTAGAGGTCACAGCTGTAAAAGCTTTTGTCTTGTTCTGCTTTCCTGTTTTGGACTTTTTAGTTGGGCCTGGATTCTTCAATTGGACTGGACATTGAGATGGGCCTGTTTTGCTCACCGCATAAGCCATGGAGTGGCATATAGTCTCCTGTATCTTTATCTTCAAAGTGATAGCCTAGTTTCACAGGTACGATGTCACATGTTAATAAAAGAACAAGAAATCAAAGCCGGTTCTGTCTGGATGAGCTGAGTTTAAAAATGAATATTTTTACCTAACGCCGTGGAAAAAAGAAAATTCTACTTACACGAAAATTCTAAACACGCGAGTTTTTTTTGACCAAAAACAACGCTCCTAATTCCTAAATAATATTTTCTTATTTAGATTAAGGTTCAAAGATTTGTACTGAAAAGTAAAATCTAAGGAAAAAAAATGTGCCTAAACAATGTTTTTTCAATCCTCTGTTTCGTCCTAGCTGTTAGTTTCGGCTTTGTCTCTGCACAAAGATGTGGAGATTCACTGTTTTTCACCCCAAACAGTACTTACGATACAAACCGTCGTCTCGTTCTCTCAACTCTTGCTTCCAACGTCAGTTCTCAAAACAACCGTTCTTACAACGTCTCGGTCGGTGAAGGAACTGAAAGGATCTTTGCCATAGGTCTCTGTATCCCAAGAACTGATCCAAAGATCTGTTCAGATTGTATCCAAGCCGCATCAGAAGGTTTACTAAAAAACTGTCCCAACCAAACCGACTCATTCGACTGGAGACGCGACAAGACGCTCTGTTTCGTTCGTTACTCCAACAACTCGTTTTTCAACAAGATCGACCTTGAGCCGACAGTAACAATTTTTAGTACTAAAAGGTTTCTTGGGAACGCCCAGATCGAAGGTAAAGCTGGTTCTTTAATGAGTCATATCATTCTTTGTAATATCGTTTTTTTCCATTTAACTAATTTGTTTTGTTTGCTTTAGGCAACCAAACATTTGCAGATTATAACAGAACATGGGACGCGCTAATGAACTTTATGATCACTCGAATCGGTCAATCTCGATACCTATCCGACATATCCCCTGAAATAGGTTCTTATCGTATATACACTCTGATGCAGTGTATTCCTGGGATATCCTCTGAAGACTGTGAAACCTGTATTCAAGTAAGTGTCCGTAATTATCAGAGATGCTGCAGTGCCTTTGTAGGTGGAGTCGTTGCCAAGCCAGTCTGCTTTTTCCGGTGGGATCGTTATCCGTATTTTGGTGTCTTTGGTAACACGCAATCGTTACCTCCTCAAGAATCTCAGCCCACGCTGCTCCCACCTCATCAAGGTGGAAAAAATCATTCTACAGGGGTTATTGTAGGGATTGGTGTCTCAGCGGTGATAATCATTGTGCTGCTAGGTTTAGGGTTAGTTACGTGGAAGAGAAGGCAATCATACAAAACATTGAAACCTCAAAGTGAGTTACTTTTTTTTTTGGGGTTACCATTTTTTACTGTTTATTTTGGGATGCATAAAAGTAAAACATACGTATGTTATTGCAGCTGATAATGACATGATAAGTCCACAGTCTCTTCAATTTGATTTTTCAATAATTGAAACCGCAACCGATAAATTTTCGATGAATAATAAGCTAGGTCAAGGTGGATTTGGTGAAGTTTACAAGGTATATTTTAGCTTAGATCTACATATATGTATGACTGCTTGATTTTCATGAGAACTTAGAAGCTTCTCGTATATATATTTGTAGGGTATGTTACCAAACGAAACAGAAATTGCGGTGAAGCGTTTATCGAGAAATTCAGGACAAGGCACACAAGAGTTCAAGAACGAAGTTGTGATTGTGGCTAAGCTTCAACACAAGAATCTTGTTAGGCTTCTTGGGTTCTGCGTAGAAAGAGATGAACAAATGCTTGTCTACGAGTTTGTTCAAAACAAGAGCCTTGATTATTTCCTTTTTGGTAATAATCAAACAACAGCACTAGGTTCCGTTTAACTATATGTTACTTTAAAAAATAAAAATAAACTATGTCCTATGCAGATCAAACAAAGAAGAGTCAACTAGACTGGAAAAGACGGTACAACATCATAGGAGGGATTACGCGAGGGCTTCTATATCTTCATCAAGACTCAAGGCTCACCATCATACACCGTGACATCAAAGCAAGTAACATTCTATTAGATGCAGATATGAACCCAAAAATAGCAGATTTTGGAATGGCAAGGAATTTTAGAGTGGACCAAACTGAAGACAATACAAGAAGAGTTGTTGGAACCTTGTTAGTATCCTCCCTACTTAAATTTTTAAATTTCAGCTCAATTCATTAGTGATCCCTCTTACAATATTAACATTATTATATGCATATTTCAGCGGTTACATGCCTCCAGAGTATGTGACGCATGGCCAGTTCTCTACCAAATCTGATATTTATAGCTTTGGAGTATTGGTTCTCGAGATTGTTTGTGGCAAGAAGAATAGCAGTTTCTATCGGATGGATGATTCAGGGGGGAATTTGGTGACACATGTGAGCAAAAGCCAAATCCAAAAGTACCTTGCACCATTTTAAGTTTTATCAAAGTTTTGAACTCTGAATATGAATATCTTGGCAGGTTTGGAGGGTCTGGAACAATGAATCACCCTTAGATCTCATTGACCCTGCGATAAAGGAAAGCTACGATAATGATGAAGTCATTCGATGTATCCATATCGGTATATTATGTGTTCAAGAAACTCCTGCAGATCGTCCAGCTATGTCTACAATCTTTCAAATGCTTACCAATAGCTCAATTACTCTACCTGTGCCTCGACCACCCGGATTTTTCTTCAGGAACAGAACCAATTTAGACCCTTTAAACTATGGATCCAATTTGGGACAATCCAGCAGCATGCTTTTTCCTTTTACTGACAGTGAATCAATCACTAGAGTCAGTCCTCGTTAAAATTCTCTTACTTCTGCAGTCTCTATTTAGCATAAACAATTCAATTTATGCTAAATTATTTTCCTTTCAGCATAAACAATTCAATTCTTTACAAAAATTTGTATGTGATGGTTACACATTTTGCAAGTTTCCCAGTTAGGTATGTATATATATATATCTGTTGTCGCTATTTATTAATTAAGAGTTTAGTTGTGACATTATAATACTAATTGCGAAAACCACATGTAGAATTCACAAGTCTCGTAGGGTTAGAAGTAGAAGACATGATGATCCAATTTTCTTTTAGGTTAAATCAATGTATAATGAAACTGAGGATCCAATTTTTTTTTAAAGTGATGTGTAATAATAGAAGTTTATCAATTTGGTTTTTTTTTTTGGTTTTTTTTTGTGGTTGTGAACCAATCAATTTGGTTCTAATTTTCTTAACATCACTTTCATTTGGTGTTTAGAATAAATGCTTGGCTTATCTGCTGCAAGAACATTGTTTTTGACCAAATCAATGTTCTCAAAACATTACAATAAATGAAGTTAAAATAGACTATCCTCTATTTTATCCTCGCATAGTTTCTGCTTTGTGTCTTCACAATATTACACAAACCGTCGTCTTGCTTCCAACGCAAGTTAGTAGCGGAACCAGGTTAACCAAGCTGGTCCTATCCCGTAAAAAATGAGTTTCAAATGTAGTAAGTTAGGACTTTCTTAATTACTTAGATACCTGTCTTTAGTTGATGCCTTATATTTGTTGTGGATGTAAAAGTGAGTAACCTAGAAAAGACCTACTTGGTCGTGCAGACTAAGAATTGGTCTACGTTCACTTTCATTATTGACCTAACGTCTTTATAAAGCATTAAAGTATGCATTAATGCTCCGCTCGTATCCACCCTTTTAACGAAAGTTCTACACAAGCAAGCTGCTTTTGACCAAATCAGCTCTCCAAAATAATATTTTCTTTTAAAGATTCAATTAAGTTCTAGCTTCCAAGATATGCAACAAGTATCTAAGCAGCAAAGTAAAATGTGTCTGAACAATCTCTTCTCAATCCTCTGTTTCGTCCTAGCTGTTAGCTTTGGCTTTGTCTCTGCACAAAGATGTGGAGATTCACTGTTTTTCACCCCAAACAGTACTTACGATACAAACCGTCGTCTCGTTCTCTCAACTCTTGCTTCCAACGTCAGTTCTCAAAACAACCGCTACTACAACGTCTCGGTTGGTGAAGGAGCTGGAAGGATCTACGCCTTAGGACTCTGTATCCCAGAGACTGATCCAAAGGTCTGTTCTGATTGTATCCAACCTGCGTCTGTTAGATTATTACAGAATTGTCCAAACCAAACCGACTCATGGGACTGGAGAGCCGACAAGACGCTCTGTTTCGTTAGGTACTCTAATAGCTCCTTCTTCGACGTGAAAACTTTAATGCCGACACAAGCAGAGTACAACACTGGAATGTATAAGGGGAACGTTACAGCTTATACGAGAACATGGGACGCGTTCATGGAGTTTATGCTCACCCGAGTTGGTCAAACTCGATACTTGGCCAATATATCCCCTCAGATAGGTTCTGATAGTATATACGTGTTGATGCAGTGTATTCCAGGGCTATCATCTGAAGACTGTGAAGATTGTCTTAAAGAAAATGTTCAACAGTACAAGAGTTGTTGCAACGGGTACATAGGTGGTACAGTTCGCAAGCCGGTATGTTATTTTAGGTGGGATGGTTATCCATATCTTGGTGCCTTTGGTGTCACGCCATCTCTACCTCCTCAAGTATCTCAACCAACGCTGCGTCCGTCTCCTCCTCCACCTCCTACTCCTCCAGATGGAAACAAGATTTCTACGGGAGCTATTGTGGCGATTGTTGTTTCCGCGGTTATGTTCTTGGTGCTGCTCACTTTAGGGTTAGTTATTTGGAAGAGAAGACAATCATACAAAACATTAAAATCTCAAAGTGAGTTACTTTTTTTTTTGGTGGAGGTTTTACCATTCTCACAGTTCATTTTGGAATGCTTAAAAGTTAACCATACATATGTTATTGCAGCTGATGGTGACTTGATAAGTCCACAGTCTCTTCAATTTGATTTTGCAACAATTGAATCGGCAACAGATAAATTTTCTATGAGTAACAAGCTAGGTCAAGGGGGATTTGGTGAAGTTTACAAGGTATATATATTTGAGCTGAGCTCTACATATATATCTATGACTGCTTGATTTTTTCATAAAAAGAAGGAACTATTTAGGAAGCTTCTTATATATACATTTTGTAGGGTATGTTACCAAATGAAACAGAAATTGCGGTGAAGCGTCTATCGAGAAATTCAGGACAAGGCACACAAGAGTTCAAGAACGAGGTTGTGATCGTCGCTAAGCTTCAACATAAGAATCTTGTTAGGCTTCTTGGGTTCTGCGTAGAAAGAGATGAAAAGATACTAGTCTACGAGTTTGTTCCCAACAAGAGCCTTGATTATTTCCTCTTTGGTAATAAACAATAGCACTAGGTTTAGGTATTTGTTCCTTTTATCAAACATTTAAACTATTAGTCTATGCAGATCAAACAAAGAAGAGTCAACTAGACTGGAAACGACGGTACAACATCATAGGAGGGATTACGCGAGGGCTTCTCTATCTTCATCAAGACTCACGGCTTACCATCATACATCGTGACATCAAAGCAAGTAACATTCTATTAGATGCTGATATGAATCCTAAGATAGCGGATTTTGGAATGGCAAGGAATTTTAGAGTGGACCAAACTGAAGACAATACAGGAAGAGTTGTTGGAACCTTGTTAGTATTCTTCTCCCTACTTAAATTCAGCTCAATTCATTAGTGAACCCTTTTACAATATATTAACATTGTCATGTGTGCACACTTGCAGCGGGTACATGCCTCCAGAGTATGTGACGCATGGCCAATTCTCTACTAAATCTGATGTTTATAGCTTTGGAGTATTGGTTCTGGAGATTGTTTGTGGCAAGAAGAATAGCAGTTTCTATCAGATGGATGATTCAGGGGGAAATTTGGTGACACATGTGAGCAAATGCCAAATCCAAAAGTACCTTACACCATTTTAAGTTTTATCAAAGTTTTGAACTCTGAATATGAATATCTTGGTAGGTTTGGAGGGTCTGGAACAACGAATCACCTTTAGAACTCATCGACCCTGCGATAAAGGAAAGTTACGATAATGATGAAGTCATTCGATGTATCCATATCGGAATTTTATGTGTTCAAGAAACTCCGGCAGATCGTCCAGCTATGTCTACAATATTTCAAATGCTTACTAATAGCTCCATTACTCTACCTGTGCCTCGACCACCCGGATTTTTCTTCAGGAACAGACCCAATTTAGACCCTTTAACCTATGGATCCGAGCTGGGGCAATCCAGCAGCATGTCTGATCCTCATTCTAGAGACAGTGACTCACACACTAGAGTCACTCCTCGTTGAAATTCTTGCTTTTGCACTCTCATGTATTTAGCACTAGTCCGTACATTTTTCCTTAGTATATATGTAGCACAAACAACTATTTTTTCTTCAAAATTATGTGTAAGAGAGTCGAAGTTTTAACCCATTCTATTACTTGAATACAGTCACGAATTAACTCATAATCGCGCGCTAAGGTGTTTGAACATACATCTTGATAATAAAACCGAGAAACGAGACAATTTATATGACGAGTTTTCCTGTATCGCGGTGTATGATTGAGCTTGCATATCAACAGAATCAAACACACTAGAACGAATTCACTATCTCCAATAAAACAACAGAACATAATCAAAATGTTACAAAATCATACACCCAATTCGTTATCTTTTCCTCTAACTTCTTTATTCTTTTAAAAAATCTTGTATGACAGTGCAAGTTACAACAAACCCATTCAAATTATAAGCCTATTGAAGAATTTGAACTCAGCTAATAAAAAGATTAATAACTTAAATTGAATTGACTTGACTATGCTAGATTCAACAACTACTTAAAAGTTAAAACGAAAGTTCTTACCATCAATACTTTTTGACAAATTCAACCCCCCTAAGTGTTACAGTAAAAACGCATTACCAAGTTGACTTGAATAAGCTTTTAACCAATTAGTCAATTAATTAACACGAATTCTAACCAACCATGCCTTTTTGACGAAATCAACATCCTAAAATGCTATAGTAAAATAAAAATTTGTATGTTATTTTACAATTCATTTCAACGATCTGAACAAAAGATCCAAAACTAAATGTGTATGCACAATCTCTTATCAATCCTCTGTTTTTTCCTCCTCGCCAATAGCTTCGGCTACGTGTCTGCACAAAAATGCGTGGACTCAATGTTATTCAGACCAAACAGTACTTACGACACAAACCGTCGTCTCATTCTCTCAACTCTTGCTTCCAACGTCAGTTCTCGAGACGGCTACTACAACGGTTCTGTCGGTGAAGGACCTGGAAGAATCTATGCCCTAGGACTCTGTATCCCAGGGGCTGATCCAAAGCTCTGTTCTGATTGTATCCAAATCGCATCAACAGGTTTATTACAAAACTGCCCGAACCAGACCAACTCATACGACTGGAGATCTCAGAAGACGCTTTGTTTCGTTCGTTACTCCAACAGCTCGTTTTTCAACGACATGGATCTAGAGCCAACGATGGTGATAGGAGATTTAGATGATGGAATATTCCAAGGAAACCTTAAAGCTTATACAAGAACATGGGACTCGTTCATGAACTTTATGATCACCCGTGTTGGTCAAACTCGTTACCTGGCTAATACATCTCCTCGGATAGGTTCTGCTCGTATATACGCGCTGATGCAGTGTATTCCAGGGATATCATCTGAAGAATGTAAAACATGTATTCAAGAAAACGTGCGTGTGTACGAGAATTGCTGTAAAGGGTTCATAGGAGGAACAGTTCGTAAGCCGGTCTGTTTTTTCCGGTGGGATGGTTCTGAATATCTTGGTGCCTTTGGTGACAAGTCATCGCTAACTCCACCTCCTCCAGATGGGAAAACAATGTCTTCCGGAGCTATTGTTTCGATTGTTGTTTCCGCGGTTATATTTGTGGCGTTGCTCGGTTTAGCATTAGTCGTTTGGAAGAGAAGACAATCATACAAAACACTAAAACCTCAAAGTGAGTTCTTTTTTCCCTCACATTGCTTTTTGGAACGCATAGTAGAAATTTATAAACCACACATACATATCTTATTGCAGCTAATGATGGCATGATAAGTCCACAGTCTCTTCAATTTGATTTTGCAACAATTGAAGCGGCAACAGATAAATTTTCGATGAATAATAAGCTAGGCCAAGGCGGATTTGGTGAAGTTTACAAGGTATATTATAGCTGAGGTTTACATATATCTATAGATTGCTTGGCTTTTCATTAAAACTAATAAGTTAAGAAGCCAGCTTTACGTTATATGTATATTTGTAGGGAATGTTACCAAATGATACAGAAGTTGCGGTGAAGCGACTATCGAGAAATTCAGGACAAGGCACAAAAGAGTTCAAGAACGAAGTTGTGATTGTGGCCAAGCTTCAACACAAGAATCTTGTTAGGCTTCTTGGGTTTTGCTTAGAAACGGATGAACAGATACTTGTCTACGAGTTTGTTCCCAACAAGAGCCTTGACTATTTCCTCTTTGGTAATAAACAATAACACTAGCTTAATTAATTTATCCTCTCTTATTAGGTTTTTTCTTAAGATCATAAACTAATGAAATTCATATATGGATGTGCAGACGTAACAAAGAAGAGTCAACTAGACTGGGATAGACGATACAACATCATAGGAGGGATTACGCGAGGGCTTCTCTATCTTCATCAAGACTCACGGCTCACGATCATACACCGTGACATCAAAGCAAGTAACATTCTTTTAGATGCTGATATGAACCCTAAGATAGCGGATTTTGGAATGGCAAGGAATTTCAGAGTAGACCAAACTGAAGACAACACAAGAAGAGTTGTTGGAACCTTGTTAGTTTTCTCCTTAATATTTGATGAATCTTGTTTCACAATACTTATTTAGAATGTGCCCTTTTTGTTTATGATGAACTTATAGCAATGTTTCATGTGTATTTTCAGCGGTTACATGCCTCCAGAATATGTGACACGTGGCCAATTCTCCACCAAATCTGATGTTTATAGCTTCGGAGTATTGATTCTTGAGATTGTTTGTGGCAAGAAGAATAGCAGCTTCTATCATATGGATGATTCTGGTGGCAATTTGGTGACTCATGTGAGCAAAAAATCAAATCAAAATCTCAAAAAACCTTACCATATTTTATTGTGATCAAGGTTTTGATTCTGATAATGAGTTTCTTGGCAGGTATGGAGACTTTGGAACAATGCTTCACCTTTGGATCTCATCGACCCCGCGATTAGGGAAAGCTATGAGAAGGATGAAGTCGTTAGATGCATCCATATCGGACTATTATGTGTTCAAGAAACTCCTGCAGATCGTCCAGCTATGTATACAATCTATCAAATGCTTACCAATAGCTCAATTACTCTACCTGTGCCTCGACCACCCGGATTTTTCTTCAGGAACATACCTAGTTTAGACCCATTAACTTATGGATCCGAGTTAGGGCAATCCAGCAGCAAGTCTATTCCTTATTCCACAAACGACGATTCAATAACTAGAGTCACTCCTCGTTGAAATGATTGCCTCTGTACTCTGTATGTAGAATTAACCTCAGCAGGTTTAGCGTTAGTCCATACAATTTTCCTTGTATCACACGTAACTCCAATTTTCAAAGTCTGTATACTGAAAACTTGAATAATTTTCATATATGTGATTCGTATTATTACAAGTATATGTTTCCGTTGAGTTTATGTGTCTCAAGAACTGATCCAAAAGCATGTACGTCCATATAAGTCTTACGTTGTATCCAATTTGTTTCTTGTGATACACGTAACGTTCCAGCTTTTTTTAGCTAATGGATATGAAAGCAACATATGTAAGAGTCGAAGTTTCTGGATATGGATATGTGTCTTCACTTGCATCACATATTTTTAACGCGTTTATTAAATACTCAACAAGATCTATCGGGCTTGACTTGAATATGCATGCTTGAGTTGACTCAACAAGACCTATCGGGTTGACTTGAATATGCACGCTTTAGTTGACTCAACTACTTCAAAGAAAAATTCTAAACACACATGTTCTTTTTGACGAGATCAACGTTCTTTAAAAGTTACATTTTTTCCTTATTTAGTAAGACTGCAACAAGTAGTATCTGAGCAGAGTCTGGTTTCTTAAAAATGTCTCGTAACCATATCGTTTCAATCCTCTGTTTCATTACCCTAGTCTTTAGCTTAGGCTACGTATCTGCTCAAAAGTGCGGAGAGAATTTATTTTTTAAACCAAACAGTACTTACGATACAAATCGTCGTCTCGTTCTTTCAACTCTTGCTTCCAACGTCAGTTCTAGAGACGGCTACTACAACGTCTCGGCTGGTGAAGGTGCTGGAAGGATCTATGTTTTAGGGTTATGTATCCCAGGGACTGATCCAAAGGTCTGTTCCGATTGTATCAAACCCGCGTCTGAAGGTTTGTTACAAAACTGTCCGAACCAAACCGACTCATGGGACTGGAGAGCCGACAAGACGCTCTGTTTCGTTCGTTATTCCAACCGGTCTTTTTTCGACGAGATTGATTTAGAGCCGACCACAGCAGAACTTTTAACTTTAGATGTCACTGGTGACGTTGCGGAGTATAACAGAACATGGGAAGGTTTCATGAACCGTATGATATCAGCAGCTTCCTCCTCAACTCCTGGGTCGCTTGCAGGCAGACATTACGCAGCAAACATAACTCCTTTGCCTGGTTTCCGGAGAATATACGTATTGATGCAGTGTACTCCAGGGATTTCTTCTGTGGATTGTGACGCTTGTCTTCAAGCAAATGTTCGTACGTACCAAGGTTGTTGCGGTGGGAAGCAAGGTGGTAGTATTCGGAGACCTGTTTGTTTTTTCCGGTTTGATCCTTATCCGTATCTTGGTGCTTTCGATAGTATAACGTCGTCGTCCCCTCCTCCTCAAAGCTCTAAAGATCCTCAAGAATCTCAACCCGCGGCGTCGCCTCCTCCTCCGGATGGCAAAAAGATATCTACAGGAGTTATAGTGGCGATTGTCTTCTCCGTGGTCATATTCGTGGCGCTGTTAGTTCTTGGATTGATTGCTTTGAAGAGAAGACAATCATACAAAGCACTAAACCTTGAAAGTGAGTTATTTTTACCTTTTTCTCTAATTTTGAAACAGAGTATTATGAATTCTCATATATATTGCTACCATACATCTACTGTTGCAGCTAATGATGATATTACAAGTCCACATTCTTTGCAATTTGATTTCAAGACACTTGAAGCGGCAACTGATAAATTTTCAGTGAACAACAAAGTCGGTCAAGGCGGATTTGGTGAAGTTTACAAGGTATATTATTTAGCTTTGTATATACTCTATGATCGTTTGATTTTTTTCATGGAAGCTAAAAAGTGGTGCATTTGTATATTTGTAGGGAACATTACCTAATGGAACTGAAGTTGCGGTGAAGCGACTATCAAAAAATTCAGGACAAGGCTCACAAGAGTTTAAGAACGAGGTTGTTCTTGTGGCGAAGCTTCAACATAGGAATCTTGTTAGGCTCCTTGGGTTTTGCTTGGAAGGAGATGAACAGATACTTGTCTATGAGTTTGTTCCCAACAAGAGTCTGGACTATTTCCTCTTTGGTTTGTTACTAATTCTCTTGATATTCTTGTGTTCATTCTTGAAACCAAGATTTGTTGTTAATATAATATCGAATGCGCAGACCCAACAAAACAACCACTACTAGATTGGAGTAGACGGTACCATATCATTGGTGGGATTGCTCGAGGGATTCTCTATCTTCATCAAGATTCACGGCTCAAAATCATACACCGTGATCTCAAAGCGAGCAACATTCTTCTAGATGATGATATGAACCCGAAAATAGCGGATTTTGGCATGGCGAGGATTTTCGGAATTGAGCAAACTGGAGCCAATACTAGCAAAATAGCTGGAACCTTGTAAGTGATTGTTATTATGATGTAACCTTTTGATTGTAAATTGTAAACACAAGTCTCATTTTGGCATTTTTTTTAAAACACAGCGGTTATATGGCTCCCGAGTACGTGATGCACGGTCAATTCTCTATGAAATCTGATGTCTATAGCTTTGGAGTGTTGGTTCTTGAGATCATAAGTGGCAAGATGAATAGTAGTTTTCATCAAACAGATGGATCAGCTGGGAATTTAGTCACTCATGTTAGTTCTTTTCGACTATGATAGTATATAAGTATGATAAAAAATTATGTACTGTTTACTGATAAGTTCCATATATTTAATGTTAGGCTTGGAGACTATGGAGGAAAGGCTCCCCTTTAGAACTCTTGGATCCGGCTTTCGCGGGGAATTATCAAAGCGATGAAGTTACAAGATGCATTCATATCGCGCTTTTATGTGTTCAAGAGAAACCTGAAACTCGTCCAATGATGTCTACACTTATCTTGATGCTCACTAGTAGCACAATCACTTTACAAGTTCCTCGTGCACCTGCGTTTTTCTTACAAAGTAGCCGTGACCAAGATTCTGAAGCTGAGTGCTCGAGTTCATATGGGAAAACAATTCTTAGTTCTATCGATGATACATCGATGACAGATCTAGAACCTCGTTGAAGATGATATTAGTATTTGATGTTTCATTGTCATATTTTTCCTTAGGACTGAGAAAATGATTTGTATATAAACCAAACCGGTTATTAATTAAACCGGTTTAATATAAATAGTACTAAACCACCTTCCACCTTCTCTAGCTCTGCCGTTGCTTCTCCTCCTGCTACTTTTCAAATTTGGCAATTTAGGGTTTTGAGATTCGACCTTTGTTCCGCTTGACGATCGAAGAAACCTTTCAATTCTACAATTGAGAGATTGTTCCATCCCAATCAGGTCTCGTAAAGCTTCCAATTTTACTGTTATTTTATGGATTATACAATGCTTCGAGTGGTTAAGAGGTCCCCTGTATCGAGTGGAGATGCGTGTGCTCAGATTGTATCAAGGAAAGCGTCTGTAACAGGATAAACCGGTTGATTTCTTGGTTTTAAGGAGAGGACTAAACCAAGAGGCTAACCGGTTTATCCTGTTACAGCGTCTGATGGAGTTGTCCTGACTATGACATGGGAATTGTAATGCTTTCGACTAGCCTCTAATTTTCTTGCCGTAAAGTTGGAAACTTGGAGTCAGTCAGGTCAATCTCGAATCTTTACTCTGTTTTGCTTTATAAATTGTTTGGGTGTATGCTACTGTTTGTTTGTGGGTTTAAAAAAGTGCAATGCTAAGGATGATATTGTTGATTCTTTATTCAAGTTGCATGATCTGTCAACAAGGCCTCAGGTAATAATGGTTTTGTATTACTGTTTGTGCTGAGAAAAGTAATAAGATAAGCTATAGAAAGTGTCAATCTATTACTAATTTTGGTTCTTTGGATTGCTCAATTTGTTAAATTTTTTAAATAAGAATGCTATTGAAGGTATCAAAGATTCAAAGTATTGTTATTATAAAGCTATTGGCATTCCTTATTAACGAAACGAGTGGTGCCCTCTCTCTATCACTCTGCTTTGTTATTATTAAGTTTTAAAGATTCATTCAACAAAGGTCGTGGTGTCTGGGTGCATCTCACATCATATGAACATATTTGAAACTTCAACATTGGTTTTATAAGGATAAAACACATCAGCTCTTTGCTATCATTGGCTCTCTGATTTTGCCCCTGCTTTGACTTGGCTTTTATGTCAACTTGTTGGGATAACTCAACTGCTATTAAACTGATACCGGTGTTGAGATATGCATACACTAATCCAAAAACATTGTTACAACAATGAGAAAGGCCAAGAAGATTTCCTTCTCGGTCTTCTTGTTTATCTTTATTAGCAAAGTTGGTGTTGTTTCTTCACAACAATGCTTCGACACTGGAAATTTTGAACCCACTAGTACTTATGGTGCTATTCGTGACGATATACTATTATCTCTTTCTTCTAATGTGATGGAACACGGTGGCTTCTACAATAGTTCAATCAGAAAAGGTGATGACCAAGTATACGCAATGGCGATGTGCATTGATGAGAGCGAACAAAATGCTTGCTCTGAATGTATGGAGGTTGCGGTTGGCCAGTTAAAATACAATTGTCATAACCAGACTGAAGCCTTCACATGGGTACCTCATAAGACACTTTGCTTTGCACGTTATTCCAACATCTCGTTTCTTGGGAGGCTCGATAAGCACCCACGTTACGCAGAGCACAACAGTATGGAGATCAAGTCATTTTTACAAGCTTCTGAGGAAAAATGGAATGAAGCACTGAATGATATGATAAAGTCAGCCTGGGGCAAAAATGGATCTTTTTCTAACCGTGATTACTACTCACCTAGTAAGGTAATATTGGAAAATCACCAGACTTTGTACGCATTGATGCAGTGTACTCCAGATCTATCACCAGCCAATTGTAGCTCATGTCTGGCACAGAGTGTTAGTGATTATGAGAAAAACGACGACTTCCGTGGGAATCAAGGTGGCATTATTGCATACCCAAGCTGCTTTTTCCGGTGGGATCTGTATCCCTTCATCGGAGCTTTTAATTCGTCACCTCCACCCTCACCAGGTAATTCCTCCGACTCAGAATCTATGAAATTCAAAACCTTCCAAAAAACGTACCATTCTGTTAAGGGCTTACCAAAAATTTGATGAAGGTTTGAAACAAATTCAATCAGTGGATGATGTAAATTCTTATTGTAAACTATCCTCTGTGATTCTTGTATGCCTAGGTTGTGAAAATAATATCTCAACGGGAATAATTGTGACCATTGTTGTTGCCACTGGAGTAGTCTTCTCTGTGTTATCGGCTGCAGTAGTAGCACTTGTTTGCAGAAGGAAGAAAACTGATCCTCCAGGTGACTTGATTCGTATTTTACGAACCGTTTTTGTTTTCTTTAAATTATTTTTAGGAATAGTTTACTCAGTTCTGAAGTGAACCCACCAGAGAATTTTATGTACGAATACTTTACTCAGTTCCGTTGTCAACTATTTGCAATTTCTTATTAGGTCACCAATGTTTATTTGGTAAATGACTGCAAAAGTTTTTAGTGATTATACAGAGAAATTTCATTACGATTTCGATTTGTTTGTGTTCTTTTATGGTGCTACGAATAATTCGACTTTTTCATGTTGCAGAGGAAATTTCAACCACAAATTCACTGCAGTATGATCTTAAGACAATTGAAGCTGCAACTTGTACATTTTCGACGAGAAACATGCTTGGTCAAGGTGGATTTGGAGAAGTTTTTAAGGTAGAACTTGTCCCACTCTTAGATTTTTATTACTCATGAAATTAAATGTGTATTAAGCCGAATAACAAATATAGGTGGTCTGATCTAAATTCTGTGTATTTATTATTTGTAGGGCGTGCTTCATGACGGGTCGGAAATTGCGGTAAAGAGGCTATCAAAAGAATCAGCACAAGGTGTTCAAGAGTTCAAGAATGAGACTAGTCTCGTGGCAAAGCTTCAGCACAGAAATTTGGTTGGAGTGCTCGGGTTTTGTATGGAAGGAGAAGAAAAGATACTCGTCTACGAGTTTGTTCCCAACAAAAGCCTAGACCAGTTCTTGTTTGGTATTTTGCTTATAACACCCTGTTCTTATTTTTGAAGTTCTAGTGATTTAAGAGTTGATTGCAGTTCTTGAAACTTGTTTTAATTGACATTTACAGAGCCTGGAAAGCAAGGCCAGCTGGATTGGGCTAAACGGTACAAGATTATTGTTGGGACTGCTAGAGGAATTCTATATCTTCATCATGACTCGCCTCTCAAAATCATACACCGTGACCTCAAAGCTAGTAACATCCTCTTAGATGCTGAAATGGAACCAAAAGTTGCAGATTTTGGAATGGCAAGGATTTTGAGGGTGGATCAATCACGAGCTGATACAAGGAGAGTAGTTGGAACCCAGTAAATATTCTTTTCCCCCTTTATTTCCTATTAATCTCTGAAGTTTCGATGACCCTTTCCTCACTGGTAAACTCAAGAATTTTTTGTTTTCTTTCTAGTGGCTACATTTCTCCAGAGTATTTGATGCATGGCCAATTCTCTATAAAGTCTGATGTCTATAGTTTTGGGGTCTTGGTTCTTGAGATTATAAGCGGAAAAAGAAACAGCAACTTTCATGAAACTGATGAGTCTGGAAAGAATTTGGTCACACATGTGAGCATAAAAGGACCTAAACTTTAAATAGATTTTTACTTCTATAACCTTTATAAGGTTTTGATTTTCATTTTGGTAAATCATTGTGATAGGCTTGGAGGCATTGGAGAAACGGATCACCACTAGAGCTCGTGGATTCGGAACTTGGAAAGAACTACCAGAGTAATGAAGTTATCAGATGCATCCATATCGCGCTATTATGTGTTCAAAATGATCCAGAAGAGCGTCCAAATTTATCGACTATCATCTTGATGCTCACAAGTAACTCCATCACTTTACCTGTGCCTCAGTCACCAGTACATGAGGGAATGGAGATGTTTCTACCTCAGATAAAATCTGTTCCTGGTTCTATCAATGATTCACTAATTGATGACTTAGTTCCTCGTTGAAGATGACAGTCACTTCTATTTGAGGTGTGGTTCTATACTTTCTCTTAACTCTTCTTATGAATGATATTGTGTTTAGTTTTAAAGTGTTACTCTCTTTTACAGGGTTAAGTTTCTTCAAGCTGAGTTCGGAGATAAACAAATGTAATGCAAATAAGTTGACTCCAGAAGGTATTGTCTAACTGAAGACTTGTGTGTTTTGAAGGTTATATAACTCAAGCAAGTTTTGTATGTAATATATTGAAAACTAATGTTCATGTAAAAATTGGTTTTCTTTAGTTTGTTTGTTGAAAACTTCAGATGATATTACACAAGTATTTGAAGTAAGTTTACCGTTTAACTTCTTAAATTTATCTTGCTAGTTGATGAAAAGGATGAATTTGATAAAACAAGAGGAAGTTGGTTATTTAGTTTAGGATTTGAGCACTTATAGGGGTTCGCTCTCTGATCCTTCTTTACGGTGGATCCAAAGAACTTCACTGTTTCCTCTGTTCCCATGGGCCCGAAGCACGGACACTGGTTGTATGACTCAAATCGTGGTGTTTTCCGCTCTCCTGATGTGTCCGATGAAGTGCATGCAATGGAATATGTATGTAAGAGTTATATTATAGAGTTCGTTTTACAATATTCTTGACGCTCACAAGTAACAAAATCACTCTACCATGAGACTGAATTTGGAATCAGGTCAGTCTTTGATCCTTAGTCAGTCTTCTCAGATTCTTCTTTTACATTAATGTTTGTTGATTTGTCCCATGTGGGTTTGTAAACGACGATTGTCAACTATAATTTTGATTCTTTATTAAAGTCATACATTGCTAAGTCGTTTGTAAATGTTTGTTTTTTAACTAGTTGAGTTTGAGAACGTAACAAGACAGTGATTGAAGGTATCATAGTAGTATCACTGTTTTGGTTCATGAAATGGATAAGTTTTGGTTGAGAATGTAAAGTAAAACCTATGTATTTGAAGGTGTCAAGGTATTGTTATTATAAAGCTATTGGCGTAATTGATTTATCAACTAGGCTAAAATTTACATACTTCCTTATAAACTAAAGCATTGCATTCATATGTTTCTACCTCTCTTTGCTTTCTCTGTCTCCGTAATGTTTCTGAAAGTAATCATGCAAATCCTCTGTTTTTTCCTAGCTATTAGCTTTGGTTACGTGTCTGCCGAAGTATGTGGAGACTCCCTATTTTTCAGACCCAACGGCACTTACGATACCAACCGCCAAGTCGTTCTCTCAACTCTTGCTTCCGAAGTCAGTTCTAGAGAAGGCTTCTACAATATTTCCGTCGGTGAAGGCCCTGAAAGAATCTATGTTATTGGGATGTGCGTCCCAGGTGCTGAACCACAGACCTGTTCCGATTGTATCAAAGCCTCCTCTGATTTTCTAATAAAACACTGTCCCAACCAGACCGACTCGTTCGACTGGAGCCCCCAAAAGACTCTCTGTTTTGTTCGTTATTCCAACAGCTCCTTTTTCAACGAAATTAATCTTGAGCCGAACTATGCAGAGTACTACACTGGAGAAATCCCTGGGAACGAAACAGAGTTTAACAGGATATGGGAAGATTTCATGAGGCGCATGATTGCGGCGGCTTCCTCTTCAACTCATGGGTCACCTGCTCGCATGCATTATGCGGCCAGTATGACCCCTTTAACAGGTTTCCTCAATATGTATGCGTTGATGCAGTGTATTCCTGGGATATCTTCCGGGGACTGCGAAAAATGTCTTCTTGAAAATGTCCGTACACAGCAGCAATGCTGCAGTAAGAACATAGGAGGTAGCGTTAGGAGACCAGTCTGCTTTTCCCGGTCTGATACTTCTCCGTTTTACGGTGCTTTCGATAACATTACACCCTCCCCACCTCCTCAAAAGCTACAATCTATGCCTCCCCCGGGTGATCTGTCCAGTTCAACCGATAAAGGTATGACTGTATAATACGTTTCATATATATATAGCCAATATTGATCTAAGGAAATTTCAATTGAATCCTTAAAACACATTCAAACTCTATATAAAATTTTCCTTTAATTCTTATATGCCTTATCTCGAGAAGACATCTGAATCTCGTTTAAGGCCATACTAAAACTTGATTCGCTTTTGTAGATGGCAAAAGGATCTCCAAAAGAAATAAAATGCTGATTCTTGTACTGGTATTGACAGTAGTAACGGTGGTACTGCTCGCTCTAGGATTTGTTTTCTGCAAGAGGAGAAAATCATACAAACCAATGAAACTTGAAAGTGAGTGTTACTTTTATCCTTTTTTGGCCGAGTACATGAATGTATAATAACACACACATCCATTGTGCAGCTGATGATGATATCACAAATTCACAGCCGCTGCAGTATGATCTTAAGACAATTGAAACCTCAACAGATAATTTTTCGGACAACAACAAACTCGGTGAAGGTGGATTTGGTGTAGTTTACAAGGTATTTAAGTTGTCTACCTTTATTTTTTTAATTATTTTTTACAGGCAACACCGTCATGAGAGCATGAAGCCATGCATATATATATATTTTGGACTGTATAGGGTACATTTTCAAATGGAACTGAAATTGCCGTTAAAAGACTATCGATATATTCAAGACAAGGCTTGCAAGAGTTCAAGAACGAGGTCATTGTCATGGCAAAGCTTCATCATAATAATCTTGTTCAACTTCTTGGGTATTGCATGGAGGGAGAAGAGAAGATACTCGTCTATGAGTTTTTGTCTAACAAAAGCCTCGATCTTTTCCTCTTTGGTTAGTTAACATTCCAAATTCCCAGCTTTGTGTACCTGCCTTCAGTTTCTGCTTAACTAATATATCTATACACAGACACTATGAAGCAGCTACAGCTGGACTGGACCAAGCGCTACAACATTATCGAACAGATTGCTCGAGGGATTTTATATCTTCATCGAGATTCACGGCTAAAAATCATACACCGTGATCTGAAAGCAAGCAACATCCTTCTAGATGCTAATATGAACCCCAAAATCGCGGACTTCGGCCTGGCAAAGATTTTTGCAATGGAGCAAACTCGAGCCGAGACTAGCAAGATAGCTGGAACTCTGTAAGTGAAACTTCTGATTAACTTTTATGAACCTTTTTTCCAGTACTTGTAAATTCAAGAGGTTTTGCAGCGGCTACATGCCTCCCGAGTATCTGAGTCATGGTCAGTTCTCCATGGAATCTGATGTCTATAGCTTCGGAGTCTTGGTTCTTGAGATCATAAGCGGCAAAATGAGTAGCAGCTTCTACCAGATTGATGATACTGATTGCAATTTGGGCACATATGTGAGTACATAGTTATATATAGTTTTATTTCACTATGGATCAACTCTTTAAGAAGAACTCTTTATATACATTAAATTACAAATTAATTTTAGGCTTGGAAACTGTGGGGAAAAGGTTTGGCTTTAGAACTCGTGAACCCATCTTTAGTGGAAAATGCTCAAATAGAACAAGTCACTCGATGCATACATGTCGCCCTTCTATGTGTTCAAGCTGATCCTTCAAAACGTCCAAAATTGTTTGAAATCATATCAATGCTCACTACTAGCAAAATCAGTCAGTCAGTGCCTAGTGAACCTGGATTTTGTCTACATAGTAGAAGCTGAGGGATTGAAGTTTCAATTCCTTCCTTTGTTCTACCGATGATGATATGTCTGCTACTTTTGTTTTTTATTCTCTTAAGGCTATTAATATCTTAATTTGATTTGATTCCAAGTGTTGCTTGTTTACTATATATATATTGTGTGATTTATATGAATGTAAATGTTTACTTACGAATTACCAATGTACTTCCAATGTTCACTTAATGTACTACCAAGTACCAGCAAACTGATTGAGAACAATGATTGTCAACTATGGTAGATGCTGAAACTGTATATAACTGTATATAATGTAAATCCTCTTAGATGCTGAAATGGAACCAAAAGTTGCAGATTTTGGAATGAAGGATTTTGAGGGTGGATCAATCATAAGCTGATACAAGGAGAGTTGTTGGAACCCAGTAAATACTCTTTGTTTTCTCTCTAGTGGCTACATTTCTCCGGAGTATTTGATGCATGGCCAAATCTCGATCAAGCCTGATGGCTATAGTTTTGGGGTCTTGGTTCTAGAGATTATAAGCGGAAAAAGAAACCGCAACTTTCATGAAACTGAGGACTCCGGAAAGAATTTGGTCATACATGTGTGGATAACAATCAAAACTTTGTAAAGACTTTACTTCTGTAACTTTGTTATGTACAAAGTAAGGTTTTGACTGTTACTTGATTCATCACTGTGATAGGCTTGGAGACATTGGAGAAATGGATCACCATTAGAGCTCGTGGATTCGGAACTTGAAAAGAACTATCAGAGTAATGAAGTTATCAGATGCATCCATATCGCGCTATTATGTGTTCAAGATGATCCAGAAGAGCATCCAAATTTATCGACTATCATCTTGATGCTCACAAGTAACTCCATCACTTTACCTGGTTCTATCAATGATTCACTGATTAATGACTTAGTTCCTCGTTGAAGATGACAGTCACTTCTATTTGAGGTGTGTTTCTATACTTTCTCTTAACTCTTCTTATAAATACCTTTTGTTGTGTTTAGTTTTAAAGTGTTACTCTACACTCAAATACATGGAAACTCTCTTTTACAGGGTTTAGTCTCTTCAAGCTGAGTTCAGAGATAAACAAATGTAATGCAAATAAGCTGACTCAAGCAGGTTTTGTCTAACTGTAAGATTTGTGTGTGTTTGAAGGTTCTTACTCAAGAAAGTTTTATATGCATTGAAAACTAATGTTCATGTAAATATTGCTTTTCTATAGTTTGTTTGTTGACTCCATTGCAACTATTATCTCCAAAATTGGTCTTTTCACTACTTTATTAAAGATCCCAATTTCTAAGTAAATGTTTTCGACACGTTTTCCTTTGTTTTGTTCGGTTTGGCAGCACACTCCACTTGCTTAATATTATTATGAATCCATATTATGGGTGGAGAATGAAGATTGTAGTTTTCATCATTTGACCAGCTTCTAACACTTTTTCTTGTCAAAGTCAACGATCTTATCTTTCATGGAACATCTTCAGAGGGGTATACACAAGCATTTGAAGTAAGTTTAACCTTCTAACTTCTATCATCTGAGGCAAGTCTTTTGGTTCTGGTCTTGAGAGCATGAAGCTCAACGCTTTACTTTTACCTATCTTTTGGGTTTTTCTACTCTTTACACAAGAATTCTGTTCCAATGGATTCTTTAAACCCAATAGTACATACGAGTTAAACCGCCGTCTAGTCCTCTCTACTCTTGCTTCTAATGTCACAACTCACGGTGGATTCTACGACTCCTCGATCGGACAAAATCCCAATAGAATCTTCATCAGTGGCATGTGCATCCCTGGAACTAAACCAGAGACTTGCTCAGATTGCATCAAAGGCGCAACAGACAGTTTGTTAAGGAGTTGTCCTAACCAAACAGAAGGTTATACGTGGCCAGATTGTTGTATGGTACGTTTTTCTAATATTTCTTTCCCTGGATCATACGATTTAGAACCATCTCAAGTGCTGTCCAGTACAGGAGATATCAAATCTAATGTAACAGTATTTGATAAAATCGGGGAAGATTTAATGGCCCGTACCATAACTCCAGATCCATTGAGGTCTCTTGGACATAAGTATTATGCAGCTGGTGTTGCTTTATTGTCAACAAGTCAAATTGTATACGCGATGATGCAATGTACACCGAATGTTCCTCCGGGGATTTGTGGGTTTTGTCTTAGGTCCAATCTTGATGATTATGAGTCATGTTGTCGCCATAAACAAGGTGGTGCTATTGTAACATCAAGTTGCTTTGTCCGGTGGGATTTGCATCCTTTTGCTGGAGCTTTCGAGAATATTACTTTGCCACCGCCTCAACAGCAGTCTCCGCCACCGCTTTCTTCAACTCCTGTACACGATCAGGAAAATACAACCAGCAAAGGTAATTCTTCCATATGATTTTCACAAGAATTTGTTGATAAAACTGAAATTGAAATAACTCATTTGATATGCAGATGGAAAAACAATATCGATAAGCGTTGTTGTGGCGATTGTTGTCCCTACAGTTGTTATCTTGGTACTTCTTGTAGGATTTTTGGTTAGCAGGAGAAGGCAACTATACCAAACTGTTGAAATTCAAGGTTGGTTGGTTCTTCCATAAGTAAATCACATACAAATACTGGATTAGTGTTGGATGTTGAGGAAGATGTTTTTCATTTTCTTTGTGCAGTTGGTGATGAGATCACAACTATACACTCGGTGCAATTCGATTTTAAGACTATCGAAGCTGCAACTGATAAGTTTTCTGACAGTAACATGATCGGGCGAGGTGGATTCGGCGAAGTTTACAAAGTATTGGCTCTTTTTTCTGTCTGGTTTGCTACTTGACTATATGAACGTTTTAGTAAGCCAATATGGGGTTTGATTGATCTTCTTTATTTGTAGGGAAAACTTTCAACTGGAACCGAAGTAGCGGTGAAGAGACTGTCAAAAACATCAGGACAAGGCGCCCAAGAGTTCAAGAGCGAGGCTGTTCTTGTGACAAAGCTTCAACATAGAAATCTGGTTAGGCTTTTTGGATTTTGTTTGGAAGGAGAAGAAAAGATCCTAATCTACGAGTTTGTACCCAACAAAAGTCTTGACTATTTCCTGTTCGGTATGATATGATTACTTAAATGCTTAAAACCAAAAAATGAGAGGTACTTATTGTTGCTAATGGTATAATATTGATGCAATGCACAGATCCTGCAAAGCAAGGCGAACTGGACTGGACAAGACGATACAACATTATTAGAGGGATTGCTCGAGGAATCCAATATCTTCATCATGAGTCTCGTCTTACAATCATACACCGTGATCTCAAAGCTAGTAACATTCTTTTAGATGCTGACATGAACCCCAAAATCGCAGATTTTGGCATGGCAAGGATTTACAGAATTGATCAAACTCATGCCAACACAAATAGAATCGTTGGAACATAGTAAGAATTTTTAAATCTTTATTAACTGTAAAAACTATGTATGGTGGTTACTATATAGGCTCAATAATGTTGCTTTATTCGCAGTGGTTATATGTCTCCCGAATATGCAATGCGTGGTCATTTCTCCATGAAATCTGATGTCTATAGCTTTGGAGTAATGGTACTAGAGATTATAAGTGGTAAAACAAATAGCAGCTTCTGTGACACTGATGATTCTCCTGGCAATCTGGTCACACATGTGAGTATATGATCTTTCGAGTTACATCGTTTTATATGATTAAGCCAAAATGATATCAACTTAATTGATTTACTTGTGTTAGGCTTGGAAGCTTTGGAGAACAGGGTCACAATTAGAGCTCGTGGATCCGACAATAAGAGAGAGTTCACCGAGTAATGAGGCTATTCTTAGATGCATCCATATCGCACTTTTATGTGTTCAAGAACATCCTAAAGACCGACCAATGTTGCCAGCAATCATCGTGATGCTCACTAGTAACGCAGACACTTTACCTGTGCCTCGCGCACCGGGCTTTTTCCTCTCGAACAGGAGTGGCAAGTCTATTCCTGGTTCTATCAATGATGTATCGATCACAGATCTAGACCCTCGTTAAAGAATATACATCATTTTCTTGTGTTACATATACAAACATTGTACAAAACAAGAAACACATTTTTGGATATAGATATTCATCGGTGTTTGTGAATCCATTTAAACGGAAATGAAATTGTTTTCATCGGGTTTGTTATTTCTCTTATAACATTTTTTTCATCAGTTTTGTTGTAATATCTAACAAATTAAAATACACGATGTATCTGGTCATTTGGGTATCAGTTGGGTTCGTTTTGGGTATTTTGAAACTATATTTTTTGGATGTTTCGGAATCGGGTCGGTTCGGGTAATTTGATTGTAATATCAATATATCCGATATCTTTTGTTACGGTTTGGTATGAGTATTTTTCACCCGTTTAGCACCGGGTATATATATATATTTCCGAAATACTCAAAATATAATTTGGAAAACTAAATCGAAATACCCACAATATAAATTGGAATATCGATTTTTGTTTGTTTCGCTTCAATATGAATACTTTGCATTCGATTATAACCAAAATATCAATATATCTGATATAGGCGAAATGTAAATTGGAAACCTGTATCAAAATTGCATAAAATTATAACTGAAAACATCATATCAAAATAAATAAACAAAAGTAGGAGAGTAAGACAAGCAAGAAAATAGTAACATCCAAAATATTAGTTTCAAAGGTTTTATAAAAACTAGTGTAGGTACTAAAAAAATATGTTGTAAACTAACTAAAATTCGGGTATATTCGGATACTAATCGGATCTCGAGTACTACCTGAACCAAGCCGATACCTAGAGATCCAACTAGTATACTTTGAAAGATCCAGAACGGATCCGAACCCGGTTTTTTCGGTTCCGTCCACCTGGTGGACCACGACACCTTTGTGATCTTTCACATCCACGTCTGTACGGAGCCACTTGTTGGGGTGGACATTTGCCATGATCGCAATCTGGTAGAGGATCGCCACGTCCTATTGTTGGATAGGTAATCACTCTTGCAGCTGCTACGTTCATGTTACTTATAACCACACATGCTATGAATATTGTCACGAGCATCAACTTTTGTCTTCCTTTCAAAATGCTCATGATGCTTATTTCTTGGTGCCTTTTTGGGTTAATATATGTGTAAGTAGAGAGTATTGGATTGTATTGATATCGTTGTTGTATTATTGAATGGAATGATACAACTTATATATAAGTAGGTAGCATAATCAAAGGGCCTAAATAAAGGGATTACATAGAATAAGATAATTAATGAGAGCAAAATATGGGATTGGAGTAATTAACAGGTTGTATGATGATCTATTTCATTAATGAAATGTGTATGTGTGTTTTAAACAGCTAATTATAAGAGTGTTTTTGTGATTGTAAAAAGAGAACTCTTTCTAGTGAATGAAAATTTCTATTTTTAAAAGTGATATTTGTTGAATCATATGAAATGAATTTAATTTTTCTCAATATTTGTTGTGTCGTGAAATTATTAGACGGTGCATGCCTTTTCTTTAAAGGTTTGATTCTGCATGCATTTTCTTTCTGTTTTTAACTAGAAATAGATTATAATAGGATTATGTGAAATTGACAAGTCCTATTGATTTTCTTATAAACTACTAATCCGTATTAAAAATATAAATTAATGATATTTCATTTTTAAAATTCCCCACAGTTGTAATATTTCAAAATTTAAAATTTTAAAGTTTTACCGTATAGTATATTAGACATTATAATGTACACTTTAGATTTAAAGTTTACTTCTTATAAAGTAAAATTAAGCAGTCATACTAAAAACAGAATCAAATTAAACTGTATTCAAATTTTTAAACTTGGAATTTGGTAATTAATGTTAAATCTTTTAATTGTTTTTGGTTATCCGAATATTTGAGAAATGTTTGTAAAGTTGTTTAGATACATCAATAAAATAGAGATGACTTTGTCGTACTTTTATCTGTGTATGTGTATCTTCTAAATCAACATACTAAACAAAACATATGGTCAGAAAACAAAGTCATACTTTTGACTTTGTTGACTACAGCAACATACCAAGGAATTTTCAGACCATTGCTTAATTTTCCTCAACCATCTCTTTCAAACTGTTCTTGTCGCCTTTTCGTGTCTAGAAATTTCAAAGAATACACACCACGCCCATTTGATGTCTATCTTCTCTAGCTTCTAACATCTAAACACAAGTCTTCTGTTCTGACCTTAAGAGAATGAAGCTCAAGATACCAATCTTATTATATTTATCTATAACCTTAGATTCTGTTTTTGCACAAACTTGCTTCAATGGATACTTTGAACCAAATAGTACTTTTGACCTAAACCGTCGTCAGGTCCTCTCTTCTCTTGCTTCTAATGTCACGACTAACAATGGGTTCTACAGCACCTCCATCGGCGAAAATCCTAACCAACTCTTCATCATTGGTATGTGTATACCTGGAACTAAACCAGAGACTTGTTCAGATTGCATCAAAGGTTCAACAGACGGCTTGTTACGTAGCTGTCCTAACCAAACAGTTGGTTATGTATGGCCAGATTGTTGTATGGTACGTTATTCTAACATTTCCTTCTCTGGATCACTCATCCTTGAACCATCTCAACCGGTGTCCGATCCCACACCAATCGACGTTGATTTGAAACTGTTTGATAGAGTATGGGGAGAGGTAATGTCCCGAACGATAACTGCGAGCACTCATGGATCATCATCATTTGGGCATAAGTACTTTGCAGCTGAGGTTGCTTCATTGACAGCTTCCAAAACTATATACGCGATGATGCAATGTACACCTGATGTTTCTTCAGGGGATTGTGAGCTTTGTCTGAAGAAAACTGTTGTTGATTACAAGAAATGTTGTCGTGGTAACAGGGGTGGTGCTTTTGTAAGACCCTTTTGCTTTATCCGGTGGGATTTGTATCCTTTTGCTGGAGCTTTTGAAAATATTACATTGCCACCGCGACCATCACCAATACCTGGTAAAGAAAGAGTAAAATCATATCACCAATGATTAATTACTCAAACCCAATATATTACGTACTCTAGCTATGTAATCCTTATAGGTATGCGTTTTGATTATGTTATATGATTATATATGTAAGTTGTTCCCTTCCATAGTTCCACTCGATACAACAACAACAATAATAATACAATTCAGTACTCTGCATTTACATGAATATTAGATAGAGCATGTTTCGATCTAACGTTCAAACTCAGTTTTTTTTACTCTGCTGTCTCTCCTCTCATAAAGGTGTAAGTCATCTGATAATATTTTTTGTTAATGATTTTTATTTAATATGTTTTTACTTCTTTTTTTTTAATTTTAATTTATATTTAAATGTAATATGACACAACAAAATCTTATTGGTTTAAACAAAGTAAATAAAAAATGTTCACCCTTATATCATAACTATCATCTAATAATAAAATATTTTATTAATGGATATCGTAACTATCATCTAATAATAAAATTAATATAACGAGTGTCTCCAAAGATTTTAAAAAGTATCCGTATAGCACACCTGTTCTTCAATATTTACAAAATAATGCTTTATTATTCTTATTTTTTTTGTTGAAGGACTTTTTTTTTTTTTTAAAAGGAGGTTTTATTAATATTGAAACTACCTAGTAGAAATGGACTGGACCTCACCTTTACATGAGAAACGTAAGCAAAAAAAGGCTCTTGACCTATTAACTACAATTTTGTGGCGGATTGAAGTATCTAGCCAACGACAAGAAGCAACCAACTCTCGAATCCATTTTTTTTTCAACCGACCAAACCCGTCACAAATCTCCTGCTAAAGTCAACTTTCTGACATCACGGCTACCCTAGCAAGCCAGCAACTTCAACCCTAACCCCTCTTTTCCAAATATGTTGATTCTCCAAATTCGAAACAGTCCCCTTCGTACCAGTCTGGAGGAAGCAAGACACATAGGCGATTGGGGCCAATGGCTTAACCGGAAGCTCAATCACACAGAACCCGCACCGGCCAGCAAAATCCCAAAGGATATGCCGTGAACCTCCAAGGCAAATTAGCAAAACCTATCGTCTTCAGCTTTAGATGTATAGCACAAAGGCTGAGCCACGAGGAATAACCACTGCAACCTTACGACGTCTTCAAACCGGAGGAAAACGTAACAGATCTCTCCTATATACCCATCAGATCCACATCTACAACAAAGGGGAAACGAACCGCTTCACTGTTGATGGAGACAGCCCTGGCTCAACATTATCTTGGTCTCTTGGACAAAAAAAAAATTTTTGGACTTGATTAATAAAAAAAAAAATTTGAGATTTTTTTTTAATTTTAAGTTAAATTTTGGGCCTTCTTAAGAAAAATTATAATATGTTATAAAACTTTTAAAAATTATATTGGCTTTTTTAAAGTAAAATTAAAAGTTTTAAAAAATTTTGTGCCCTTTTCTAAAAATATTAGTCCCTTTTCTTATGTAATTTCTTATGTAAATTTTTAAAAAAATTCATGGTCCCATGGGCCACGGCCCCTTTGCCCACCCCATTTGGGCCGAGCCTGGATGGAGAGACGAGTACTAGAACACCTCTGTAAACACCAAGCAAGCTGAGGAAAAGATGAGCGGAGGCCGCATGAAACTCATATACAGATCTACTTTTGGAACAGTAAAGAGAGAAAAAGAGAGTTTTTTCTTTTTTTTTCGACAGAAAAAGAGAGTTATAAGAAACGATTTTCCTTCTTTTGACGCGTTATTTTGTCGAAATTTTTTTACTCTTTGTAACCAATAGAAATTAACTTAGAGTTGAATCCAAGTATTATTCGGAAATAAAGATACAGATAGAGTAATGTTGTTAAACAAAAGCGAAAAAAAAACAATTATTTTTTATACACTAAAAAGGGATTGGTTACATTATAATAAATTGACGTTGTTCTCTACAATATCTTAGTAGGAACAGGTTTCCCAGGACGATGACATCTTTGCGACATTTCACATCCCCGTCTGTACGGATTCACCTTATGATGGGCACATATGTTACGGTAACATCCTTTTGGCTCATTGCCTCTTATTATTACACGATAGCTAAGCACTTTTGCAGCTGCCATGTTTATGTTACTTATAACCACTACACATGCTATGAATATTGCAACGAGCATATACCTTTGTGTTCCTTTCATGATGATGTCTGCTTCTTTTTTTTTTTTTTTTTTTTTCTTATCTTGAAGATGTGAATTTGTGAATCAGATAGGCTAACAGTGTGTCTTTATGAGTGGTAAAAAGGTGTTTGGACATTGTGAGTTTTATAGTGGATGAGAATTTTTGAAACACAAATTAATCCATACTTATCTAAATAGTGATATTTGTTGTTAATATGTAAAAAATTTAGGGGAATCTAATTTAGATAATCTTTAGATCCATTGTGTCCTGAAATTATTGGTTGTCTATTGGAAAAAGATAAGATTTTGTATTTCTTTCTTTTTACAGAGAGATAAAAAAAGGAAGGATATTAGAAATTGACCAGTAGAAAGAATAATATCGGTGGTGAAACCATCTCTTAATTAAACAGTCAAAATACAAGAATATGATATGTCATAATATGATTAAAAAATAAATCAAAATTAAAATCAGAAAAATGTAAAAAAAAACCTTAATCATTTTGTAATTAAACAAAATTATATTTTGGTTTGAGTTTATAAAAGAATGGTTAAGCTTTGTTTTATTTTTTCTGATTATAATTTTGATTTTATTACTATAGATGTGACCGAAGACTACAACGTATCAATAATAAATCATACACATAATAAATCATGAACGAAGACTATAACTCATGGAATAAAAAAAACTCATGGAAAGCAACATGATCAGTACTATGTACGTATAATAAATCCAAATAATGCAAAGAAATAGAAGCTACCAAATTTAGTTTTAATTTCAGTTCAAAACCTAAAATTTTACCTTGAATCCGAAAACTGAGCAAAACTGAATCCTTCTAATGGTGATGTGTGCTACAGAGATGGTAATAGAAACTGAAGCAAGGGATATAGTAGGAACATGTTTTCTGAGTTTAAAAATTAAGAAAAATAAGTTTTCTGAGTTAATTTGGGAGGAGATAACAGTTATGAAAGCTCCATTTTGAATAAAAGTTAAAGAATATTGCTTTGCCTTATATTTTTATCCCAAAATTATTTAAAATAGAAGAATTAAATCAATTATGAAATATTTTTAAAAATTTATAATATTTTTAAAAATTAGGCCTATAACAGGATTTTAATTATATTAAAACATATGTCACCAATTTTGGTCATACTATAGTTAGCATATATGAAAATTTTGTAAAAATTTATCCTGTATTTCCAGTTTTCCCTAGTTTTTACTTGTTTAATTTTCGATTCATACTACGAAATATTATAATTTGACGTTGAATTTACAAGGTAAAAAAACAATTTTCAATTCAAATGTTTCATAAAAGGAGGTAAACAAACATTTTTTTAAACAAAAGCAAAACAAACAATTTTTTTTTATATATATATTCAAAGGGAATGGTTACATTATTATAATTTGACGTTGTTCTCTGCTAAATCTTAGTAGGAACATAAAGCCCTGGACCACGACATCTATGTGATTTTTCACAACCCCGTCTGTACGGATACACCTCTTGTTTAGGTGGACATACGCCAAAGGAACATCTTGGCTCATCGCCTCTTCTTATTACACGATAGCTAAGCACTTTTGCAGCTGCGATGTTCATGTTACTTATAACTACACATGCTAAGAGTATTGCAACGAGCATAGACCATGGTGCTCCTTTCATAATGCTCATGATGATTTGTGCTTTCTCTATTTTTTTTTTCTTCTTATCTGAAAGATGTGAATTTGTGAATTAGATAGGCTAACAATGTGTCTTTGTGAGTTTTTTTTATGAGTGATAAAAAGGTGTTTGGACATTGTGATATTTATAGTGGATGTGAATTTTTGAAACACAAATTAATCCATACTTATCAAAAGAGTGATAGTTGTTGTTAAATATGGAAGAAATTTACGGGAATATAATTTTGATAATCACATCCATTGTGTCCTCAAATGATTGGTTGTCTATTGGAAAAAGATAAGATTCGTGTTGTATTTTTCTTTTTACATAGAGATTTAAAAAGGGAGGATATTTAAAATTTGACTATAGAAAATATACCCATTCGTTTTATATATATTACTATTTATATAGATGCCAAAATCGTTTTACTTCTATTTACATAATTTACTTCTATTTACAAAAATATTATATAAGGTGGAAAATATAATACTGATTTTGTTATAGTTATCTACAAATTAGTGATTAGGATGGTCATTTTTTGTTGATCTATATTAACACATATTATTTATTTGTCATAGTTATCTATACAAGAATAATGACCAATTGAGAAGGAGGAAATGGGCTAGTGATTCTCACCTCTGTTGTCTTCTCACCAGATCCGGGTTCGAATCCGATCATTTTCAAAGAGAAACGTATAATTTGTAACGATGTCAAAAAAAAATACCAATTTTATCACATGTCCCTAGGCATGTCAATTAGGGCTAAAGCCCGCGGGCTAGTTTGGCCCGACCCTGAAAAACATCAGGCTCGGGCTTAAATATGTATGTCCAGAAAAAACCGGGCCTTTTGGGCTAAGCCCATTTGGGCTAAAGGGTTTTTTGGGCTTAGCCCGGTCGGGCTCGGGCCGGCCCGAAAAGCTTTTATACAAATATATTTTGAATTTTTTGAATATTTTAGTTTGATTAAAAGATTTGATTAATGTTATAGTTTTCATATTTACTTACTAGTATTACTTATTACTTTTAAAATATTTATCTATAATATTTTCTCTTATTTATATATGTCAGAACTGAACAAAGCTAAAACTAAATATATATAAGTATCATGATTTTGAAATCATCAAAATATCTAATAAATTTTGACTCTATCTTATACTTTAATGTATTTTAGTTCTATGTTTTATAGGGTTAAAGTGTAAATAATGTATTTGGCTTTTATTTTTTCTCTTAAATTAAGTTAGTTTTATTGAATATTGATAAGTTATTTAAAATTTGATGCATTATTTTTATAGTAGACCTTTAAATATAGTTTTCAAAAAACTATTATGAACTTAGAAATTGATTTTATCGGTAAATAAAGTACAAAAAAGCCCGAAAAGCCTTGTAGTCCTGTTAGGGCCAGGACGTGCTTTGAAATATAGGTTCGAAAATTTTTCGGGCCGGGCTCACATATATGAGGGCTTTACGGGTTTCGGGCCGGGCCGGGCTAGCCCGATTGACATGTCTACATGTCCCTAAAGATGACAATCATAAACCAATATGAGAAGAGATTTAAAAAGCTTAGAAAACCAACACCGGTAGTTTACAAAAAAAAAAAAAAAAAAAAAAAAAAAAAGAAAACCAAACAACGTAAGGTAAGATAAAGAGGCCATAAATAGAAAATTTTAGCCTACACACTTTGTTATCATTCATTCTATCAAAGCGTCATTATGCCTAAGTCCATAAAAATTTGGCTCATTTTTCTACAATATATTCTTATGATTGGTGACCAAAAAAAAAAAAAAAAAAAAATTCTTATGATTATGTGATTTCTTTTTTTTTTTTTTCCAAGCCACCGCTGTTAACTAAAACGTTTTATGTACTCCAAGAAGGCAAGAACATGTCTTCTCCTCTGTTTTTGTTTGATTTTGTCAACGACAGCAACATAACAAGACTTCAACAGACCATTACACAAACTACTTGCTTAATTTTCCTCAACCACCTCTTTCAAACTGTTCTTGTCGCCTTTTCGTGTCTGAAAAATTCAACTAAAAGAAATTTCATATTTTCTTCAAAAGAGAATAGTGCACACGGTATTTGATGATGTTTAATATATCTTCTAGCTCCTAACATCTAAGCACTAGTCTTTTATTCGGATCTTGAGAGAATGAAGCTCAAGAAATTATTTTTACCACTCTTCTTGTTTCTCTTCATAACCTTAGGTTCTGTTTCTGCACAAACCTGCTTCAATGGATACTTTAAACCCAATAGTACTTTTGACCTAGACCGTCGTCGAGTCCTCTCTTCTCTTGCTTCTAATGTCACGACTAACAATGGGTTCTATAGCACCTCCATCGGCAAAAATCCTAACCAACTCTATACCATTGGCATGTGTATCCCTGGAAGTAAACCAGAGGCTTGTTCAGATTGCATCAAAGGTTCATCAGACGGCTTGTTACGTAGCTGTCCTAACCAAACAGTTGGTTATGTATGGCCAGATCTTTGTATGGTACGTTATTCCAACATTTCATTCTCTGGATCACTCATTCTTGAACCGTCTGCACGGGTGTCCGATCCCACACCTATCGATGTTGATTTGACACTGTTTGATAGAATCTGGGAAGAGTTAATGTCCCGTGTGATAGCTGCAGCTTTGAGACCGGATGAATCATCATCATTCGGGCATAAGTACTATGCAGCTGAGGTTGCTCCATTGACAACTTTCCAAACTATATATGCTATGGTGCAATGTACACCAGATGTTTCTTCAGGGGATTGTGAGTTTTGCATGAAGAAAACTGTAGTTGATTATAAGAAATGTTGTCGCGGTAACAAGGGTGGTGCTTTTGTAAGACCATTTTGCTTTATCAGGTGGGATTTGTATCCTTTTGCTGGAGCTTTTGAAAATATTACGGTGGCGCCACCTCCATCATCAGTTGTAGCTCAGCCACCCCATTCTTCCACTACTCCGCGGACAAATACAACAGGAAAAGGTAAACTCCTTTGTACTTTGATTTTTAGTTATGATAAAGTCACTTTTTTGTTATGATTTTGATGATTTTTCGGTTTGTTCAGACGGAAAAACAATTTCGACCGGGATTATTGTGGCAATTCCTACGGTAGTAATCTTAGTACTGCTTCTTGTGGGATATGTAGTTTATAGGAGAAGAAAAGCATACAAAAGAGTTGAAGTTCAGGGTTGGTTCCTCTTCCTTCAATTCTTTTTTTTTTTGAGTTAACAGAGTGCACTTTGATGATTTCACTTTCTTTGTGCAGCTGGTGACCAGATTTCAAGAGAACACTCAGTGCAGTTCAGTTTTAAGACAATTGAAGATGCAACTGATAATTTTTCGGAAAGTAACATGATCGGACAAGGTGGATTTGGTGAAGTTTACAAGGTAATAAGTTTTTTTTTTTTTGGTTTGCAACTACTCTGTATATGAAAAGTTGAATAAATACATACTTAACGTAAAGAATATATGGTGTTTAATTTATCGTATTTGTTTTGTAGGGAACACTTTTGGATGGAACTGAAGTAGCGGTAAAGAGACTGTCTAAAACATCAGGACAAGGCACACAAGAGTTCAAGAATGAGGCTGTTCTTGTGACAAAGCTTCAGCATAGGAATTTGGTTAGGCTTCTTGGATTTTGTTTGGAAGGAGAAGAAAAGATCCTCGTCTACGAGTTTGTACAGAACAAAAGCCTTGACTATTTCCTGTTCGGTATGATATGCTTAATTGATCATATTTGTAAGTTCATAGCTAGTAGTCTTTCTGTAGCTAATGATTTCTATATATCTATGCAATTTATAGATCCTAAAAAGCAAGGAGAACTAGACTGGACAAGACGATATACAATTATTGGAGGCATTGCTCGAGGAATTCTCTATCTTCATCAAGATTCACGGCTAATAATCATACACCGTGATCTCAAAGCGAGTAACATTCTCTTAGATGCCGATATGAATCCCAAAGTCGCAGATTTTGGTATGGCAAGGATATTCGGAGTTGATCAAAGTCAAGCTAACACAAGAATAATCGTTGGAACTTAGTAAACTCTCTATCAAAATAATGACTAGAAAAACTATTTAATATAGCTTGTAGGGCTAAAATGTGTTTTTTTCTTCTTGAAGTGGTTACATGTCACCAGAGTATGCAATGCGCGGCCATTTCTCCATGAAATCTGATGTCTATAGCTTTGGAATATTGATACTGGAGATTATAAGTGGGAAAAAGATCAGCAGCTTCTACCACATTGATGATACTGGTGGCAATTTGGTCACCCATGTAAGTAGTATATATAATCTTTTCAGCCACATGAGTGTATAACTGTATATGAATAAGCCACAAGGAGATTAGTTAAATTTTGTCATTTGTTTTAGGCTTGGAGGCTTTGGAGAGACGGGTCACCATTAGAACTGGTGGATCCAGCCATAGGAGAAAGCTATCAGAGTAATGAGGCTATTAGATGCATCCATATAGCACTATTATGTGTTCAAGAAGATCCAGCTGATCGACCAACGTTGCAAGAAATCATCGTGATGCTCACTAGTAGAACAGCCACTTTGCATATGCCTCGAGCACCTGGCTTTTGCCTCTCAAACAGGAGTGAACAATCCACAAGTTTTTCTATTCCCGGTTCTATCAATGATGTATCGATCACAGATCTAGACCCTCGTTAGCGAACTGTTCTAGTCAGTTCACTAATTTATGAGACATTTGAAGAATAAACCTATAAACATATTACATATACAAACATTTTACAATAACAAGAATTGGTTTAGACTTTAGAGTGTAACATGATCAACTGAATTGATGTTTGTGAAGACATAAACTAAATTGGTTTGTATGGTTTAGGACATAAAAGATATAGAGAATAAGCAAAAACAAACAAACAATTTTATTTTACTTTTTATTCAAAAGAGTTGGTTACATTATTATAATGAAATTGATCTTATTCTCTACTATGTCTTAATGGGAGTTGGTGGTGGACGACGACATCTGGTTATTTTCTCACATCCCGGACGGTACGGACTCACCGGTTGATCGGGTGGACATTTGCCATGGTCACATCTTGGACGATCGCCACCTCGTATTACTGGATAGCCAATCACTTTTGCATCTGCTACGTTCATGGTGCTTATAACCACAAATGCTATGAATATTGCCACGAGCATAGACCTTTTCGCCCCATTGAAAATGATCATGATGATTTGTGTATCAAATAGTGATAAATTTGGAGGAAACTTTAAAAGTGAAGTAGTTTTTTTTTTTCAATGTACATATTCATTAGCCTTTAGGCTTATTTATACAAAGTCTCAAAATACATTAACAAGTTATTTATTTACATATATGATATTGGTAAATTTACCTATTTAACAATAAGAAGATATGCACAAATATCAGTTTTTCTGTTAATTGTATCTTGTGCCTCCGAGATCTCATAATGATAAATAGCTAATAATGTTTTGATGTGTGATAAAAAGAAATTAACTATGATAAATTTATAGTGAATAAAAATTTTGAAAGACAGATCCATACATATTAAAATTGTGATATTTTTGAATAATATGGAATAAATTTAGGGAAATTTAATTTTATATCATGCTCATTTTTTTTTGTCAACATATCTGTAAAACAAATATTATGAATATATAATTTTTATGTATGAAAATGTTCTAATTTTTTATGTATATTTCTACTTCTACTATAAAAATGGTCAAATTGAATTATATATCGATAAATATTCATTCACGATGTTAAATTTTTTTTTTTTTCTTTTATTGAAAATATTACACTGCATTTATTACTGTATACAAGTTTAAAAACTATATAATATAATATATTTGATAATCTTCCTCAATCCCTAATTACTATTTACATGTACCGTTTAATCAACACCAACTATTCATTTTTCATAATGTAATTTTCCCGCTGTAGCGCAAGTCCGATCCTAGTTTGTTGAGTAATATGAAATATATTTAGGGGTACTTAGTTTTATATCAAGCTTTCTTTCAAAATTTTCTACTCATCCTATGTTGTTAGTACTACTTATGTCTTCATCAAGATTCACGGTTTACAATCATAAACCGTGATGTCAAAGCGAGTAACAAACTTCTTGTTCTTGTCATTACTTAACTTTATGAGTTGAAAAAAAATTATATCACTTGATTCTTTTTAGATACATAGAGACAAGAAGCACACTTTGAATATCATATCATTTAGATAATTATGTTCAAGCTTCTGTAAGTGATTCATTGCTTAATTAATGACTTAGTTCTTCGTGGAAGATAATACTTAATCATAGAACGTTGATAAGAGATTGACCAAAACAAACACAAAATAGAGAGAAATAAAAAAACCCCGAATATCTAGAACTTAAAAAGAAATGAATGAGTAAAATAAATTTAAGGTTTGACAGATTATTATGGACGATTTTGCCAAAAAAAAAATTGGACCATATCTCAATTTATGCATCTCATCCTTGCGCAGGGGCCATGCTAATCTTCTCTGTATCGTTCCAATTTTATCAGATGTCCTCGAAGGTGACAATCATTAACATGACTCTAACCATATATAAACACAAACTTTTCTTTCTATCCAAGCAATGTGGGGCTTTTCTATGGGAATGTTCACAAACTTAAATGGGCTCGTTTATTAAAAATCCTGTTTCTATTTCTTCTTCGGCCCGTTAAATTAATTGACCAGAAGTAAAAAAGGTCTCAGTGACAGAAAATTAGTAAATTACGGTTTGTTGGTTTTTCTCCCTCGAGCACTTCCTACAGTAATCTTGTACCGTATAGCCCAAGTTAGCTGATCTCTCTTTTCAGGTTCTACACAATCCAAGCATTATACATACATCAGCTAATGAAATGAAGAACCAAAGAAAAAAAAAAAACACTTAACGCAACAGAGACCAAACCAGAAAAAATTCAATTTTTTTTTGTTCGGCAGTTATCATGCATGTAAAGGTTAAAATCATGTCATTAAGACTTCAAGTGATACATAAAGGAAGCACATGATCATACTTAAAATAGTCTAACAGTTGAAGAATTCTAAACGACTATATATATTGGCTTGATGGCTTCACAAACTTTATTTCATTGTTGGGTTCACTTTTCTCGTCAAAGTCTGTTGAGACCAATGATCTTAGGATACCAGAAACGATCCATGCAGTTTAAAGAGCAAACATATAGATCTGAGGTTCCAAGCTTCTTCAAGAAGATAGGGTACATGCAATGCGACTCACACGCTCTGCAAAATGGACAAGACATACTATTATTGCGAACCACCTCGTATGATCTATGGGAATAGGTTAGTGAGCTTGGCATGAGCCTTGCAAAGTCTCCCAACACGCACTGTGTATGTAAACTACTTTGGTGATCTTTACACGTATAGAACCATGTCTTTGGATTCGTTTCTGTCTCACAAATGTCACACCAGTATTTGCCACTTGCCTTTTCGCCGTAGCATAGTGAGAGAGGATGATCGTCTACTCTATGCTTTACCTTTTGTGGTAAAGTGGCGCAATGGAAGCATAAGACAAATCCACAACCACTTTCAATGCACGTAAGCACAGGAGATGACCATGACCAATTGTTGCAACCATTGCATTTTTTTTCTCCCACTGGTGGAATGTAATATAAAGGGTGATGGGGATGGCTTGGATGGACAAACGGTTCAGAAATAGAGCCACACAGTACATCTAACTTCTTATCCCCACACTGATACATGAAACCATTGGAGAATCTATCACACGCAGTGCAGTGAAAGTAATCATCAGCCTTGCTTGTAACTAAAGTAAGACGTTCATTATGTAGCACATGCCTTTTCTTTCTAGGAGATTCAGCACAGTTTTGGTGAAGAATGAAATCACAATCCATACAGCCATAGAAGGATTGCAAACAAATGGGATGGGTGCAAGCGCTGCACCACTTGTTTTCTTCCCAAATAAGACCATTAACGTGGAGTCTTAGGTAATGCTCTTTGTGGCTGAAATGTTGGATAGTGTTGTCATCTATTACCACATATGGCTCTATATCTTCTATCTCTTCAGGTACTCCTTCGAGTTCAATCTCGTTCCACACGTCATACCGAATAGCACAATTCGAATGAACAACATATTGAGGACACCTCTGACAAGAATACCCGCCCCAAATCCAATCTACCTTCTGACGACAAACTCCACAAACAGAATTCACAACACCAAGAACAGAAGTGTGAGAAACACGGTGATCATGCCGATTGATGTTTATGACGCGTGGAAGGGAAAGACACCATTTATGTATCATGAAGTCACATTGACTACATATATAAGGGCTTCGATCCCCACTCAATCCGCAAGCATTACATGTAAAAACATCAAGTCTTGGTCGAAAGATGAGTTGGTGAGGATGAGCTTTCAAATTCAGAACAGAGTTTTGTGGTGGGTTTGAAACACAACCCATATCCAAGCTGAAGTTACAAGCAGAACAATGATAAAACAATCCATTACCGAACTCGCTTTCACAAAGACGACATTTTCCATCAGAATATTCAGGTGGTTGACCTCTGTGGAGCTTAAGAGGATGCAAAGGGTGGTACGTGTGGTATACCTTTGACGGGTGTTTTACGTCAGGCGGATTCCATACGCAATCCACATGATATGCTAGATCACATTCAATGCATTTGTAATGAAACTTATAAGAAACAGTCATACCACATTTTGCGTTGCAATATGACTCGTTCAGCTCCTTGACCTTGAGAAGGGTGAGCTTGTGGTGATGTGTCTCCAACGCATCAATAACCTCTGGTGGTGGGTACTTTGCACATAATAGGTCCAAGTCGAAGTCACAGATCTCACAACGATAGCATAGATGCTTGATACGCTGGCGACATAAATCACATGAATGGTTTGGTTTACTTTGAAGCTTAAGAGTGTGAGCAGCGTGAGATGGGTGTTCAATATATTCAGAGGAGTCGTCAACACATTTCTTGTGAACATAGAAGTTACAGCTTAGGCAGTAATAGCCACCAGTTGTAAATCCTGAGCGTCCACAGCATTCACCTTTCCACGTATCATTGTAAGGCATCATAAGATGCTCGTGTATCAACGGTAGTGACACTCCCTCAGATTCCATAGTCGTTATAATACAAGATTGAAGAAAAAGAAGAAAAGAGAAGAAGTGGAAGAAGAAGAAAAAGTTGAATCTGAGATCTCAAAGCTATGACTCCTTTCAAGTCTTTGTTAATCTTTTACGATGCTGTTATAACAGTTTGTAGTCATTCAATAACAAATAAAATTACTTATAATGGTTTAGAAAGAATTACTTAGATGGACCACATTTTAGGTGTATTGACGCAAACCATCCAAAACTTTTTTTATCCTTAAATGTTTTTTAATTACCAGCGTGCCCTTTTTACACGTTACCGGAAAAAACTAATTACGGAAAATGCCACTGCCACGTCAGACAAAAAGGCGCGTGCCACCAATAACTCAGCCATAACGTACGTTACGGCTGAGTTATATCACGTTATGGCTGAGTTCTGGGACAACGGCTGAGTTTCGGGTCAATGGTTGACTTAGGATCATAACTCAGCCAACAGTTACGACTGACTTATAAAAATCTGGTTGAGTTATGAGAAAACGGCTAATAACTCAGCCGCCGTTACGGCTGAGTTATAGTCCGATGGTTGAGTTATCAGAAGTTTGGCTGAGTTATGTTATCGACACGGCTGACTTAACTTTCTCCGGGTGGCTGAGTTATCGATAACGGCTGAGTTATCAAATGTCGTTACGGCTGACTTATGTTTGAGAGACATAACTCAGTCGTAATTGGCTGACTTAACGGAAAACTCAACCATGTTACGGCTGACTTATAGACAAAAGATTTATTGCTAATATAGCCTCCAGTTACGGCTGACTTATTTTACGTTACGGCTGACTTATTGACGTTACGGCTGAATTTGGCATCTTAAAAAACATTTTAGTAATTACTTAAATATTTTTCATGTTGTGGCTGACTTAATTTGTGTTTGATGGCTGATTTATCGTTGGCTGAGTTACAAAGTTGTTTGGTGGCTGACTTACGACTTCAAATTCACAATTCCACGTCAGCATAAACGAGGGAAATACGAAAGGTCCCGCATTAGCTCGTGTTTTTTCTTACACTCTGTTCTTCATTTTCTGTTCTTCACTTCACTTCTGTTTTTCATTTTCACTTCTGTTCTTCACTTCTTTTCTGCATTTTCACTTATGTTCTTCATTTTCGTTGATGGATCATCCGGTTCCAGTGATTGTTCTTCATTTAACACTGACGATAGAGGTTGTAGAATTGTGCAAATAGATGCGGAACGAACGCACGAGAAGCTAGTGAAATTGGTTCTTGATGACTACGGACTGCATCAACGCGACCTTTCGTATTCTTTAATATAATAACTCAGCCGTAACATAACTCAGCATACGGAATATATTCATGTTATGTTACTGATAACTCAGCCGTATAAGGTTACTGATATCTCAGCCCAATAGGTTACAGATAACTCAGGCGTAACGCGACCTTTCGTCTTCGTTTCCCGTACGATAACTCAGCCATCACATTAACCAACTCAGCCATCCGTTGTTTGTTCTTTCTGAACTTCTTTTTGAACTTGTTTGTAATCCCAAACATATATCTTATCTTTTGAATCATGTTTTTATCAATATTTCTTCATTTTGGCCATTTTAACAGACCTATAACTCAGTCGTAATGTTATCAATAACTCAGCCGTAACGGAATCACGTAAATAATAGGTTATTGATAACTCAGCCGTAATATTATCCATAACTCAGCCATAACATAGTATAAATCAGCCATACCCTAAATATGCGTTATGTCAATTACTTTGTTATAACTCAGCCGTAACGGAATCATGTAATTAATAGGTTATTGATAATTCAGCCGTAATGTTATCTATAACTCAGCCATAACGTAGTATAAGTCAGCCATACCCTAAATATGCGTTATCTCAATATTTAGTTATAATCAAGTTATGAAATCACTTAAATCACATAAATATTAGGTTTAAATATGATACATTCATGTTACCATATTATTCATCAATAATTTAGACTTTGTTGGTAACATTTAGAAAACTATCACACAAGAACAAGTTTCTAGTCATAACCAACACTACATAATTTGAATATGATGAAATTGTGTAAATTATCCATTTTCTTTTCAAAATTAACAATCTTAACATGCATATTTGCTGGTAATATACATTTATTATATGTCATATCCATTATATACTTATATAATTGCTAATTATAAATTATAATTATACTCATAACTCAGCCGTAACTTGAACACATTAACTTAGCCGTCACATAATTATAAGTCAGCCATACCCCATTTCTCATTTAACATGAAAAGAAATCTTAAACAACACAAATTACAACATAGTCAGTCTAAACATCATGAAACAACAATTATATTCTCTCCCATAGCCATACAATTGCGATTCCTATTACAGAGAGTAGACAAATTGTCTTCAAAGCTGTCTTACCCATATCATCCTCAATCTTGTTCATCAATTTTTCTTCAAGCTTCTTACTCAGTCCTTCCTCAAGCTAGTCAAACATTTCTTTTTGGAGATCTAAATTTTGAGTATGTTGATGCCTTAAGTCCGTCACATCTTCTTCTATTCTCTGTACCTTTGCGTCGACCATCTTAATTTCTTCAACCGATGCCTCATCAACCCATTTGAAGAAATGCGACATATTCGGCCTCTAATTAACAAAAAACCAACATCGATACCCATATGTTAACAATAAAAAATTAAATGAAATTTAGTACCTTCAAAGCAATCGAGCTTTTATAGAAGATACGGTAAGGGTTTTCCTTTGTCTTCGATATGTATGTGATGATATCGTTACCACACCAACATCCGCAATTCGTCGGAAGATCTGGAGGGTAAGCACCATATTAAAATTGAGAAGTAGAATTCTTTAATCGAAGATAACCAAGAAATCGGTTAGAAATCCCAGAAATCGATAAGAACCCTAAATCCCCAATCTGATCGCTCGATTATGACTATAAGGGAGAAGAAAGAAGTAAACGACGTCGTCTGGAATTAACTCGGCCAAACCACGAATTTAATTTACGATAAGTCAACCAAACCTCATTATATAACTCAGTCGTAACGTTATGTTATACCTCAGACGGAACGTAACTATAACTCAGCCATACCCCGAATTTGAATATCAAAATCATAAATCAGCCATATCTAACGTATAGATGTTGAAAGAACACACGAAAAGCTTGTGAAGTTGGTTCTCGATGACTATAGATTGAATCAGTTGAGCCATCATGTAACAATGAACTACATGTTATCGTTACAATAATTCAGCCAAACCTCGAAATGGTCTGTGTAAGTCAACCATGACGCTGACATAACTCAGCCAAACCACAAATTTATTTATGTTAAGTCAGCTATGTCGTTGGCATAACTCGGCCAAACCTCGAATTATTCTACAATAAGTCAACCATGTCGTTGGCATAACTCGGCCAAACCTCAAATAAGATAGATGTGAATATTTGATGCACTCATGTAATAAAAACACTTTAATAATATGTAGTTAACACTTTTATTAACTTTCCATAAAAAAATCATGAAATTCGCTCAGGTTTTTACCTTTTAAAACTTATCCAACAAAACGATAAACCTCAAACCCTATACTTATGTTCTATTCCTACATAGTTGATCAAATATAGAATGGAAAAGAGCTTTTATTGATTTTTGTTAATTGTATTATAAACCACTTTTTGTAATCTCGAGAATGTATATCACAACTCATCCGTAATGTAGCATAACTCAGACGCAATGTAGCATAACTCAGCCGTGACATATTATTCTATATTTAGACAAAAAAAACTTTAAATTATTTTGAATATTTTGTTTATAGAATTTGAATTCAAATTTTGAATTATTTTGAATAATTTTTTAAAACATAATACTCTATGACTTTATCATGCGTGTGTGTGTGAATATGTGTACGTAATTATTGTTGGTCTTTCCCGAAAAACACTTTTTGTAATCTCGAGAAAGTATATCATAACTCAGCCGTAATGTAGCATAACTCAGCCGTAATGTATCATAACTCATCTGTAATGTAGCATAACTCAGCCACAATGCGGCATAACTTAGACAAAAAGTTGAAAACGACGTTTCGTATTTCCCTTTGGTTTTTTTGTCGGAAAACGAAAAGTCTCCAGCCGAGTTGAAACGAAAGGCGATTGCAATGACGACGAGAGAGAGAGAGAGAGAGAGAGAGAGAGAGAGAGAGAGAGAGAGAGAGAGAGAGAGAGAGAGAGAGAGAGAGAGAGAGTAGAGAGAGAGAAGAGAGAGAGAGAGATGAG